GTGACAATGGCTACGGCGCATTTCTTCTCCGTGCCCGAAGGTCCCATAGGCGGTAAAATCTTGACGTGTTCGACATTAAGGCTTGTCGGGATCAATGACTTGATGAAGGCAGGCGATGTTCCAGGCGGCAGCTGAGAAAGACGCAACGTAGGTCTAGCCACTGCGACTTCCTCGGCTCTCGAGTCTGATTTGGCTTCGCCCTCGTCGTCACTGTTGTGGAAGACCTTGGCGACCGAACTCGGTTCCTCCCTTTCCTCGAACCCGAGCCTGCCATCTCTGTCCCTCTCCTGCCGGTATGCGTCGAAGCCCCTCTTCCTTCCAAGCGAGCCAGGCGGAGGTCCCAAGCTTCCCGGACCGCTCTTGAAGCTCGGAGTAGGACCTAGACTACCAGGGCCGCTCTTGGGATTGGACGCGCCAAAGTGTCGCCTAGATGGTGCAGGTGCGCCCAACGGAGCGCCGCCGAACCCAGCCACCTTGGGCTGGGGTCTTTGTGAAGGCATCGAGCCAAACCGGCCGGGTCTCGGATCGTCATCGTCATCGTGGTCGAAACTCTTGACAAAGTCTTGGTATACTGCGGCGGTCTCGGCAGCCTCGCGGGCCTTCTTTGCTTCGGCTTCGGCTCTCTGTTTCTCGAACGCGGATTGCTTGGATGGTTTCTGGAGCTTCGCCTCCACGTCAGGGAATTCGACGAGGTCTTTTGCCGATGACATCGCTACCGGTATAGCTGTGAAGCTTCTTGTCGCATAGTCAGAATCGATGAGAATCTGCCGAGTTCAGGAGGCGCGTGGTCGTAGATCGCAGTTGACTGTATTCGTAAAGTTGCAGAAGAAGTTCAGCGCAGCGCTCTGTAAGTGTGTCCGTGGACCTGTCGCGCCGTGCACTGTGTGCAAGAAGATAGACGGGAGTCTCGCACTGTTCTTCTCACTGCCACTTTCTGCTGTGGCTTGACCGACTTGAGCCACACTTTCCTGACTTCGCACCTTGTTGTACTTCACTCTGCGGTCTATCTCCACTTGTTGCCGGCGGCAGCATCCTGGCGACCGTCATGTCTGACAAAGTGTTCCTTCCGAGCGTAGCCATGGATGGTGTTGTAGATATAGACTGCACGTATCTGGAATTGATTTCTCGCGCGATTGTGGGCACTTGGTAGCACCATCGTGTGCAAGACTTGATGTAGAGGTCCACGTCTTGAGTATCGTGCAAGCGATCATCATTGGCCGAAGCGATGAGTGGGATCTGCTCTTGGGAAAACAATGGCACAGGCGAGTCAGCGCAATCATGGACCACAAGAGTGAAACCCTGGATCAGGGACATCACCAAAGCCCTCGAGGGAGTCCTCAGACGGCCACGAGATCGAGTGACCGCACCAAGCACTTTCATCACTTACCACTTGCACCAAACAGGTCTACTTGCTTATGGCGATGAGATGTTAAGTTCACAGCTTCTGCGGATGCTTCAAGCCACGAAGAACCGCTGTGGATGACACGTCATGGTGCGGCATGTAATCTAGGCAGTAGCTTATGGAAATGCGGTTTTCTCTTGAATATAAAGAAGGATGCACCTGCGACAGAACCTGACTCTTGATATCTCACCACATCACCTTCTCTGTCCCAGTGCTCTCGTAATAACGCCTGCCCCGAACCCCTTTCGAAGACGTTGATACTGACCGATACCACTAGTCCTTCCCTGGCACATATTCCTATACGTATACGGCAATACCGCATCCGACCAAGACGCCCTACATCGCACCCGTGCAATTACAAGATGGACGCTGCCATAGATCTCAACAACATGAACGCAGCCAACACGACCGACGTTCTTTCCCAGCACGTCCAGGAAGAAGGACATGGAGGTCCCACTCGTCCATTCGAGCTCATAGCCCGCACCGACTGGATGAGATTAATGTACCACACAACCTCTCAACGCGGACCGACACCCCCAAGCAGGGAATATCTTTTACCGCGGGTAGACAACATTGATGAATTCATGGAGTGGCGGGAAAGTTTTGTTCAACGAACCGTCTACTTCGACAATTGGTTTCTTCAATTCATTTACAGCATCTTTGACTTCTTCCGCCTCCAATATCGCATCTTAGTCACTCATTGGAGTGAATACTCAAGATGGGAGAAAGAGCGTATCAAGAATCCTTGGGGAAATTGGGAGGGTCAGATTGGATTTCAAGACGATTCCCCTGACCCTAAATGGAGGGCTAAACTTGTCGTGGAAGTGAAGGATATAAACGGGATGGATATGGGGTTCCTGATTCATCAAGATCAAGCCGTCTGGTCATGGAGAACCGAGCCACCACACGCGGCTTCCTTTTGGGATCAACCAAGACATCAGGATGTGGTGATTCCAATCAAAGCAGAGCCACAATGGTAGCCTGCGCGTATCATGGGTAGTTGCCGGCATAAGTGCTGGCCTTCCTATGGCCATACTCCCTCGTTCTTGAATGATTTCGGTCATGGATGAGCTTTCGGGAGGCAGGTAGCAGTCTACAAACAACAAATGATACTCCAGTCGATAACATCCTTCCTGTATTCCTTTTTAAAGCACCCTACAGAGGAAGCTACGCTCAAGACTCCATGAAGGAAGGCTCACGCCTCTGACATGAGGCCTTGGTGTATTAGGAGTTTTCCGCTTGTTGTGATTTCGTGAACTCTTCTCTCTCCCCAACCACGTCAGAACAATCAAGGTAAGGCAATGATTGCAGACAGCTTCAATAACCAATAAAAATCTTGTCTATTTCTTCTACATTATACTAACACTATATAGATGACACGACCAATACTCACAATCGACACGTCTGTGGGCTCTGCCCACAACCGACCAACCTCCACCCCTTCAACCGACCACCCCCCCGTCTTCTCTCCCGCCCAGCCTCCCTCTTCCAGTACCAGTGTTGGGGCTCCCGTCCTCATCATCCACGTCCACCGCCCCGCCTCCCTCCTCCGCCAGTGGCTCCGGCCTTACCTCGCCTACCTCCCCCCTTTCGTATCCCTCATAGTATACGCACAACTCCTGGACCAGCCGCCCTCCCTGGTCTTTTCTGTTTTTGCCCTTTGGGTTTGGTTTGTGTCGTGTTTTTTTTTCCTGCGCCGGCAGGTTGAGAGGGTTCTTTTCCCTTACTTTCGTTAATTTTTAACCCCCTTTTTTATATTTAACAGTACTTTTGAAATACCTCTTTATCCTCTGGTAATAAACGCTCAAATGAGCGTCATGATCCCTCTTCGTTTCCCGAGGATACGAAATGAATAAGCTGGAGGGAGAAAGAGGGTCCGATGAACGACTGAGCCGTACTAGTCTCAAGCCTGGTCAACTGGGTAGACGAAAGTATAGCAGCAGACTGGTGGCTATCCCCTGGCAATACTGGACAAACGGCCAAACTTTATCCTCTGGTAATACTGTCTGTCTGAGCTTCAAACGAGGACAGGAGATCGGCTTTTATACTCCCGACCGGCTGGCCTCAGTGCCAAACTGCGTATATGCCTGGCTGATCCAAAGCCCATGGAAGCCTCTGAAAAAGAAGAGAAGTTTATTGGCGGGAGCTTTCAATCCTGGTTGCTATGGTTAGTTCTAGTTCTAGCCTTGGCTTCAACTACGTGCAGAAATCCTCCGCTGACACCTTCAATAGCCGTTCCTACATCAGATATTGAGACCGGCGTTATCTGTGGCTCTTCATGTTCAGTCTTGGTGCCGACATCGATATCCGTCTTCAAGATGAGACTCAGAATCTACTGCATCACCAGTCTTTTTGTACTCAATATTGGCGTTCAAGTTGACCATCTCTCTCGGACGGCCTCTACTTCAGCCTTCTACTCGACTACCGCCACGCCATACGGCTTCCATATCTGCTTCTGCGGCGGCAGTATCAGACAGAAATGCCAGTTATTGTTCTTTGACAGTACGTGTGACGTGCTTCATCACTCAACACACGCGGAAACAACGTGCTGACTGGCTTCGCTTTAGCTCTCCTACCGATTTGGCCGGACATCGTGGTATGAAGGACCATGAACAGACACGGTCCATGCATTCGTAGTCCACCAGCATTGGTATATTGAGCTCGAGAACACCGTGCTTGTCGCCTGTCACAAATTTCGAAAAACGCATTGAAACACGAAGAACGCAATGAGAACGCACAGCTTCTTGCGCTCATGGTCAGCCTTGTTGAGATAATTACACCTGCTCATGCGAAGGCTCAATCACCAAGGGAGACAATCTCCATCTTACTTGGGGGACTTGGCCAGCAGTCATGCCTCCTTGACATTGGGGATCGAACTCGGTGGTCACTACGCCTACCTATCCTCAGAATATCCAGCACACCCGCCCTTCGGTCTTCTGGCACTCACTGAGAATGACCACATGGTTATAGGACAATTCCATTCTCAAGGTTCCGTGAAACAATCGGAGGAAAGGTGCTGATCAGTAGGGGGCGATGCCGAGGCCAAGTCAGTTCGGAATATGCTGGGTAAAAGCAAGATGCACCAGTAGCTTGGGGGCCTTTGTACTAAGATGTGGCTTAAAGGGGCCCAGCTCTTGGTTTAGGAAGAAAATGCTTCTCGGAACTGAGCTGGTTTGAAATGAAGTGATAGGGTGTCGATGCATCACTGCTGGATAGTCGAGAAATCCTTGATCGACATGCATACTATTATTCACCCTGTAAGTCAGATAGACAGATGAATTCATAAATCATGATCAACGCAGAGCATATTTGTATCTCTGTGAGATCTCACTGCTGAGCAATGCCTATTGAACTTCGACAGGTCTAGGACAGAGAAATGCCATGATGCGCCGCTGTAGCCTGAGAAGTACAAGCTAGTCAAAGCGAGGTCGGTAGTCAACATCCTCCAATACATGTAGCATTACGACGCGACTCCAGTACAGACTCACCTTAATCATATGAAATAGTCTTTCTTCGCTCAATGGCAAGACCATTGGCACGCCAGGTCTGACGGAGACCGATCACGAGAACCAAAAAGGGGACACGAGCTGTTGTTGTTGTCGATCATTCCAAGATCCCACTTCGTGAGAGTATCGTTATATTGAGACCAATCCCATAGGCCCAAAGAGAAACTAGGCAGATTTCGCTCTACCCACATAACCGGACCGGAAACCCAAAGAAACAAAATACTGAACGATGGATATCACCGCCAAGAAATCCACAAACCCCCTTTTTCTTTTCTTTACTCTCTCATCATGATCGAGGCGAACTCGTCGTCTATCGAAATGTAGAGTCAGCATTGCCACCAAGTCACCCAATAGTGAGGCAGAGAGGGGGGAAAATGTGAAGTCTCTTACAGTCAATTGATCCATCGCCATCCTTGTCGGCCATTTGAATCATCTCATCAATCTCCGCCGCAGTCATGTTCTCACCGAGCGAGGTGAGGACATGGCGCAGCTCCTCGGCCGAAATGGTGCCGCTGCCGTCGCGGTCAAACACCTTGAAAGCGTTCTTGAGCTCCTCCTCGGCATCGCCGACCTGCACCTTTTGCGCCATCAAGTTGAGGAACTCTAGAGGAAAGTCCGTCAGCATATGTTCCATATGGAAGAGGGGTCTTGCGGAGGGCGGAGGTGATTCGAACTCACCGTTGAAGTCAATGGTGCCGTTGTTGTCGGCGTCGACCTCGTTGACCATGTCGTTCAACTCGGTGTCGCTGGGGTTGAGGCCCAGGGACCTCATCACCTCGCCAAGCTCCTGGGCGGTGATGTCACCTGCAGGGACAATGTCAATTTCCGTTGATGGGATGGAGAAAAAAGTAATAGAGGTATCGCATATAAAACAAGAAGGGTAATGAATGAAAAGAGCAATATGAGATGGAAAAAAGGGGTCTAAGCCAGCTCCCGTCTTCCGACGCTCATCCTGCGAAAGAGGGTTCAAGTCGAGTTTCACTGACCCCCCAGTTTGCCGGTGGCGGGAGGCGAAGCAAACCAAAATAATAAAGGGTTCATGGGAGAACATAAAAACTAACCTGTTCCATCCTTGTCCTATTCCACGCAGACAAGTCGTTAGTAGAGATGCTTGATTTGAAGTTTGAGAAATTTGTTGTGCAAGCTCTACACAATGCGCCGCCAGCCTGATGGAAAGGGGGAGTGAGGGGCATTGAGGCAGCCCAAGTGACGGAGAGAGCTCGGAGGGGTGAGTGAGAACTTACGAAGAGGTCAAACACCTCCTTGTACTGCGCCCTTTGCTCCTGAGTCAACTGTGCAGCCTGTCAAACACACGTTAGCTGCAGCTCATTTGATAGTCTTTCACACAAGACTAGCGATCCGAATCTCACCATCTTTTTTTTATTATGTGGTTGTCTGTTTTTGGGTGATGGGATTTTGTTTGTGAAGGAAGATTTGGGTGAGTGAGAGGTGGTTTGAGACAGGGAAGACGGCGTGGGACAGCTGAAAGCGGGGATGCGACCACGAACCCCGCACGGTGTGGGCGGTGGGAAGAGCCATGGGATTCATACGGTCTTGGTACAAAACAAAGAGCCGTGAGGTAAGGAATGGTGGGCTGGGCTGGGCTGGGCTCGCCATGGTCCAGGTTGCATCAAACGTTTCCTTGTTTAGAAGCCCAATGGTCATGATTAAGTCAGCCTTGTGGTGATGTGATATCTGACTGGACCTGCCTGCCGTTGCGCTTGTTGTGCGTGCTCAGGCGATGCATGGCAACCAATAGTGGAACGAGAGACCTCTATTTGATACGGTCCAGCTTAAGTCCGGCTTAAGGCTTGGAGTGCCTGATTTCTGCTACTTGCCTGCTGTTCTGCTTTCCTCTCCTTCAGCCTCGCAAAATATCGAAGTATTTTCCCGCTTAAACCGTCATAGATCAATCATTATCGTGTAGATGACAAAAATATCAAAGTGGCAAAAATTATCAGGGGCCCAACCGCGATTCGAACGCGGGGCCTCGCCCATTCAAGCTATGCTGAAGGGTTTTTAAACCCGAAGGGCGAATCATACCTCTAGACCATTGGGCCTGATGTTGTTGGATGAAAATTTCCCGCACGAGCGAGCCTAAGACCGCGAGGGCGCCTGCCTGAAATCGTGACTGTAGAATGCAGGGAAGAAGGCAGTCAGTCTACTGATCCAAGTTGGGGGACAGTGGCGGCTATTTGAGCTCAGCCCAACAAGCCCAGCGCACTGATTTCATTTTCCGCCATCACATTGCCTGCCAGGATGACGTCGATTATCATCCGTCAACCATCGCTCATCGCCGAGGGGAGTCCAGAAACATCAACGCTCTGCTATACTCACCATCGTCAATTGCCATTTTCCTCTTGAGTGAGAAGAAAACCAACATATCCACTCATCCGCCGCCTACATCGGAAAAGCCAAGCCTGTACAGGTTGAAAAACCACGCGACCACGTCCGTCTCGTACTGCCGCAACACCTAACCCACCGCCAAACCTTTCCCTTCATGCAAGTGTCGGCCGACCTGCAAACCAACCTTACCGATCCCGACTATTCCCAACTGGCGGAACCCCCCACCAACGCCATTGACCTTACATGACGACCCCTCCAGACTCCCCCCCATCCCACTCCTGGTCGCAGGGGAAGGCAGAAAATGGGAGAAAAAAGACACCGGTCGGTGCCCCCGCCAAGCAAGCCCGCACTCCAACAAACTCCCAGGTCTGTCCCTCGTCCGGGGTGGAGGAAAAACTTACGATACACCGATAAAATGACCCCGCCAACGCCATTTCCAGCGAGCAAGTCGACGCGAGACCTACCTTACTCCCGGGAGTCGGGAGACGCTACCGACCTCCCACCCAATTCGATAACCTAGCCCAGACTCCCCCAGCAGTCTGCAGAGGAAAGGAAGAAAAAAAATTTGACCTCCGATAACGCCCTTCCCTCGTACGTGTGGCCGCGTGCGGTGAGCTTTCCGCACCGCCAATTCCCACTCCCAGAGATCGACCCGCACTATTATTTCTTCGTCCTATCCTGTCCGTCGCATTTCTTAAGGTAATGTTTTCTCTCCTGCCCTTTTGGCTTCAAAGGTTCTCAAAAGTACCTCTACCTTACCCCGTGTGATCTCCCTGCCTCCCGCTCCCGCGCCGGGTACCCGCTCCGATAGCATACGAAACTCCCTCCACAGACACCAACACCAGACGAGAGCCACAAGATGCCCTCCGACCCGGCGGCGGCAGCGGCGACAGAGCCAGCACCCTCCTCCATCCTCATCATCGGCTCCGGCGTCTTCGGCCTGACCACAGCCTACGAGCTCGCCCAGCGCCCACGCTACGCCTCCACAAAGATCACAGTCCTCGACCGCTCTCCGATCCCCGGCCCAAGCGAGGACGCCGCCTCCGTCGACTCCTCCCGCATCATCCGCGCAGACTACGCCGACCCGGCCTACGCGACCCTCGCCGCTGAGGCCCAGACAGAATGGCGCAAGACCTCCCATCCCTCTGACCTCGGCGCGGAGGGCCGCTACAGCCAGTCCGGCCTCTGCCTCGTCGCCGACCCCGTCGCCACGGCCTCGACATCGTACTTTTCCTCCTCCTCCTCCGCTTCAGCAGCAAAGACCAACGCCGACGCCAAGCAAAAGGCCAAGAAGACGTCTCTCGAATACGTCCGCGAAAGCTACAACAACGTCGTCTCCCTGGCAGGCAAGGACGGCGACAAGATCATCAAGGAGCTGCCCACTCCCACAGCCATCAAGGACTACCTCGGCACCCCCGAGGCCCCGGGCACATGGGGCTACATCAACCCGCTCGCGGGCTGGGCCGACGCCGGCGCCTCAATGTCCTACCTCGCGCGCAAAGTCGTGGCTCTTAACCGTGTCACTTTTGTGTCCGGCGTCGCGACCCGCCTAAACTACACTCCCGACAAGTCGACCGTCACAGGCGCAACCCTCCAAGACGGCTCCGTCCTCTCCGCCGACCTCGTCGTCGTCGCAGCCGGCGCGTGGACCGGCGCCCTCGTCGACCTCTCCGGCCAGGCCATCGCCACGGGCCAGGCCGTAGGCTACATCGACATCACCCCCGACGAGCTCGAGGTCCTCCGCAAGATGCCCGTCACCCTCAACTTCAGCACCGGCCTCTTCATGATCCCCCCCTCAGGCCTGCAACTCAAAGTCGCCCGCCACGCCTTCGGCTACCTCAACCCGACCGCCATCCCCCACCCCTCGCCCCAGACCCCGCCCTCGACAAAGTCGACAGTTTCCCTCCCGGCAACCCACCTCACCGACCCGAACCTCAAATTCCCCGCCGAAGGCGTCGCCGCCCTCCGCAAAGCAGTCCGCACCATCGTCCCCATCCCCGCCATCCACGACCGCCCCTTTGTCCACACCCGCCTGTGCTGGTACACCGACACCCAGACGGGCGACTTCCTCGTCTGCCACCACCCCACCGCTCGCAACCTCTTCGTCGCCACCGGCGGCAGCGGCCACGGCTTCAAGTTCTTGCCCGTGCTCGGGCGCGAAATCGTAAACGTGCTCGAGGGCCGCGGCGACGAGGTCTTTACCGAGAAGTGGCGGTGGAGGGAGGTCAAGAGCAAGGCGGACGTGACGGATCTGTACGAGCACATCATGACGGAGGACGGGAGCCGAGGCGGTATCCCTGGTCTCTTGCTGAAGCAGGAGCAAGCCAAGTTGTAAACCCCCGAATTCACATCCATCCACCCGAATGGAATTGCATTGATGTAGGTACATGCCGAATGTAGATACCATGTAGCAACCGTACAGATAGAGCTGTTAAAAATGTATAGTCATAAATGAATATCTAGTGCCACAGGGAACAAAATATGCGTGAAAGTAGTCGTGAAGCGTCTGTTACGAGGTGAGATGAATACGTTTGAGAGTGGCAAGTGGACACATCATTTACTAGTCACCATCACGAGGCATGCATAAAGATGTAACAGAAACCGGGTGTTGGCATTGTACTAAAAGATAATGCCGACTTGTCAACTCGAATCAAACTCGCAGACTGAACGTAGAGTAAGACTTGAGTGATCGGTCATGTCGCCTAAAACTAGGCAACGTTCATTGCAAAACCGGTTTCCCCCCTTCCACCAGCAGTCCCTCCCGACCTACTGTCCAGGAGGCAACTTCAACTCCAACTCATCCCCGTTAATCATCCCCCATCCGGTCTGAGACCCCAATGCATCTAAGTCGAGTCCATTAAAAAACGGCAAGGTCGACCTGCGCATCTGCCGTCGACGGTGCCACGAGCAGTCTATGTAGTGCCGCGGAATGAGAAATCTTATTCTTTTCATTTGAATCAACCACCTGACCGAAAACTTCCGGCCCGGGTTACCTCCTGTACCAACGCCAATGCAATGCAGCGGAAAAAAATGAAGTGAGCAGAACGGGCGTCGATGATTGTGTCACGGCCATATTGCCGGGTGACGGACGCTCGAATTTTTTTGGTTGTGTGTGCGAAAAAGAATTCGTGGTATCGTGAAAAAAGTGTTGTCTAGTCGTACAAAGTCGGTGGTTTTGTGTATGGTGGTAGTACATCGACTGGGTCAATGATCTATCCGTGTGATCAAGTGTCTGTTTAGACCTTGCGGAAATCTGAAGAAGAATTAGTAGGTGAAGGCTGTAGGTTTTAAAAAGGTACTTACCCTGAAGCACGGGATAGATCATCTCGAAGGCCTGGTAAATCTCCTCTCGCACCTTGGCACCAGTGAGGACGATCTTGCCGCTGACGAAGATAAGAAGCACAATCTTGGGCTTAATCATGCGGTAGATCAGACCAGGGAACAGCTCAGGCTCGTAAGAACTGAAGTTGTGATGGCGCGAAGCGAGACCCTCCAAACGAATGGGGAACTTGATATCGCAAGAGCCGACAATGTTCTGGATCTTGAAGTCCGTGAACTTGGCGTTGAAGCCAAGCTTCTGGATGATACGGGCGTACTTGCGAGACGCAAGCTTCGAGTCATCCTCGGACTTGGCACCGGTGACGACCATCTTGCCGGAAGCGAAGATCAGGGCAGTGGTCTTGGGCTCACGAATACGCATGATGACGGCAGCGAAACGCTGTGAAGTCAGTCAGCCACAGTGCAACTCGAGTGGAGGGGATATCGTCTCACCTTGGGGTTGTACTCTGCGTTTCTCGCGTGCAGGGCGATCGTCTTGAGGTCCAAGCGGCAATCCAAGTTTACCGTGGCAACGATGTTCCTTGAGTAGGCGAGATAAGCCTCATTGAGCAGAAAAAAGATCACTCATGATATACATACTGCAACGTAGGAGTCAAGCCACTGCCACCTTGTGTCGCGGCAGGCGTCGCAGCAGGTGTCGCGGGTGTCACCCCGGTACCGTTTGCAGGCTGCTGGCCGTTGGGCACAGGGATTTGTCCATTGACGGCCGCCTTATCGCCGTTCGCCTGGGGAGGAAGCTCGTGAGCGCCGCCGGGGAAGGAGAGGGAGCCAGGCGCGGTGAAAGCCTTGGCCTGCGCCGCACTCGTGGGATGGGTCTGAATCGCCTCCATGATTGCGGTTGATGGATGATGACCTGAAACCGAGAGTAAGAGCAGATCTGAAGCCTTGCGAATTAGTCTCGTTTCTCAGAGCTATTGTAGTAATGATAAAGAGTATGGAGCGCTGCTCCGATAATGGGGACTGTGAAGTGATGATGTAACGATGTGAAAATGGGTCAAGCGCAGCGATATTGTGTTGATGGGAAGTCTTGGTGAAGTGAAGATGTATGGTTTATGTTCAGAGGTCGGGGGCCAATAAGAAGCGCCAGCTAGCCCCCACCGGCTTGTGGTAGATGGGAAGGCACGACGGAGATGATGGGTAGGCAGATGGAGGAAGGCACGCAGAGCACGCCAGGAGAGGAAAGAAAAGGAAGGAGGGCATACCAATTGTTGGAGATGAACAAATAAATGTCTCCCCTTCAGTGTCTGCTGGACAGGAGGTATGTAGGTGTGCGCGTGTATCTTGCGATGCGACTTTTTTTGCGATCAGTGCCGAGCTTGTGACAGCGGCGGGAACGGGATGCAAATGGATCAAGTGAGGTAGGTCGACGAGAAGGTCGTGGGTTTCGTAGGCGTCGCTTCGATAATGTCGCGAATGACCCAGATACCAGCAATCAACTCGACGTCTCTGGATACCTCGTCACGGTTCAAAGCACGGTGTCTCTATTCGGCGACGGTGCGTGCGATGTCTACAGAGTGCAGCGGACTCGTTCTCGACCTGATATGTCGTCGGAAGGGGTTCGCGCGGGAAGTTTGACGAAGATATGTCTCGAAAGGAACGTATTCCAGTTCTTTTCTCGTCTCAGAGTACGAGATCCGGGGGGGACACTTTCAGTCAAGAAGGTATTCCGCCTGGGGGTTCTGAGGGTTGACGGGTTCGTCGGTTGGTTGATAGGGAGAGGAAGAGAGAGTAAAAGTCGACTTCCGAGATGTGGAAACAAGAGTCGCGACAGCGAGCTTTGTTGTCCAGAAGGATCGCAAGGAAGTAGAGGTGTAGGTTTGATGACAGCAGATGTGTCTATCGTGGGTATCGGACTGGTAGATGTTGCGATGACGATGACGACAAGGACGATGCGAAATCGTATCTCTGAGTCGTGATTGGAGGATTGGGGATGGATTGAGTGGGGGTGGAGAAGGAAAATTAGAAAGGCCGAACGTGAATGGATGACTACGCAAGGCCGTCGGTCGGAGCTTCCGCGCAAGAATTTCGAAACAAGCGGGTTGGAGGGAGGCCTGCCTCTTTATAATTTTGGCCATGGCCTACCTGAGCAGTCGCCCCAACGACACCCCCCTGCCACACAACCCAGGGGCCCCAGGCAGCCAGTGCGCCGTGGCGGTTGGTCCTGCTTGACATTGCTTGTGCTTAGCGGCCACGCTAAGGGCATGCACCCAATCAGCACCTTGGAAAATCTTCATTTTATCTCCTTCCTGTCCCCATGTACCCCTGCCGTGACCACCCCAGCCCCTGAAGTATCGCAGCACCGCGTCCAAGGTCTCTGTACTTTGCATTGTGAAATCCATTGATTTTCAACCAAGTCGCTCTCTTCTTATTTTGCGACAATGCATTCTGGCCAGTGCTTACCCTTTCAGTTCCACGCCTGCCTGTCTTTTCTTGGTTGAATCTTTGCCTCTCCTTGCGTTGCTTTGCCTCTCACTTCCCTCTGGCGCGCCCTTCTCACAGCTGCCAAACCTGCCACTGGCCAGCTCTTGGACGTCCCTTCACCACAGAGGCTGAGATGCCCTCCCTGATGGATCCTACCTATGTCATCATCAGCTGCCATCCTCTTTTTTTTTTTGTCTTGTGCTCTGTTGCCCCGGAGCCTGCTTTCCTGCCTTCAATCCGTATTTGATCTTTTTTTTTTTTTCCTTTCTTTTTATCGTTGCCCCCCTGCCAGCTGTGACTCGACTCGCTTGCCTTCCTGGCCCATCCTTGATGGCCACACTTTTTCCAGTCGGTCCTCCCTCGTTTTTCCGTCAACGCAACCCGGCGTGATCATCCACTCCGATCGCAAGCACTGTTTTCTTCCTCGCTTTCATTTCGGACCTGTGGACAAACTGCGACCTTGACCTACCGCTTACCTACTACGGACACGGCTTTCACACACTTGTCAGAATGCGACACTCTTTTCAACACTACTCGCCACGGCGTCACGACGCGACGGGTCAGCATTCAGCAGCAACAGTAACAAGACTGACATGACGGCGAAACCAACCACATCTGACAGGAGCATGACGACGATCTCATTCGCTCCAGCCACGCGCTCAAACAGAGGAATCGGAACGAATGGCGCGTATTCGTTTTTTCATACCGCGCAGTACGGAGTATGGACTACAGATACCGCACTGCATCCCGCGACAGCTCAGCCCAAAACCCTCCAAAAATCCAGCCGGGTAATAGGCCGTGGGCCGTGTCAAGACTATCTGGACGCCAACCAAATGCAAAATCCCGCTGGCGGCGCTACCTCGTACGGGTGCCGCTACCACAAACGCTACCCATAACCCACGACCTGCCGACCCATTCCGCCATTCCGCTCGCTTCTTCTTCCTTCTTCCCAGTCTGCCAGTGCCAGGCCCGTCTGGCTGTCTGTCTGTCTTTCTGTCTCGCGACTAGCCATAGTCAGAATACTCCGTACGGATACCGGTCTGTCCCAGGCAAGCCCAAGCAACATGAGCCAGGCAGGCTCCAACAGGCTCCTCAGCGCCGCGTCACTCAGTTTCTTTGGCAGCTGCAGCACACCCACCACGACTCCAGGAGTCCAGAGTCCAACCACTGGGGGGTGCTGGTCTGGATTGACACCGACTGGGCCCCCCTTCCATCCTCACCCCTTTCTGACCTGCCCCCCCTCCCCTCCCCCCTTTTTATGATTTTTTCCAATCCTCTCGTCCCAGGAACCCAAGGGCTTTCTTTCCCTCTTCCAACCCTCTTCTCTCAGTCTCCTACCACACGCTAGCGCTCTGAAACGCTGAGCCTGCCCCCTACTTTGATGGCCTCACTGACGATCACCTCCGACACGAGCTCTGTCAGTGCAAAGCGGCGGCAGCGGCAAGAACAGCAACAGGAGCGAACGGCCTCTCCGTCAAACCTGTCAGAAGGGTCACCAGACCACGTTGTCGGCATGTCGCCCGGACGCGAGGACACGACACAAACGCGGGGACCGAACAACAAGGAACAAAAGGGACCGTCATGACCACCAGGCAGGAACGCGAAAACGGCAGCTATTTTTCATGGCGCCTGCACTGCTTTCGGGCATTCGCGGTCTGTTGGTAGGAATTTATGGGCCGCGGCAGCAAACAGACGGCTTGCGACGTGTGAGTCATTGACTTCAGACCGGCTCCAATCGGCCAATGGCCAGCCATTGGTAAGGAGGGAGACGGGAGAAGGGGGAAGAGCATTGAGAAAAAGGGCTGGGTCTGCCAGTCTGATCAATTGGGCGTGTTTGTCGCTCGCCTCCTACTGCGTACTCCTCCCACCAGGCCCCCGCAACAAGACTGGCGCGTCAAGGTACTGGGTACGCGAGCCTTGCCACGCCGCGGCCCATCGCTGGGGACTCTACGCAGTATATCTCTGGAACCCGAACTTTCGCCCGACGAAAAACTCTGTCAACATCCACCAAAGAAGTTCCTTTTGCGGCCTGCGTTTCCCCAAAGAGACCTGAACATCGTGTAAGTTCGCTCATCATCAGCAGTCAGCACCTCTTCAACTCGACCTTTTGTGTCCGCTTGACGTCGCTCTAGCCCAAGCATGGCTGGGCGTTGCTTCGGCATGGATGCAGAGAAAGGGCGCTTGCAGCAATATCACAGATGCAAATTTTATTGCAATCTTACAACGAGGTATCGGGTACCAGGTCTATCGCGAGACTGGGGGCAATGGTCCGTGCACGCACAAGTACCTCTGGACCCATCCCCAAGTCGAGGTACTTTGTCCAGGTCTTCGGCTTTGCCCTCGCGACTCATGCATGTGTGAGCCCCATTGCCCCAAACCTCAGGCCAAGGTTTTTCCTTTTTTTTTCTTTTTTCTTTCACACCCCCAACCTCGTGCTTACAGCTGCTGCTTGCTGGCGCTGCTTGCCAGGTGCTTGCTTTTCTATGTATACGGTTTTAAGGCCGCATCTCGGCCTTGCGGGCCCTGCCAAAGCTCCATCTGCGCTGCGACTCATGTAACTTCAAACATCAAACTCGTACTTTGTAAGTCCGACAGCCTCGTTGGAACATGGAGGTGGCTCACCCTCACCCTCGAACTTGGCACCACCACCACTCCCTGAGACTGTTACCGTATCTATCCTATTTCTGCCTCCATCGCGACGCCCAAGGTTTGGCTGCCCATCGCACTGCCAATTCTCCTCGCTTTGGGCAGCGTGCAGAGCCCAGCAACTGACCTAGAGTTCCCAACTAAACGTGGGAAACCAAACAAAACCCAAAGAGCTAGCTACACGACTCAATCAACTGGCACGCAAAGCACGCCATCAGACCGAGATTCAAAATAAAGATTCAAAAGAACGCTTGTCCAACTTGAAAGGCTGCACTCCAGCCACTGAGACGGGCACTGAGCCCGCATTCTTTACATATTTGCAATGTGTCCCGTAGAAAAAAAAATCGTGGACCTCCTTCCCCTCTTCACGCGTTCCAGCCTCGCCAAACGCATGGAGTTCATGAACCACAAGTGTCTCGCAAGTTCGCATCGCACCCTTGGGTTGTCTCCGATGTCGTTCCCTTCCCACCCCCTCCCCATTCCCGCATTCCGCCCGAGTCGGGGTCTACCTCCGATCGGGTGCCACTCCGCACAGTCGCAACTTGAGCACGACCTGGAAGAAAATGTTATTTTTCCTGCAGGGACTCTCTATCTCTTTCTCGCGATGTATGTGTCGACTTGATTCAGCAAAGGCCCCTCCCTCCCTCCCTCCCTCCACCTTTCCGCTTCTCACGTGAGGGAAGTACATGTTATCTTTATCCTTCCATACCCTCCATCGTCAATCACGAGTTTGAACGCAAACGACGTCGCGACTGTAGGGACCCCTTGCCCTTTTTTTTCGCGGCCCTTGTCTTTCCAGAACTTCGACGTCAATGCAGGCAAGGGACGTGTTGGGCATTCGTCTGATATGCCACACTCTGGCACACATACACGCTCCGAGTCGGGGCCAGCTTGCCAGCCCAGCCTAGACGGGACACAATCGCGCGTGTCGTCATTCATATGTACAAACTGGACTTGGCGAGTAAGGGGTATCGCTGTATCCTTCTTTGCCGATGCGAACCGATGAGGATATCCGTGTTGCGTATGTAGTCCGTCATTGCTGCTGCCACTGCCACTGCCACTGCCACTGCCGGTGGTGGTGGTTTGGATTGTTAAACGGTCTTTGCGCAATCACATGGTAAACTTCGATAATTTCTTTGTCATGATATTCTGCCTTTTACTCATTCTTGACCGGATATTCCGACTATGGATGCAACCTCCTCCCCAAGTGCGGTAACACAAACTCCCATTGACACCGGTATTGTATTTGGAGAAAGGCCTCTATATGTTCAAAGCCCATACTCTCAGCCACCCCTTGCATTCCTCCTACCTACTCCATCCTGAGTACTATCATATGGATGTACCCTCCTATACTTCTGGGCTTGATCAGATGGGGGAAAAGATGTGACGGCTTTTGTCTAGATCGGATGAGAGAAAGAAAATGCTTTTTCTATCCGGTAGTAAATACTCCCCAGCCATGATGCTGATGGACATATAAAAAGGCGTCTCATGACATGTAGTACTTGGGACCCTCGCCGCCCTGCGGGACCTGCCAGTTGATATCCTGGTTCGGCGCCTTGATGTCGCACGTCTTGCAGTGGATGCAGCTGAAGACAGAATAGTCAGTAAAACATCCTTTCGTGGTAGCAGGGCAATAAAGGGGGAAGAAAACGTACTTTTGCGCGTTGATCTGGAACCGGACCCCAAGCTCCTTGGTCTCGTCCTCAACATACTCATACACGCCCGCCGGACAGAACCGGTTCTCGACGCCCTTGAACTTGGGCCACGTCTCCCGCGTGTGCTTCTCCCAGTCCTTGACCTGCAGGTGCACCGGCTGGTCCTCCTCGTGGTTCGTGCCCGTGCGGCTGACGCTCGTGAGGATGTCAAACGAGATCTTGCCGTCCGGCTTGGCGTACTCGATCTTGGGGAACTTGTCCGCGCTGCCCGTCGCCGCGTGGTCCGGCGTCTTGTGCTTCAGCGTCCAGGGGACGCGGCCTTTCAGGACGTACGCCTCGAGACCCGAGTAGGCGATGCCGCCGTACAGACCGAGCGGGGTGTGGAACGAGGGGCGGAAGTTGCGGACTTCTTTGAGTTCTTTCCAGATGGAGGATTCGCGGAGCTTGTCTTCGTAGTCGTACAGGAAGACGGTGTCGCGCGGCCTCTCCTCGGCATCCTCTCCCTCTCCCTCCTCCGCTACCGCGCTGCTGCCGGACGACGAGGAGAGTGCGCTGAAGGCGGCCTCGGCGGCGAGCATGCCCGACTTCATGGCGTTGTGCGTGCCCTTGATCTTGGGCAGGTTCACGAATCCAGCCGAGTCGCCAATCAGCGCGCCACCGGGGAACGCGCACTTGGGGATCGACTGGAACCCGCCCTCAATCAGCGCGCGCGCGCCGTACGTGAGGCACTTGCCGCCCTCGAGGACCTCCTTGTACATGGGGTGGTGCTTCATCTTCTGGAACTCGCCGTAGGGCGAGACCCAGGGGTTCTCGTAGTCGAGCGCGACGACGAGGCCGATGCTCACCAGGTTGTCACCAAAGTGGTACATCCAGCCGCCGCCGTACAGGTCCTTGGACAGCGGGTAGCCCATGGAGTGCGTGATGGACCCCTTTTGGAACTTCTCCGGCTGCACCTCCCACACCTCCTTGATTCCCAGCGCGTACGTCTGGTGCTGGCTGTCGCGGCGCAGGTCAAACTTCTTAATGACCTGCTTGCTCAGGCTGCCGTGGCACCCCTCGGCGAAGAGAGTGCAGCGCGCGTGGAACTCCATGCCGCGCTCAAACGCGTCCTTTGGCTTCCCGTCGCGGCCGATGCCGAGATCGTTTGTCGCGACGCCCTTTACGCTGCCGTCGACCTCGTTGTAGAGCACCTCGGAGGCGGCGAAACCAGGGTACACCTCGACGCCGAGCTCCTCGGCGCGGTCGCCCAGCCACTTTGTAAACTGGTTGAGCGAGACAATATAGTTCCCGTCGTTGTGCATCTGCGGTGGGGTCGGGAGGGGGATCGCGGCCGACTTCGTGAGGAAGCGCATGCGGTCACCGCCAGCGGGCGTGGCGTACTCGAAGCGGTCCGGGTTGTCCTCGGACAGCCAGTCCGGGATGAGCTCGTCAATGGCCGTGGGCTGGATGACGGCGCCCGAGAGGATGTGGGCACCCATCTCGCCGGCCTTTTCGAGGAGGAGAACGCGGAAGTTTTCGTTGCCGGCTTCGTTGGCGAGCTGCTTGAGTCGGATCGCGGCGCTGAGCCCGGCGGGGCCTGGAGCGTTGAAGGCATTGTCAGCTCAATTGGAATCTAGACACAAAGTATATAGCACAAGGGCGCTGGGGGGTGAAATGGTCCCGTACCGCCGCCTACAATGACAACATCGACCTCATCTGCTTCACGCTCGATCGTTGCCGGATCGAATTCGTCGTCCTCGTTGCTTCGTCGTGTCCTACTCGTCGTGAAAGTGCGTGCGCCAATGGGCCTGAAGATCGTGACGCCCGCAGAGCCCCGTGTAGAAGGTATCCTGCCAGTCGTGCTTCTTGACTGGGTTGTTGAGCTGGTGGTAGCCGTGGTGGCGAGTCCTGCTTGAGCGGGACGTGTAGCCTGGAATCGACACCTTGAGAGGTTGCGCGTGCTGCGCTGAAGACTCCTCGCGAGAGGTGACGCCGAGGTATTCATTTTGGCTACGGAAATATGTGCGCGAGCGTATGTGTATGATGTAGTTGATCGTGTCGTTAATCGGGATTGTCCCTTTCTAGTGAACCGGACTACCGCAAGGAACGTCCAAGTCGGCGTGGGTGTGGTTTCGCTCCGTTCGTTTCCCTCGTGCGCTTTGAGAGAGAGAGAGAGAGAGAGAGAGGGAAGCCGAGGGAAAGCTAGTGACGCGGGCGCAATTGGTGTTTCTCTCACTCGATCAAGTCACCTTGTGGTTCGTCAATCGGGCAGTGGTGCGGTTTAAAGTCTAGCAGCGGAACCTGGAGAAACAAGGGGAAAAAACGGCGGCAGATCTTTTTCAATTACAGTAGACGGCACACTGGGGGATCTTGACGAGCTTCGTTTCCTTCCCCCCGTCTCTAATACGTAATGCGAGGGGTGGTCAAAATGCTTGTAACTTGCCGCCCACCAGCTCGGGCCCTGTGGTTTCCTGTGGGTAGTGATAGCCGAGAGAAACCGGTCGGTGGTGTTTGGACTCGGTCAGTACCTGCATAACGCAGCCATCTGTAGCTCAACCATCAGGTAGACCCTCGGTATCCTTGGATGCTGTTTTTACAGCTGAAAGGTACCTGCGTATCAATGGCCGGGAGAAGCCGAGTGACTTCAAGCAGGTCAAGTAACCGTCGGACGCTGCAAAGAGTTTAACGTCTGGGGCGCCGAGCTGCAACCGTCCAATCACCGTCTGCAAATTTCAAATGTGAGCTGGGTCCCTCCGATGTCGTTTCGGCTGCAGGGGCAGCTGTTGCCGTCGGCGTAGCCTTCATTTTGGCCGAACACAGACTGTTCAACACTAGTAATTGAAAAGTTGAGGACAAGACATTTGTGGGTGCATTTACTCTATACAATTTTATATAATTAATGGGCACAGTCAGGCCATGCTCACATGACTCTATTGACGCTGTTGTTTTGTTTATACACCATCAAGCGCTCGCTACCTTTCAACCTTTGGTTCGAGTTGGCGCTATTGTCTTTGGTGTCGCTGCATAGCTGGGAGGCACATCTTCCTCTCTGGTGCCCCAATCACTCTCCTTCGTGCCGACGGTCAGCTCCAACACACCGCCTTGGTAGAAGAACTCGTGGTTTATCCAATTCTTCGTGTATGGTTTTCCGTTTAGAGTGGCGCTCTGAATGTAGATACCCTCGGCAAGTTCTTTGTCATCCTTTGCGATTTTTCGGATAACAGCGGGCTTAGGACCCCGGCTCTTAAGCCGCACCTCGGGGAAGAATGGCGGGATGACGAGGTACACGTCCTGCCCCGCGACGGGGAAGAACCCCATCATGGCAAGCGCACTGAAAGCGCCCATTGCACAGTCATCATTGCCAGGGATGCCGTTGATCGTGGCATTGAACTGCGAAGGAATGTAGCTCCGTGTGGTGCGCGAGCTGAGGCCGGGTCTACCCGCATAATGGAATTGGAACACCGTAAGGAACGCCTGTTCGTTGCCCATGTAGACAATATCGCCGCTGTGGTAGTATTCGAGCCTGTCGACAAACGCATCCCGACCTCCCATCAGCTTGATCAAAGTTGCCATATCCTGCGGTGCGAAGAACGAGTACAGCCAGGGTGAGCCCTCGTATGTCGCCTGGGCAGTGTCGAAGTAGCAGAGATGCTGTTCGGTATTAGGCGAACAGACACGCGTGTTCTGGTACGTAAACGAGCCATTCATCAACTTCGGCATCAGGAATCCCGTGTACTTCGTCCTCTCGATCTCTTTCTTGTCCTTGTCTTGGATGATATCCTCTTGGGCCGGATTCCAGAGGTTCTGCCAATTTGCGCTGCGCTGCATGTATTTCTCAAAATCTTCTTTGTGGCCGAGTCCCTGGGCCATCTCGGCGATGCAAAAATCGTCGTAGGCGTACTCAACGGTCCGAGAAATAGACCTGCTGTGTGGTCCGGTCGATATTTTGTCCATATGATCCTGTGCGATGTATCCCAGACCAAACCAGCTTTGCAGATTCCCACGGCCTTCGACGCCATAGTGCTGCGGGGCCACTGCAGAATTCATGTTAAAGACTGTTTCGTTGTAGGAATCCCAATCACATACCTTCGGCATCAGAGACCACAGCCTCATATGCGGTCTTCCAGTCAACCCCGTTGGTTATGTTCTTTAAGTATGCATCTGCGATCACGATATCCGCGTTCGATCCTCCTTGGCTAAACCCCTTGCAGAAAGACATTCTGCAGTCTGGAAGCTTTCCAACAAATCTGAAGATATCTAGCAGTGTTCGTACCATCTGCGTTTGAGCTTCAGGATCTATGATCGTCAGAAGTGGATGCTGTGCTCGGAATGAGTCCCAGATGCAGTAGAACGAGTCAAAGTACGGTTCGGACGACTCCCATAACGGGTTTTCGCCAGTGTAGTTCTGCGGTGACAGCAAGCTCCGGTATAGACCAGACCAGAATACGGTCTTCATGTCTTCACTGACGCCTTCTGTGCTGACATCCACTGTTGAGAGCTTGTCGGCCCAAGTCAATTCCGCAGCACGCACAGTGCCGTCAAAGTCGAATTTAGGGATATCTCTCTCAGCATTCTCACAAGCTTTGTTGACAGAGATAAAAGACAGGCCGACTCTGGCAAGGATCTGGTTGTTTGTGGGACGCTCAAATTGCAGCCATGCGCCAGCGGCGCCGGTAGGGTTGTGAATACCGCGCGTGAACTCGGCTAGATATTTGTCTGTCACGCGCGGGTTGTCCCCCTCGAAGACGCCGGAATTCCGAATAGGGGCGCCCTGGAAGTCGGCGCAGAAAAATGCTCTGTAGCTGCCCTGACCGAAAGAGGGTCTGAAGGTGCCGTCGCCAACGACGCGGCCAGACTCGTACACTTGAATGCCCCCGCTCGATCTGCTCTGGGCAATGTCCGTGAGGTCAATGAGAATTAATGGGCTACTCACGACTTCAACCGTGTTAAGGTCCGCTGCGTTTTCGTAAGATAAGGTATCGTTTGGTGAGAAGTTGAAGCGGAAGAGAGTTGTCCGCTCCCCGGCTGTCATCTCGGCGCCAACAGTATTGGAAATATTGACAGCAAAGTAGCCTGGACGGGCTACGACAGAGTTATTTACGCGCCAGAGGCTTCGTGATTCTGTTGTGAAGTTGCAGGCCATGTAATCATCATTGGGGCATCCTGGATGAGGGAACAGAGGGAAATTGCCTAGAGAAGGTGACTGTTCGAATGTGAGTGACACAGCATAGAGTTGGGCCGATAGGATGGGTGATTCTTACACCTCCGGTTCCTGTTCAGATTCATCAGTATTGTGATCAGATGAAGAGAAGTTGTGATGACTTACCAGAGTCATGTAAATGAGAGAAGCCGGTAATTTTGGAGTTGTCAGATACCCAGCCAGCCGCATTCTCGGCTCTGGAGTCCGTGTCTGCACAGGCTTTGGCCATTCCTAGTGGAAATGTCAGAGAAAGTTGTGCGCCGTGATCAAAGATGCCGTATCACTCACCATACGGTAATGATGCACCAGGAAACACATGGCCTACGGTTTGGTCAGATGTATATCAGAGTATACTAGGCAGCCCGACTGACCTCCGTTGGTGGTTCCGATTAATGGATCGACGTATCTCAGTACGGCTCGCTGTGCTCTGAAATCGGACTTGGCGCTGATTAGGTTGATGAAGCCTCGTGTTCCCGAGAGAGGCCACCATAGGACCAGACAGATGACAACAGCAGCGAATACCGCCAGTCGAACAGGTCGGGACAGACCGATGGCTGGGACGAGGAGGGCCATCTTGGACTGGTGTCAAAGGTCGCCGTTTGATTAATGACCAGCAGCCGCCAGATGCCCTTGAATCGAGAGTTGAAATAGTTGAACAGAACTTCTGCCCATCAGAATGCCTCCAGGGCCGGACGAAGACTAGCTCGCCGAAGTGATTGATCTGCTTACGCGGTCATGGGGATGTGATCTCAACAAATAGTCTGGCGATGAATTAGTGCATGTCGGTGAGGACTGCCCGGATCATACCACACCGAAAGAATTGTAATTGTTGATAAAAGTGGTGGAAGTTGAAAGTTGACGATGAAGAAGTCAGAGCTGCAGACTAAGTGGAGACGGTTCCTAAAGGTAGACCAAGGGGACAGTCGAGTGTCTCTGGCCTGACGTAGGTACGAGTAGCTGGTTGGAGCTTGGTAGGGATGGATGGCATTCCTTGGTGTGCGATGCAACTTGGTTCGGAAAGTGACGACCGACGAAATGGACAATAACATCAACTTCAGCTGATGTCTGAAGTCAGGCAAGTCTCGGCAGCTCGTGCTTCGCTCCGTCCCTTTGGTTCAAAGCGGATTCATGCAGCAAGCACGAACGATAATGATGAGATTTCGAATGGTTAAGTTCGAAGCTTCAAGGCACATGCCGCGGAAGGGGTAACAGGACACATGTTGAGAGACATGTGGGCAGGCAGTCCTTGTTTAAGAAGCCCTCCGCTACTTAGTTTTGTCCATGGCAATTCACCCGATGGGATGGATGGATGGGGACAAACAAGGGTTCTATTTTTTTCTTCCCCTACGAATACCGTATTACTCCATGTCTTTCCGCCTCCTGAAGTGTCTCGCTCTGGAGCCACCAGCCCAAAACGGTAACCTTGTCGACGCCAATACGCAGTAGAGTAGCTGGGCCACCAATTGACATGATGGATCATCTGCAGCTGGCCGGCCCTTTTCCGAGATAGCGATACCTATTGCCTGGGGATACAAGCTTAGCACCACCCATTTAGGTAGCGGAATGTCTGCTCCAAAGTCCAAGTGTGGCTAGGGCTGAGGGGAAATAGGTCCTGTAAGGTAGGTGTCGAGATCTGGCCCGAATAGCGTACCATGTCGTGTCTGCAGGATGAAGCGACGCCAAACCAAGCAGGTCTGACGGGCTGATGGGCTGAGGTACCGGTAGCACAGCTGCAGAGGCTGATCAGTGATGGAGGCCGCATTGCAGTAACCTTGCCTTGAGCTGCTTGAATTACCAACCCGGTCGTCACAAATAAGGTTAAATGTTAGTGCAGTTTGTGCCGAGTCGCCGAGTCAGCCGTCCACCAGCCATTTCTCACAGAAACGCCGCCAGAAATACTTCCCCTAGTGTACTGTGGTAGGTAGAACACTCTGTGACTCCGTCTCCAAGACAAAGAGCCACGTGCTCCGAGTTGGCCCCTTCCACAACACACCGTTTCTTTTCATCATCTTTTCCTTTCCCTGCTCTCTTCATCGCCATGCCTTCATTCTCACACTGACGCTCCGTGGTCCAGGACGTAGTCCGATTTTCTGTAACGGTCAGGTCCATTATAGCGCAAAGTTTCTCGTTTGCTGGCCTCGTCACATATCCTGCGACTACCTCAGAAGCCGAGCATAGATCATCCCGACTTGGCTCTGGTTTCTAGTGGAAAGTCCAAGCGGACTCTTCTCCGCGCTCAGTTCCAAGATCACATCGTGGAGCACATTGTGATTGTAGCTCAACGCTGCAACCCAAGATTCATCAACAGAAAGCTTCTGGAACATGTCTTCGCAGCAACTTTTGTTCGAGCAATCCGGTCCGACAGCGCGGTGGACCTCTCTCCCCCACCCATCCATCTCATACAATGCATACTGCATCGTCTTCCTTCATCGGAGGATACCTGCCTGCTCACCACCACCACCACAATGCACGGCGCCGAGTGGCTGCCGTTGGGCTAACGTTACCGTCTCTTAGCTGGGGATCCAACAGCTGCATTAAGGCGGAGAACCCTGTTCCTCCATCCTGCCATCCTGGCTCCAACTGCCTCGATTCATTCTTGACCTCTCCCACCGGCTATTCTGGAAGCTTGAGTCGGGGACGACCCTTGTCTGTCAAGAAGCGTCAGGGTCCCATCAGGGTTTGAGAGCCAGCTCATACCGACCATGCCCATCTATTCCCACTGCCTTGTTGAAGCTCGCTGGCGCATTCAAAACGCAACTCGTGGCCTGAGCTTCGTCGACAGTCTGGGCTGCCCGATGCTAAAACGTCGTGGGAGCCCGTGGACTCTCTTCCACAGACTTGCGCGTTGGTTTTCTTCAACCTCCCCACCTCACCCGGAATATCTTCTTCGTCCTGGTCTTTTTCCCGTTCACGTCCCCCACTTTGACGTACTGGCAGACTTGCGGTGGGCACACTAATCAGCAAAACGACATCATTTCCTCCTGCAATACGACAACGTTCTCTTATTAGTCTCCATATACAACGTTTCCTCCCCCGCATCTTGATCACCTCCCCCGCTCATCATCCAAGGTCACGCGAACTGTAGTTCATCCTTGGATCAGAGGAACATGAGGACCTGGACAGGCACTTGACCAACCCCTCTTCGGCTCTTCTTATAATGATGCCCTGCCCGTCGAGGGCCAGGCATCGCGACGTCCGGCGGTCGTGACCGCAACATCGTTGGAAAAACACCTTTCCATAGTCATCATGGCCCTCTTATACGGCCTCGCCTTCGCCGGCCTGGCGGCAGCTAATCTCAGACCCAACTGTCCTCACTTCACCGACTACGCGGCAACGCTTCACGAACCCTTCTCAGAAGGCGTCCATAAGCTAGCCTACCAGCGTCCGCCGCCAGAATGCCGCACGGCCAGTTATCCCGAGGTCGAGAAGACCATCACCGAGATGAAGGCTCTCGTCAAAGATCCGGACCTCTATCGTCTTTTTGAGAACACGTTCCCGAATACTCTTGACACTACCGTCGCTTGGACCGGTGCTGCCGAAGACAATGCAGACGAGGAGCTCAGCTTCATCATCACCGGCGACATCAACGCCGAGTGGCTCCGGGACAGCAGTAACCAGTTGCAGAGCTACCGCTCTCTACTTACACGCAACTCCTCGGCCGGTTCCCTCGCTGCTCTATACCGCGGCGCAATTAACCTCCAAGCTCGCTACGTCCGCTTCGCGCCTCACTGCAATGCTTTCCAACCACCAGCGGAATCCGAAATAGCCCCCACAGACAACGAGGCCGGCGGCGCGTCAGATCACATCTACCCCCAGTACCCGACCTACTCCTTCTTCGAGTGCAAGTACGTAGATTAACCCCCTCAGTCCCGTCCCGTCCCTCAGACCCTCGAAGCCCCCTCCAACTAACACGGCATATCAAGATACGAGCTAGACTCCCTCGCCGCCTTCCTCCAGCTCTCCCACGACTACCACGCCGCCACGGCAGACAAGGACTTCTTCGCCCGCTTCAACTGGTCCAAAGCCGTCGCCGTCCTCCTCAACACCACAGACGCCCTCCGCACGGGAACCTACGCCGCAGACGGCACCCTCAACCCCTCCCCGGCACTCTTTGAGCGCCGCGCCGTCTCCGCCTCCGAGACCCTCTCCAACAGCGGCAACGGCGCCCCGACCCAGGCCGGCACGGGAATGGTCCGCAGCTTCTTCCGCCCCAGCGACGACAGCTGCATCTACCAGCTCTTCGTCCCGGCCAACATGATGTTCGCGCGGTACCTCAACTCGTGCGCCGAGATCATGGACGGCATCGACGCCAGCCTCGCCGAGCGCATGAGGGAGTCGGCTAAAGTCGTCCGCGAGGGCATCGAGGCGCACGGGAAGACGACGCACCCGAAATTTGGCGAGATTTACTCGTACGAAGTAGACGGCTTCGGTAGCCACAACATCATGGTTCGTCCCTCTTCTTTCTTCCCAACCACACTTGCACAACTTTCCATCTATCTTTCCCCTTCGTCATCTAACACAATCTCAGGACGACGCCAACATCCCCTCCCTCCTCTCGGCCCCTCACTACGGCTACCTCTCCGCCTCGGACTCAATCTACCAAAACACCCGCCGCTTCGTCCTCTCCACCTCGAATCCCTACCAGATGCGCGGCCCCGTCCTCAACGCCACCGGCGGCCCCCACATCGGCCCGGGAAACGCCTGGCCCATGGCCCTCATCGCCCAGCTCATGACCTCGGACGACGACGACGAGATCGCCGGCGGTCTGCGCCAGCTCGTCGCCTCCACCGATCGTCTAGGCCTCATCCACGAGTCTGTGAATAGTCACGACGCTTCTAAGTGGACTAGATCATGGTACGTCATTTGTTGGGGGTTTTTCTTCTTTTCTTTTTGCTGCAAAAAAGTCGTGGCAAAAATGCTGCGCTTACGCCTCCTCACCCAACCCTGATATTGGATTGGGATTTTGCTAACGAGGTATCTGTAGGTTCGCATGGGCGAATGGTCTCTTTGGACAGATGATGCTGGATCTGAGAGAGAGAAAGCCGCATCTTCTTGAGAGAAGTTATCAGTAGAGCAGTCGAAATGTTGCTACATATGTCACATAGTACTCATGATGTCCTATACATATCGTTTGGCGGAATGACCGCTGGCAATGTTGCCCCTACAGAGCAAGCAGATACACGAACATATTCTAGCTAGTAAAGTAGATGTGCAAAGAAAGTGCACATTCAGGGGTCGGTATCACATCCACTGCCATCTACAGACCAAGACTCCATGCCACGTGATAGCGTCTTCGCATCGTTGGCCACAAACCTACGGATCTTTTTGCGGTGCAGTGAAATAATACATTTGCATTTTTGAACACTAGTGATCTGCTCTATCTTCACGTCATAACGTCATGAATGCCCGTCCAGCACACTCTTCTAGGTTACCGCTCGCTCAGCTGAGATCGAAGCCAGCTCCCGAGGAAACCGCATAGAGCAGCTTCTGTCTGAGAGTCTCCTGGTTCTTGTAGCGGGGCAACTTCAGTAAGTTGACACAGGTGCTGGTACTGGGCAGTCTCTCCTGATCCTCTCCTCCATCCCTGATACTGAACCGCGGGCTGAGCTGCGAGAAGCCTAGCAAAGGTGCTCGTGGCGTACTCGTCACGTACTTGAGCACGTCTCGCCGCTCCCGGTCGGAGAAGTTTGTCATGACTTTCCAGAACAGCTGGACCGTGGGGTGCTCCAGTCCGTCGTCTCCAATCTCGTACAAGCCCGAGTAGACCGTGTTCTGACGCAGATCTTCAATGTCGATTTCGGAGCTGTCGCCTCCCACAAGACGCTGTAACTCGTTTTGATTGAACATTGAAAGCCACGCAGGGGCAATGATCGAGCGAAGACCTCGAAGGAACGCGGCCGTTTGCTGTGCAGGTTGAGCAACGAGGCGATGACGGGCAACGTAGGAAATGTAGAGGAGGCGGTTATCGTTGGTAACGGTAACATTCTCACCATTTGGAATCAGATTCCGCGTGACAGTGCGAACAGGTTCCCCTGGCAAAGACACCTGATCATTAAGCGTGAAGTCCAATGCCCAATCCGCAACATTCCCGTGGTGGTTCTTGAGGCGCAACATGCCCTGGTACAGCTCCTCATCCAAATCCCTGAGGTCGTTCACATTGCCCCTGTAGCTGTTCTCTCCGGTCTGGCCCGAGATCCATTTCAGGAGGAAGAAGCCAGCAAACGCAATGTCGACCAGAATCCCTTCGTACATGCACTTGCCTACAATCCGGCCGAGGAACTCGAACTGGCGGAGTAGACTCTGGACTTGGTCTTGCCATTCAGCTGAGCGTTCTGGAACTCCAGCTCGTTTCAACACCTGCCTGAGCTCGTCCATTGCAGTCGGGTTGGGGTACAAGAGCCCCTTGCTGTTGGCCGTGAAAAGCGAAATGCCATCCCTTGGCCCGAACGCTTCTGTCGTGACGCTGGTGAGGAATTCCTTGGTAACTCCGCCACCATCGATGCCAGCTTCGACCGTATCGAATTGATCGACAAACTGGATCTGTATAGGTTCTTTGAGGCCTTCGCCAAGCTCATAGAATTGCTCAAAGGCATCCTTAAACACCTGGCCTCTTCTGATTTTGCCATGATGTCGCCCAGCTGGACTGCGCCCAGGGGAACGCAGAGGATTGTGCAGCATCGTCATTCTCCACTGATCAGCATCCATGCCCTCCCTCCGCTTGTGTTTGTCAAGATAGACGAATTGGCGGAAAATCTGGACACGGGTATCGAATGGAATGACAAATGGCATGTGTCTCAGAATCTCCAATTTTGGCCCGATCACGGCGAGTAGACGATCCCTCTGTGCTTTGCGTTGTTGAGCCCGAAGCTTCTCAATTTGTGCATGCCGTGATACTCGCTGTCCGGCTACGGTGTGAATAATACCGCTGTGCAGCCCACCCATATTGGTGTCTTCGTCAACCTCACCGTCTTCGTCGTCACTAGAGTCGGAGACTTCGTTCTGTCGTTCTTGTTCAGCGACAACAGCACTGACAAACCCCTCCATATCAAATTTCGATGTCATGAGCCAGTGGTCTCGGGGTAAAAATGGCCGTCGAGAATCTCGTTCGTACAAAAGTCGTAATGCCGTAGTTACAATACTACGCAGGCTACCGAGGTCAAGTCTAGTATCAGCCGCGTTGGCTCTTGGGTCTTGGCTTCGGGCCTCCTTCGAGGTCTTAGCGGTACTACTGCCGCTTCCAAAATACGACTCGAGTTGCGTCATCGAGATCGGCTCGGAATGTTGAATGCCTTGTAAAATATCCGCAGCATTGTAGTGTAGCGTGAAAGCTAGGTGCTTGAGCACAATGGTCAAGTTCTTTACTTCGCTAAGAGAAAGTCCGCATGCTCGTAGACGAGACGTTGGCCCCTCGAATTTGATTATGTCAGGGAAGATACCACTGAAGAAGTCTTCGTCGTCGCTCAAGCGAAGAATAAAGATGTAGAGCTCGAGGAAAAGAAGGACAAGTCTCCATTCTTGCTCATGCGAGTCACTTGACTTTGAAGATTTTGACAAGTAATCGCGCAGCAGGACTTGTACCGATGCCGAGTTTTGCAAAATCTGCTTGTAAATGGTGGTCTGGCTCATAGCCTGCCAAAGAAACTGGATTGTCGGCAAACTTCCCAAGCCCGTGCTAACATCTCCTAGGAAGAGGCGCATACGGATATCATCGCCCTGACTTGGAAAACAACGGAGAAGAGTGAGAATGTACCCGGACAACAAGCTTGCGCTTTGGAACTCATGACTTGAGGATTGAGAGCCAAAATTACTGGATAATGTAAGCGACTTTTCGAGGGTAGGAAAAGGATTCACTCACGTAGTGAGCTCGGCCAAAAGCGCCGAAATTCCATCTCGGTTGACCAGAGATGTGAGTTGACTGGTGATGTATACAGGCAGTGGGCGTATCAACGACTCATCCGGGTTGTTAGAATCCACATTCATCGAGGCCGGATCAGCTACTCGAACAGATAGTCGCAAGCTGATTTCTGTGGACAAGCTCGAAAGTTGAATATGCAATGCGTCTAGGTGCTTAAGCCCCTGGCTCTTCGGCCCAGCCCTTTGGTATAAGCCAATGAAATGTGCAAGAAGCCAAAGTTGGGCTTCCCTTTCAACACCGCGTATCCGTCCGTCACTATATATTCTTTTGATGGCTGAGGCGAGTCGATCGGATTCGAGATTTTCAGAAATGACTTTCGAGTGCTCTTCGACAAGGTGCAGGTCATGACGAGTCAAGAAGAATAGCGTGAATGCTTCGTAAGCAGCCACCAGATACTCATCAGCGGATGCAGCTTGGAGCGGCACGAGGAGAGCTTTCGAAGTCGACTCCAAAGCTGCCGTATCCATCTCCGGTACCCCACATATCTCTGCCAGGGCTGTATAGTACTGTCTAAACGATTTAGAAAGCGCATCGGGGGCAACACTTATGATGTGCGTTAGGAGGCTGAGAAAGAGTCGGATCTCGTTGTTTTGACTGCTAGAGGCAGCGTTAGTTGACATTGAGCGTTGTTCAGAGAGGGATACCAACGATTTCTTTGTTTGTTCGCCTAGAGCATCCACAAGTATCCGAACAAGACGTGCCAGTCTGGGTGCAGGAAGGTGGCTAGGGGCAAGGCACTCGAGGTTGGTCGTATTTAGTTCTCTCGCAAAGAGCACCAGGCGTTCAACATCGTCGGGTCGGGTCTGGAAGGTTGTCAACAGCAGTGGCAACGCCGTTGCTAGTCTCTGTTGTGTACCAAGGACCGAGGTACTCGAGTACAGAGTATCAAAGGCGTCCCGGCGAGAGTCTCGAAGCCGCCTCCTAACCCTGTGGCCCCTCCATGTTTTCTGAATCTTTTCAGAGGCTTTCAGCCTGTCTCGGTCCTGCTGTCTCTGTGCGCGTTCGGCTTGGGCGTTGGAAACGGTCTTAGAGGCTCCTGAGCCTGCGGCAGGCGTCCATGATGTTGCGGCAAAGGGATTGAGGTTCTGGCCACTGAGGTTCACATTCCGGGGGCGTCGGGAGTTGCCCGTGAAGGTGGGAAACATGTTTCCTTGGAGAAACGATGCCTAGTGAAAGAAGTGAAAATGGTAAGGTTGTACCATGTCAAGAAGAGATTCACAGAACCACCAAAGTGCAAGTAGCTGCGATGGTGGAGGGTGAGGAAGTCGCGAGCGCGGTTGACTTCCAGAAGCTTCAGCACGTTCGGACGGGGTGTATGTAATCGAACTGTCACTGGAGGGTAATTCACGGGCTTGGGCATCGGCTCTGGTGGGGTCTACCTTAAGGTAGTCTCTCGAGGTGCCTGGTTTGGTGAGGTAAGCTGGAGCTGGTCCCAGCGTCAGGTTGTGGAAGGTTCCGATGTGACGCGAGCAGGCACGAGCTTTGTGGCCTGGTGGGTCCTGGGACCTGGGGACAGCAAGGTCAGGTACGTACCCTACGTTGGATAAGAGAATGGGGGCGGTTGAGTCCAAGCGCCGCCCCCTTGCACCCTGCCATCTGGGGAGGAACACACAAACCGACGTTGACCTAATTGCTGCTAGTTGACCATAATCATGGTGGACATATCTGATGACATCTTTAAAGATGGATGGGCCCGACGATGAGAGGTCGCAACAAAAGGCAAGACAGTTGTTAAAACTCAGTAGCATCAACATACGGCTGTCGCAGAAGCTGGAAGTCTATCATGACCGTGTTATGCTTTCAAGACACGGCTGACTCGGATTGCGATCTCTTTACTCGCGCAAATGTCGGTGAGGATGCCAGCCCAGGTGAACCCGTATGAGGAAGGTACTCTGATGCAGAAAGGCTGAAGAGTCGTGTGAAAAGCACCCAAGATGTTCATTTCTCAGGGAAAGCTGCGGGAGAGGTATGGTGGTAGACTCTTGTCAAATGAAGATGATTCCAACGGACTCTACACGCATGCATACCTCTATACAAAACTACAAACTCGTTGCACGAGCATTCATCCGGGCTCTGATAATCGTCTGTTCTCTTGATAGACCCCCTCAGCATTAGCAGGGAGGAGATGAGCCGCGGTTAACAGACTCTGGGGCTATACTGGTATAGATATGCAGAGGAAACCCGCCGCGCGCATGTTGGCAAATTCATTCCAGCCTGAGAGCGAGGGGCTGAGTGCTTCAAGTCGTCTCGCGTGTCTTGGGCTTCAACATTATGTATTAAGGTGCTTCAGTTTTTGTCTAAGGCGGCAGCTAACGATTTGATGGAAGTGCCGGCTTTCTTCGTGGGCATTTGTGGCACAGACAAGCGCATTTAGGTACCACGTTTCCAGCCACGGCTCTTGGTGCGAAATCGCCCTTGCTTTTTTGGAAATGAGCAATGTCCCTGACGTTGTTTTGTCGCACACCGCAGAAAGAGAGAGAGCCAGCCAAGGGTGACATTCTCATCCATTCTGTCTGCCGTGACTGGCTGTCAGTCAAGGTAGCGTGTCGCATTACTCCTCCTTATTATGCCTGAACCTGTTTGTTTCTACCACAAAGGTAAGGTACTCCAGACACCTCCAGATCGGCAATCTTCTTCTTTTTGTTTGTATTTTCGTCACAGGGTTCGCCGTTGAATCGGAAATGGTCGCATAAATTTCTGACGTTTCTCCACTAGACCAGCTACCTCAACGCTCGTACTTGTGTCGATGCTGGCCTGATGTCCCTATCTGTTATCAGTGAGATGCTACTACTATTTGCGATAGTGACCGAATGACCAGGACTTGAACCGCTTGTACCCCACTTTGCTGGCACATGCCCTGCTCCTGGCGCGGGCTGCCCCTCCCCTCGACAAAATCTGGAAGGCGAGGAGGGACACACAGCATGAGGAGCAGGAGCGCCAAAATCGAGTGGTGGGAAGGCACCACCCTCCACTGCAGGTAGGCAGATCCAGTAAAAAAAAAAAATCATCCCGCGAAAGCCACATTCATTGAAAAATCTCTCCTCTCTCTTCTTCTTTTCTCCGTTACCAACCACACCAAACCCTATCAACAACCCCCTTCACATCTAAAGAGGGTCTGGCAAGGAGTACGTCTTCGTACTTGTTCTCTGTCTCGCTCACTTTTTCCATCAGAAAAAACTTCAAAAAAAAACTTGAAAATCCCCCATCAAAAACTCCCAACTTCCATAACGGAATTCCCCTCCTCAATCGCAAGAAAATTCTAGAGGAATCGTTCACCGAGCCTCTTTTTCTTGCTTTTACCTCTGCACCTGCCTGTCAATCTCGCAACAAGTGCCCCTCGTGTGTGTCGGTCAAACGTCACACATCGCCATAACCTCATTCGACGATACAAGGCTCGCCTTCTCCTCTTCTTACTCTTATCCCCTCCGACCACATCGTCTCGGTCTCGTCCAACAACCGATCGTCAGATTTCTTGACTTGGTATGTGCCTTCTCCCCTCATATCCCCTCTTCTACCTCGCCGTCGACTTCCACCAACGTGTGCGGTTCGCAAATTCTTACCCCGCCTTCCAAGTCGTGGCTCATTCCTCCTTCATCTCAACCTGCCTCTAACGACCACTTGGTGTTGCAGTATCTTTTCCCCTAGTCAATTCTACTACCGATACAATGGCCACCGCTACCAACAACGGCGCTGTCGACCAGCTCGCCAACGACCTGGGCAACGCTTCCCTCAACGGCTCTGACTCCAAGGCTGCCCCCGCCATCAACACCAATGTTGAGTCTGCCGCTCAGGGCGACAATGCCGACACCGCAGGCCCTACCCCCAGCTCCGCTGCGCCTCACCCCCAGGCCTCCGCCTCCCTCTACGTCGGCGAGCTCGACCCCTCTGTTACCGAGGCCATGCTTTTCGAGCTGTTCTCCCAGATTGGTTCTGTCGCTTCCATTCGTGTCTGCCGTGATGCGGTTACCCGCCGCTCTCTCGGCTACGCCTACGTGAACTACAACACTACCTCCGATGGCGAGAAGGCTCTCGAGGAGCTCAACTACACCCTCATCAAGGGCCGCCCCTGCCGCATCATGTGGTCCCAGCGTGACCCTGCTCTGCGCAAGACTGGCCAGGGCAACGTCTTCATCAAGAACCTCGATGTTGCCATCGACAACAAGGCTCTCCACGACACCTTTGCCGCTTTCGGTAACATCTTGAGCTGCAAGGTCGCCCAGGATGAGAACGGCAACTCCAAGGGCTACGGTTTCGTTCACTACGAGACCGACGAGGCTGCTTCTCAGGCTATCAAGCACGTTAACGGCATGCTTCTGAACGAGAAGAAGGTTTACGTCGGCCACCACATCCCCAAGAAGGACCGCCAGAGCAAGTTCGAGGAGATGAAGGCCAACTTCACCAACATCTACGTCAAGAACATTGCCACCGAGGTCACCGACGATGAGTTCCGCGACCTTTTCGCCGCCTTTGGCGACGTCACCTCTTCCTCGCTTGCCCGCGACCAGGAAGGCAAGAGCCGCGGCTTTGGCTTTGTTAACTTCACTACTCATGAGGCTGCTTCCAAGGCTGTCGACGACCTTAACGGTAAGGACTTCAAGGGACAGGATCTGTACGTCGGCAGAGCGCAGAAGAAGCACGAGCGTGAGGAGGAGCTCCGCAAGTCTTACGAGGCTGCTCGCATGGAGAAGGCCAACAAGTACCAGGGTGTCAACCTGTACATCAAGAACCTCGACGACGAGGTTGACGACGAGAAGCTTCGCCAGCTGTTCGCCGATTTTGGCCCCATTACTTCTGCCAAGGTGATGCGCGACAATGCCACCGACTCTGGCAACGAGGAGGAGGGTTCCTCCGAGGAGACGGACAAGGAGAACAAGAAGGAGGAGGTCAAGGCCGAGGAGAAGGAAGAGGCCGAGAAGACCGAGGAGAAGGAGGACGGCGAGAAGAAGAGCGAGAAGAAGTCGGACAAGAAGCCCCATGGTAAGTCCAAGGGCTTCGGCTTCGTCTGCTTCAGCAACCCCGACGACGCAACCAAGGCCGTTGCCGAGATGAACCAGCGCATGGTCAACGGCAAGCCTTTGTACGTCGCTCTTGCTCAGCGCAAGGATGTTCGCAAGAGCCAGCTTGAGGCTAGCATCCAGGCTCGCAACCAACTCCGCATGCAGCAAGCCGCCGCCGCTGCTGGTATGCCCCAGCAGTACATGCAGCCCCCCGTCTTCTACGCCGCGGGCCAGCAGCCCGTCTTCCCCCAGGGTGGTCGCGGCATGCCCTTCCCTCAGGGCGGCATGGCCATGCCTCCCGTTCAGGGTGGCCGCCCGGGCCAGTTCCCCGGAGGATACCCCCAGCAGGGCGGACGCGGTGTTCCCCAGCAGATGCCCCCTGTCTACGGCATGCCCGGCTCCTTCCCTCCCGGAGGTGCCTACCCCCAGCCTGGTAACCCGCAATTCATGGCTGCCATCCAGCAGGTGCAGCAGGCTACCATGGGCGGTGGTCGCGGCGGTCCCCAGGGTGGCCGTGGTCCCGTCCCCCAGGGAATGCCCATCCCCGGCGGCCCCGGCATGCCCGGCTTCCCTCCCAACGCTCGCCAGGGTGGTAACCAGCCCGGCGCCGGCCGTGGTGCCAACCCCAACGCTCCTCGCAACGCTCCCTTCCCCCAGGGTGGCCGTGGAGCCCCTGCCCAGGAGCTCAACAGCGGCAGCCTCATCCAGCAGCAGCTTGCTGCCGCTGGCGGCAACCCTGGCCAGCAGAAGCAGATCCTCGGTGAGGTCATCTTCCCCAAGATCCAGGCTATCCAGCCTGAGCTTGCCGGAAAGATCACCGGTATGCTTCTCGAGATGGACAACGCTGAGCTTGTTAACCTGTAAGTTGAAACAACCCCTACCTACACTGATCTCTCACTAACATTCCGCAGCATCGAGGAGGAGTCTGCTCTCAAGGCCAAGGTCGACGAGGCCCTCGGCGTCTACGAGGAGTACATCAAGGCCCAGGGTGGCGAGGAGGGCGAGAAGAAGACCGAGGAGACTAAGGCCTAAGCCATCTCCTCCACATTCACGCAACGTCATGAGCATGATTTCCTTATGTCATCATACCCCTTGTTATCGGGCATCCTTTCTACGACCAGTGAGCATTCAACGACAACGCTCATGAGGTCATTGCTCAACACGGATTGGGAAAAGTTATTTGGAATGAGGCGGCATAATCGACTGCATTTTTTTACGCCAGAGGAATCTCCACGACATGCTTTGCTATGACGGCAGCTCTTTCTGGGACCTGTCGTCAAATCCTTCGGGGCCTGCATGTATGGATAGATTTCTCTACTGCCTTCGTAGGCAGAGAGATTGGCGGCTCATCCCTTACTTGGGTGGCTCCTGTTCTCTTGATCTGCCAGGAAGGCTAGGTGGGATGCGTCATTTGCCACCCAGTATGGTTCTCCAGGAAGGCGTTTTACGGTTGTATGTTTGAGTCGCACGAGCTGCCTGGCTTCGCTCGCTTGCGATGGCACCAATACCCCACACAGAACGGTACTCGTTTCTTCAGGCAAACAGGCAGATGGTGGTTTTGAGGAGGTATGAAGTATCTCCTAATAGAAAGTTCAAAAATACTCCGGCGTTCCTTTACTGTGAAGATGTGTTAGTGTGCATGACTGGATCTTTCTCTGATTATTCCATGTTCGGAATGCGAAGGTTGTACAGTTGCCCATAATGACAGCCTTTGGTAATGATGGAGGCGTCCCCTTAAGCCTAGAGGGTTCAACACGAGTGTCAAAGTTGAGGTGATGCTCACTCGGCTTTGCCGGGCTTCGTCCTGAAAATGCGGCTGAGAGTTAAGGACCTCATTTCTGGAGTACTCAGAAGGCCATGGGCTATGAGTGTGGGCGGAAGCCATCCATTGTCGACAGCGGTGAACGGAAGAGTGCAGCGCAAAGATTGCCATGAGAACACTTAGAAAACGCCGAGGCGAAACGTCACCGGGGTTGAAACTTGCATCCTGACATGTTGAAACGTAGGATAACCCAGGGCTCAACGTCCATGTCAATGTTGTGTTCAAGAAACAGGCTGTTGACATGACCGTCTTTCAAGAATCACGGCTAGGTGCAGTGTGAGGGCTCTTGAGATATCCTGTCATCGTTGACTATGAGAAACGGGTTGCCTGGCCAAGCCTACAGAGTAGTGCATTGCGTAAGGAGCTGCTGGTGATGATAGTTTGCCAGTCTTCCAATGCCAGCTTTTAGGTGACAGCAGCCAGTGGGTGGCTTTCTCTCCGATGTATACGCCAAGAGTGATTAGCAGCTGTTTCCTGCTACGTATCTACATTCTGAACATTCCCCCTCTAAATCTCTTGTAACTTTCCATCACATAAGCCTGGTCACTGTTGAATACAACTGCCATAGTCTTGGATGGATGATCGTACTTGGATGAAAGCTGTAGAGTTGGCATCTTGCAATATGGAATCAGACAAAGAAGTCTCGATAGGGCACTAGCCTTGCCATCCTATCTAGGCCAAGCTGTCTGCGAGGGTCAGGATTGAGAGACATTAAGGGCGCTGGGGTAGAACCTCCGTGAAAAAAAGATGGGACACAGTCCCAAGACCTTGAACAGACGAAGCATTTAAGTTATCCATCTGCGTAGTCTGATGAGAATTGGCAATCGCCATCTGGATTTACACGCTGACTTTCTCGGCCTCGGATGTCCTCTTGCCTGACCTATCTTTGAGAACATTTCGGAATGGCAAGTTTCAGAAAAGCAAACAGGAACTGGAAACTATACGGACACTCCTTCGTTCACGGCTGGGAAGTCATCTCAACTTGAAAGAAGTACGGGATGGATTCTCATATCGACGTTAGGATAGAGTACTTGAGAGCACCACTTGGGATATGAGAAAATAATCCCATTGTTTCACTTATGTGGCGAGAACGCTCCAATTTAAATACTCTGGGTGTAACTGACCATTCCAGCGATCTAGGCTCTTGGTCGAGTTCCGCAGAGACCTGTCAAGCCTACGATTGAAAATAACAGTAAATAGTAGCTACCATGCTCGTCGAAGGTTTCATTTCGTTCCTCAAGCTCACACTGAGTTGATGTACTCGTTTGGGTAAAGCTTCCCTGGGCCAAATTGTATTACCGGACAAGTCCCCTACCAGAACGACAGGCGGATCGTGGCGAGGATAGAAACATCCATGGCATGTGCAGAGAACCTCTCTATAATGTCATTATTCCTCAAGCATTTCGGCTACATCCTCATAGTTGAAGTTGATCGAGTGTCGTCCACTTTGACAAACCTAGTGTGAGTTCTTAACATTCATAGGACTCCAGCTCGAGCTTCACAAACATCACATTACAAATTGAAAAGCAGCCAGCAGAACCACAAATCTCGTAAAGATTGCAGATCTTAAACCACCTAGACCAAACCAACAACGCATAAATCGACGATCAACGACAGCTTCGTCCCCTTTCGGGCCCCTCGCCGTGAACGTGGTCGGCAGGCCGGGTGGAGCAGGTCAAGTGCGGGGCTCGCATCTGCACCAGCCAGCCCAGCCCTAAGCCTCTTGATCAGCTTGCGCGCTCCGCTCCTCCAAGCCACCGAGCGAGGACCCAGTCCTCGAATCTCCCCTTGGTGTAGTTGGTTCATCACGTTCGACTGTAATGGTTACATTGTCATCGAAAGGTCTCTAGTTCGATTCTGGAAGGGGAGAACCACTTCTTTTGCCTATTTCTTCTTTTTTCTTTCGTATTACTGGCATGCAACATGCATCGCTGCAGATATGGCCTGTTTTTTTTTTTTTTTCTACGAGAGAAAGTTTTTTGTTCCTGGTGAGGAGGCAAGGTTTGGGGGTGTGGATAGGTACCAAAGTATCAGCCAGGCCCCTTATCTATCTTCCGCTCTGGGCAATAAAGCAGGTAAGATACAGAGTCAGCTACAGACGTGCGAGAAGTTGTGAGGCATAAGAGCGGTGTTGAATGATCTAAAGGAAAAGAGTCAGATTCAACTGTAGGAACGCGCGATGACATTTGGTCTTCCCCGGCTGATGGTAAGTTTGGGTTTCATCGCAAGTGCACCGGAAGTTTACTCTGATAAAAAGGACAAAAAGAGATGGGATTAAAGTCCACGGTAACTTAGTCATTTGGAACAGCAGGGACTGGAGGGTATCTACATAACCAATGAGTGGCTGCCCTGCAACGACAAACTCCATGTCGCTAGCAACTGAGCGCGAACTTCACGATCCATGTAACGGCCTTCCAATCCAAAGAAAACAAGGCAAAATCATGCCCAAATCGTCATAGAGAAGAGAACATTTGTAATATGCACCAAAAGCAAAAGATTGATTTCGCCCGGACTTGAACCGGAGACCTTCAGTGTGTTAGACTGACGTGATAACCAACTACACCACGAAACCTGATTGGATACCAATAGTCAGGTGCAAAGCAATCTAAGTAGGGCGCTTCTGGGGCTCGAGCTTGAGAGTAGCCGCCGTGTCAAGATTCGACGTCCACGTACAAGAGACAGAGACAGCTGTGGTTGTCTTAAGCAGCATGACTGCCTGTAATTGGCACGCAATAGTCAAGAAACCGAAATATCCAAGAGAACTGTCGTCTTCCTCCTGGCCATTCAAACTCTCAGAAAGGAAGCATGTTCAGGACAGCCTCCAGCCGGAACCAAGACCCTTCACTATTTACATCCTCAAAACCACACTTCAGCTGCCTAAGCCGGCAAGATTCCGAACATATGAACAAACTCCAATCTCTCATTATGGATACCTTTCATCACAAAAGTCCATAATCCTCCGTTGAATAAACATACCGTCCCCCACCCAGAGAAAAATTCGAATTTCATCCATCACGGGCACGTCCCATCATGAAGACTCTTCACCAAACTGCCCCACCCATCCCAGCAGTCCCAGCGATCCCAAGTCTATAAAACACCGTCCTCCCGCCGCAGCTTTGGTAGTTTTCTTCTTCTTTTTTTCTTCATGTCGACAATACTTCAGAGAATCATTTCTATAGTATTCGACCTACTCTTGGTTCCCTAAAGGAGCTACAGATCCCACCCTGGTTGATGATTGATATCCTCGATACCCTAGAGTGATAAAACCTCTTGGTTGTTCTCGAACCCTCCGTAAAGGAGGGCGGGTAAAGGCTTATGCTTTTGTTTGTATAGAGAACGGTTATGATCTCGTCCCCTGTTCGCGGTCTTGCCCTTGGGCGCGCGGGAGGGGTGGGCATCGATGGACGTCTGACAGGCTCTGTTTTTTTTTTTCATTTTTTTCATTACGTGCTGGAGCATGACTCTGGTCGTGAAGAAGAAATGCTTACTTTTTTCGTCCTTTTCTTAACATTAAGGAAGTAAGGTACGAGTGGAACATTGGGAGGACATTCATAGATCAATCGTATTTCATACGCCTAAAATCCAGAACCATTCTGTTGATATACAACCAGGCCCAAAAATGCTCTAAAATACAAGTTTCATCATCAATCTTTAAGACCCCGTCGCGACATCACCCATTTATTCGGCAACCCAGACGGCGCTCATGCCCATACCGGTACCGATACACATGGACGTGTTGCCAATCTTCTTGCCCGTCCGCTTGAGCTCGTACAGCAGCGTCGAGATCTGCCTCGCGCCAGTGCAGCCCAGCGGGTGACCGAAAGCGATGGCGCCGCCCTTGGGGTTGACCTTCTCGAACGGGATGCCGAGCTGCTCGGCGCTCCACAGGCACTGCGACGCGAACGCCTCGTTGATCTCGTAGATGTCGACATCCTCGGTCGCGATGCCGGCCTTGGCGTTGGCGACGGGGATGGCCTTGGCGGGGCCCTGGCCCATGAGCAGCGGCGGCAGACCGACGATGGCGGCGGAGACGAACTTGCCGAGGATGGGCTGGCCGAGGCGCTCGGCGGTCGAGCGCTTCATGAAGAGCACGGCGGCGGCGCCGTCGGACACCTGGGAGGCGTTACCGGCGTGGATGCCGCCGTCCTTTGCGAAGGCGGGCTTGATCTTGGCCAGGGACTCGGCGGTGACGCCAGCGCGGATGCCATCGTCCTTTGCGACAGTGATCTCCTTGGTCTCGCCTGACTTGGGGTCCTCCCACTTGACCTTGAGGGGGGTGATTTCCTGGTCGAAGAGACCCTCAGCCTGGGCCTTGGTGGCCTTGGCGTATGAGGAGGCGGCGAAGGCGTCCTGCTTGGTGCGGGGGATGCCGAGGTCCTGGGCCATGTTCTCGGAGAGAACGCCCATGGGGACCTTGCAGTTTGCGGCCTCGGGGGTGTTTTCGAGGAGCTCAGAGAACTCGGAGACGGCGGCGGGGCTGTATGGGACAGAGGGTCAGTTACTGAGATTATGAGAACATAGGGCCAAGGAAGGCACATACCCGTATTGCGTTGACATGCTCTCGACGCCGGCGCCGATACCGACGTCAATCATGCCGGTCTTGATCGCGTTGATAATGTCCACGGAAGCCTGCAGACCAGAAGAGCACTGGCGGTTGAGGGTGCGCACGGCAGTGGTCTGGGGGAAGCCGGCGACGAGGGCAGCGGCACGCATCTCGGTGGCACCACCGCCGGGGGCCAGGACGGTGCCGACGGCGATATCCTCGACGAGGGCAGGGTCGATCTTGGAGCGGTCGAGGAGAGCCTTGAGGACGCCGGCCATCAGGTCGGCGGCCTGGGTGTCCTTGAAGCCACCCTTGCCACCCTTGGTGAAGGGGGTTCGGAGGGCTGCGGTGACGACGACCTGCGGGGTGATACGATTAGACGGGCACGTTCTATAGTAATCTGGATAGAGAGCGATCGAGAGCTTACATCGTCGGCGTTCTTCTGGAGGATCTTGTCCTTGCCGCCGGCGGAGAACTGGCCGCCAAGCTGAGTCAATCTCTCGAGGGCTGTTTTGAGCGACGTGGTTAGCACAAGACGTGAAGTGGCCGCGAGCAGAGTGTTGAATGCTACTCACCACCCATTGTGATAGATATGAAGCTTCGAAAATAGAAACGAGAGGGTATATAGATGGATCAAACAGATGGAGAGATGAGATTGAAAAGAGGAGATGTAGGTGGAACAGGTATATCAATACAGCAAGTGTGGTAGGGGAACTGTGACGGGCAAGATGTATGTCTGGTTCGGATCTCAGATGGGACAATGAGCCTCGGATGTTCTCAAAAACGGGTCTCTGACAAAGGAGCAGCAGGGTAGGTACTTGGTACACCTTGAAAGAGCTGGCTGATGTCAGCTGGGGGTCATTCAGCGCTGCACCTCACCTTTCTGCAGCAGCAGCCATCCAGTACGGTAGGTCCAGCAACCAAAAAAAACCGGCCGAGGCATCCAAATTCCAGCGATCACACCGCATTGGTTGCGAAACTCCGGGGCCCGAACCCCACCCTTTTTCCCTTGGAGAACTTACCTTAGGTGCGGAAAGGTATCCGTATCTCACCTAGCTGCCATTTTCACATGCTCGCTTCTTCCCCACTGAAGGCGGTAGCAGGTGCTGTTTCTGGCTGTTGGTGCGCTGCGACAGCAACCTTGGTCCCCACGTTCTCCCGCCTCCCCCGTACTTTTTTCCCTCCCCTGGTACTTACCTTGCGCGGGGGAATTGGCACGCCAATAAGGTAGCTTGCGTCACAAGCACTTCGCGGCGGCCCCAGGTGATCACCGTCCCGTCCTCCTACCATTCTTCTCTCGCATTCTCTTTCTTAGCCTTCTTAGGGCGTCACGGGACCTCTGGCGGCTTATGATACCTCGCTGCGAGGCTGGTGAGCTTGATGGCCGCCCTTTTGTGCTTTGTCCTTCAGGTGCAACACGTGCTGGCTTGGCTCGAGCAGCAACCTTCTTTTTTCATGTGAAGATGCACCGCGAGTCAATCCCTAAAACCTGAAGCGCAAACCAATAGGATAATTGTTTCATCCACATGGAAACCCTAGCCTCGAATCAACCTACGTATGCGGCTACTCGTGGAAAATTAAGCAGCTGGAAATGAACATATCGTGACTTTATAGGTTCATCATAATACAAGGTCATTGTTCTACATATCTGTGTATGTCTCTCTCGCTCTTCCGACAAGATGTCTGTATAGTACCTCTTCCTCTACAACTTGGCCGCCGGCTTGATCAACGCCAGCCTCGCCTTCAGCGCCGCCTCAGCCTCCTTCTCTATTCTAGGAACCAAGTCCTTGACCGACGGGATGTCGTGAATCAATCCAATAACTTGTCCGGCCGTCCAGACCTATAGCAGAAAATGGTCAGCTCAATACTTCACACCATGCTCACGTGAAGGAAGGGAATATACTCACGCCGTAGTCCGGATCACCCGTGATGAAAACCTCTTTGCCCCTCTTCCCGCTCACGAGCGGCGCAATCTCGGAAAATTCGCCCGACGTGCTCTGCTCCTCAATCTTGATCGCCTCCTCCGTGACCTTGTTCTTGTACAACCGCGTCGTGTTCCTCCACCGCCGGAGCAGCAGCGCCGTGTCCGTCTCCTGCGCCTTGACAATCTCCTCCTTGATCTTGTGGTGGATCGGCGCCTCCAGCGTGCACATGAACCGCGTGCCCATGTTGACGCCCACCGCGCCCAGGCACAGCGCCGCCGCCAGCCCTTCGCCGTCCGCGAACCCGCCGCTCGCGATGAAGGGCACCTTCAGCGACTGCCGCGCCCGCGAGAGGAGAATGAAGTTGGTAATGTCCGACTCGCCGACGTGGCCAGCGCACTCGAAGCCGTCGATGCTGAGGAAGTCGACGCCGAGCTTGACGGCGCTCTGCGCGTGGCGGATCGTCGTGCACTTGTGCAGGATGGTGACGCCCGCGGCCTTGAGCTGCTTGATCACGGGGCCTGGCGAGTTGCCGGCCGTCTCGACGATCTTGATGCCCTCGTCGATGACGACCTGAGCGTAGGCGGCGTAGTCTGGGGGCACGAGGGCCGGAAGGAGGGTGATGTTGACGGCAAAGGGGTACTTTGTCAGGGTCTTGCAGCGCTGGATCTCCTTGCGCAGCTCCTCGGGGGTCGGGAAGATGAGGGCGGTGATGATACCCAGCGCGCCCGCGTTGGAGACGGCCGAGGCGAGGTCGGCTGTGCCTACGTGCTGCATGCCGCCCTGGACGATGGGTACTGTGAGGCGAACGAGAGCGTGTCAGCGATGAGTTGTCTTCTCTGGTACTTTACCCGGCATGATGGGTTGGGATGCGCGCCATAGTGACACCTGCGAATGTGATGTGTCGTGCGTCTTCTCGCGAGCCCTGCTCTGACGTACCTTTGATACCCAACCGTCGGGTCAGCTCAGTGTCGAAAGGCATGTTGGGCAATCGGAGCGTTTTCTTTCTCTATTCGATTCGATTCGATTTCGGTACAAACTGTTGTGTTACGTGAAGAGACAGGTTGCGGGATCAGGGCGACAACAAGAACGAGGCAACAGTGAAAAAGGAGAAAACAAACTTCTAAAGCTTCTAGTCTAGATGGTGTAGATTGCAGACGTGATAATAAAAAGGGACAGAGTGGTGATTCTGACGGCAGTTTGGCTGACTCGGTCTGGCCGGTCAAAGGACGACGGCTGCTCAGCCCCCCCGATCGGTACCTTGGGACAGTGGGGACGTACCGAGGTAACTCGGCCTCCACCAATCTTCTCCCCCGCGTTTCCAGGTGCCAGGCCATTTTTCGATTAGAGCGAACATGGGGAAACACGGCCGACCCCATTCGTGCCGTTCCTCTCTCACATGGCCAGACGCCATCTTTCCGCCGTCCACGGGACTATTTCCGTAATCAGAAGGCTTCATCCCTGACACCGACCAGTCTGGCTTCACTCACTTTCTTCATATTCTGACAGAGAACGCAGCACACTGTATCTTCATCCTTGACCTACTGATTCATCAAGGAGGGTTACACAACAACCCTTCGCAGGCCAACAGACTAGGTAGACAGACGCGCAGCACGGTGCTTCCACCTCTCAGTTCCTCTGGCTTCAGCCTTCCACGAAGCCCCATGGCGTGTAATCTGTGACGCTGTGCTCCCAACCATATTGAATCTCATCGGTCAATAATCAAGGCTTCCGAGGGCCGCACACTGGACCCCCGGGTATCTCGATACCTGGCTGCCCGTTGGTCAGCAAGCACACCACCCAAAGACGATTGGATGTTCGTGCCCGATATCAACAGCGCCCCATCTCTCTCTCATCTGGCGGCTCTTCGAGGCGGTGGTGCCACAGCATCTAGGCTACGTGATGCGAATCCGACCTAAAGGAACGTCATTAGGCATTTGATAGTCGCCGTCCGCAACTCAGTTCAATCACAGGAACAATGTCTGACGTGGAGTGCATGATGCACAGTGGGACGTCCATCATTGATGATGGGTTTGACAACACAGCTTGACCTAAGTAAAAGCTCAAGCTCAAACCTCGAGAGAGGCCATACGGACTCCGGCACGTCCTTCACACATACGGAAGGTCTGCTACAACGGAACCGGAGATTTTCGACACAACAGTCTCGGGCTGACATCCATTTGTCGGCGAAACTATCAGGCCCACCTCAAACTTTCCGGATGACAAACACTGCCAAGGGCTATCGAGCTTAATCCCACATGGCCTCATTGGCTACGTAGAAGCGTTCCTAGATAGGGACGTCTCGTTTGTGATCCACCAAGCAGATGGTGACGAGCCATGCTGCCGGTGTTGTCTAGCAGCACAAGATCATTCGTGTGATACCTCATCACGTCCGTTGCCACGACGGCTCATGGCTTTCCCCCGCTGCATGTCGTCTTCCCTACTCGCAGGGCCGGTGTAATGTGTATCATCACGCTACCGGAATCGCCATCGACGCTCCTTTTCGTCCGCCTGATGTGTGCCTAAGAATGTGTATGTAGACCTCGATGAGCTTGCTACGTCGGGATTCGGATCCTTTCGTGGCCCGACTGTTCGACGCCTTCTTCGTGCATCTTGACGACCAATAGTTCGAGATATCCATGGCCTTTTGTGTTTACCATTGGCCCAAGCTTAATCTCTCCCTTGAACGATACTGTTGATCCGAGTCGCCAGATCCAATGCGCTAGATGACCATGTCGTATTCAAACTTTTGACGTGCAGGTACCGGCCTCGAACGATTCGAGACTCAGAGAGAGACCCCTTTCTTGCTCCCGTGCTCCCTAGCCATGCGAGGGCGATCACTGACGAGGCCTTGCTTTCATGCGGCCATCCTGGCGGGCGATGACATCTATGTAGTAGCAAGGAGACGATCCACGTGGACTCAAATGAGGTCCCACGAAGACAACCGTATGCCGGACTACCGCCCGATAGATGATGTGGCAAACTTGGCCAAGGAAAATGTCTTTCAAGACATCGACACGTAGCTCGATCAAGAGGAAGCCTGCTTTTTGCGCAGCAACTTTGCTGTGAAACAATGTGGCATCCTCCATCCGTATGTCTCTATTCGAACTTTGGTGAGACATGGGCGGGAGATGTACATTTGACGCCGGCTTCCTGCATCCAAAACGGTTTAGCTGCCGTTGCTGCGTTGGCGGCGCCTCGCAGGGCGGCGAAGGATGAGAACGCAACCGTATGCTCCCGATAGATTGACCGATGCAGCTAGTTTGGGCTATCGACCGCGTTGCGCCATCTTTGAGGATTTCGTTTGGCAGCAACATGCCACCAGCCTCGGCCATCGGTTGGTAATCGGTATCTGGACTGGAGATGAAGTTGGCAAACAAGTCGGGGAGGCTCGGGTATGCGGACTCCACCGAGACTCGCAGAGCCATCCATTTCCGCGTCTCGGTGTCATTGGAAAGACCAGCCCCATGCTATGCGAGTACAGGTCTCCTTGGGTCGCAATGCTGCACGTAGGTGGTGAACGTCTGCGGGTGGCGGGTGGGAAGAGCCGTATGGAAAAAAGAAATATCGCAGTCACCCCGGTTTGTCCGGGGGTGATCGAATCAGTGGAGAAGAGTGGAAGAAGCCTTCGAGAATTCCTCCCGTGAAGCGGCGGTGTTTACTCCGTACACTGTACTACAGATTTTGCCAGATACGGCGAGCATACTGGCATCATGCTGCTTTGCGGGTTGCCACAAACACTCAGGTCGGCGGGACCAAACGCAGTCAATAACCAGTGTTTGAATGGGGCTGGCTAACGGATTGCTGCTGCAGTGCTGACCGCTCATCGTTGACTTCCTGCCAACCGTGGGGAAGCACGGGAGCTATGGCGCTACTACCGGCCAAGCCGCACTCGGAGACTTGCCATAGCTTCGGCAAGGGCTGAGGTAGGTAGTAAGAGCTGGAGCAGAGATCTGTATCCATAGGTGTTATCTTCTTCAGCTGGCTAGTCCTCAATCTCCAATGGACTTACACGGATGATGATCACCCTCCCTCCCGAGTCCCGCGCAGTGTCCATGCGTCGACATTGGAGCGAGTTTCGGTCTCAGACGAGTCGATAGGTTCACATCAGAGCGTCCGCTGTGTATGGAGAGAGAAAGACGGAGAGGCAGAGGCAGAGGGATAGGGGAGGGGCGCGGCCACGAAGGAGGCAGAAGAGGGCGGCGGTAGGTCCGGGGGATGTTGGAACTGGTCCCGACGGGTTGGTCAAGAAAACATTTCAAACCAGATGGACCCTGGTTTCGCCCGCACATCCTGCAGTCTGCAGTCGCGTCTGCACGCTGTCGAGCGCCGGAGCCCCTGGCCTTATTCCTGGTCCTGGTCACAGTCCCGCCAAGGGCGAACGCCGATCCGCGAGCAAACATTGGGGCGGCACCGATCTGCTCACCAGTTTGGACTTTGGAGCATTCTGGAGCGCAATGGAATGTTCGTCCGTTGTTGAATGTTTGCTCAAATGTTTCCTCGTCAACTATCGAGGGTTGCACAAACGGAGGGAAACATGCTGAACAAAGTCAAAGTCCGAAGGAGGTCTCCTGTCTGCGGATCCTGTCTAGCGAGTGCGCGAACGGTCGGATGGTGGATGTGAGGTCGCATTTAGGTGTACGGATACGGAATAAGGCGGTGACGAAAGCTGAGGTGTGAAGTGTGAAGAAAATGAGTTTTCTTGTCAATTTTGAGTTCAACAACGGGGGCCTTGCGACCGGGACAGGGCCAGAAACTTTTCCTTTTTTTTTTTTTTTTTTACCAGAGGAAGGAACCTGGAACCTGGATCCCTGGACCCTGCCCTGGCGCCTGCCCGACGTTGACCCCAAGTCTTCCGGTGCCAATGGTGGCCTGCCGCTTCCTCCTGATGCCCGGGAGAACAAGAAGATGGAGACGAGAAAGACAGAGAGAGAGAGACACACACACACCGGGAGAACCTTGAAGTTCGTGGCTTGCTAGGTTTATTCGTACGCGACGCAGTCGAGATGCCATGGATAGGTATGATGCTCGCTGCTCGCTCCTTTCTTTCTCCTTCTGCCCCTTGCTGTGAAGGTTCCATCTACTCCGTACGCTACTCCATACCGATACGGATATAGTCCCAGCGCACAGTCGCTGCAAGCCCGAGGCCAACCTAGTCTTTCGGCTGCGCAGATATTCCCTGTCTGTTCCTGCCTCAGTGCTTTTCCTCTAAATCGTTCGTTCGTGTCCTGACGGGCGCATGGAGCACCAGATGCCCCGTCATTCTCTCTTTGATGACGGCCTCATTCTGTCAAAGGACCTGACCTACATGCTGAGTAACATTACACAACATGAGCATTGCATTACGGGCTACTTGCAGTGTAGTGTGTAGCGCGTGTGTCTCGATAGGACAACCCTGTAGAATGTCTTGCGGAAAGGCTGAAATGCTTTGTTAGAGTAGCATCCCTTCCGACTGCCGTCTGAAGTGAAAAGAAAAATTTAAAGACATAAAAGACGGTGAGGGCAGAATAACTCCACGGAAGGACACCGGCATCGTCCCGTAGACTAAATCAGGACGAAACAATAAAACCGCCGGCAAAGCTTCGCTCTGTTGAGTACGGATGCTAGTGTTGCTAGCCAACTGGGTCGCTGCGCATCCGTACCAAGTAGTGTAGTATTCAAACGATTTCCTCACTAAGACTGCGCCTTATGATGAATGTCTCCAACGTATGGAGTACCGAGTACCTCTGGTAATTACCTTACCGTAGAAGTAGTTGCCCGGGTGGGGAGGAGGAGTAGTCTTGGAGGAGCTGGAGGAGAGGTTTGTGAGTCGTGACTATCAAAGGACTACTAACTCTGTGCTAAGGACCAAGATGGCAAAAGTAAGCTCGGGAAACGACCAGGGGTTGTAATTCTCAAGTCACAATGTTTCGCTCCACTTTAGCCTTTCATTTTGCTCGACTCACTCCACGTCCCCGTCATTCTCATGCGGCCTTCTCACGCTCACTCTCATCCTCACTCTTACGCTCATTCTCACTCTCGTCGCCTTATCTTTCATCATCCATCACCACCACTATGGAAGTACTGTACATTTCCAACCCAACTCATCATGAGGTACATGCGCATATACGCAGGTCAACCAGCCCAGTTCCCCGGCTTCCCGGTTCCATATCCCCCCTTCCTACTGCTCCCTTCGTTTCGGGGAAGCATGACGGTTCCTAGACTCACAGGCTAAGACGCCAGGGACCCCTTCGGCTGGGGCTCTTCCCATTCCCCGATGCCACCAAGGCCACCAATGCCTCCACAGACCAACATTGACCACCTCAACCACCGCCACGACTGGTGATCCACCCCATGTTCTCCAGCTGCGAGGTGCCCGTTCCTCTACGAGCTGCTGTACGTGCTGCTCTAGCTGCATTCGAGCTGCAGTTGCTCAAACCCGCCGGCCGCCTGTCACTCTGGACGATCCCGCCCGTCCTTAGCCATTGCTAGCTTCTTAGCGGTACTAGGTCACTCACTGTGAAGAGCCGTGAGAGCTTGGAGACTGGAGTGCCTTGCTGAGAAGTATGGATACAGCCACGACTATCGGCAAGTCCCCTGGACCTGATCTAAACCCGAACTGATGAGGCCTGTGAAGCCATTGAGAGCTTGGGACCAGCCAAACAGCCGCACGTACCTTACCTTGCTTGCCTTGCCTCATAGGGGAGTTGGCTTTGCTGGGCACACAAATTGTCATGACTTTGTTTTTCATGTTCATTTGCCATATCGAAGGCACGAAGCTAACGCTACACGCTCACAAACAGCCCAGCACAAGCGCGTTGAGGCGAGCAGGGGAACAACGGACGTAGGTCTCACAACCACATGCTCGTCTTGCAGATGCCATGCCTTGGACGACACTCTCTCACACTCTTCACCAAACCCAATCTGTCTCTGTCTCTGTCGTCTTTCACATTTCATAATTGTCCTCACCGGCAGTATCGGTATCATCATCATCATCATCATCATCATCATCATCGGTGGTCTGGCCCGCCCTGCCAGAAATGCCCGGCTTCGCCCTGCCCTGATCTTCTTCTCACCCCACCCCAGAATGACGATGAGGAACGAGTGCTGCCCGATCCCACCCCCTTTCCCCCCCTCCGCTAACTGCATCAGTACGGTGGTACATACATCACTCGCCTCTCCCCGCCCTTTTCCTGCCGCATCGCGCATTTGAATCGACGTGGCTCGACGGCCCTTTTTTCTTCCCCCTGCTTTTCCTCTTTCCAAAATAAACTGACATGCTTCAACGTCAGTCCATCGCCGTGAGGATGGTCTCGATGAGGCCCAAACGACGCTGACCGAGTTTCCTTCTATCGCAATGTATGGAGGCGAGACTGTTCCTCTTGCCCAACCACCGGGGCTGCTTAGCAACTTGGTATTTCTCACCCCCCGGTTCGTTTCGCTTCACCGGCTGGCGGAGTCGATGCCGCCGGAGAGGGTCCTGGCGTCGCTCGCCCAGTCTCCAGAGCTGGTCCCGGATGCCACTGCGGATTGCCTACGCAGTAGTGCTCGGGTGCTCAGGCTAACTTCCAAGGTACCTTACCTTACCTCACACTGCTTCGCTCTGTCACGCTCTTTTACTTTTGCCCTAGCTTGATTGCCCAATCGTCGGCTTGTTGGCTGATGTCAATGCTATTATTGTTGAACCCTTGCCCCCTGCTTTCATTTACCTATCCGTACATATCGCTTTTCCCTCTACGGAGTACTCTCTCTCTCAAGGCCCATGCCTCATGGTTCATGTACCGATCAACAAGTGCCAGCCAGCCAGCCCAGCCCAGCCCTGGTTGCAATCTAGCTTGGGTCGGCTGAAGCGTTGACTGCATGGGACGTGGTGCCATCGTAGCCCTCTCTCTAGCCCTCCAGCCTCGCCGCTCTGTTCCTACTCTCACTCCCATTTTCGCAATCTTCAAATAGGCTCTTCACGTATCCGGGGGCGTTCATTCGTCCGTTTGTTGCTCGCTCTCCCGCCCGCGGATTAAACATCTGCACGAAACCTCCTCTCAATCTCTTCCCATGTACCGTGTAGCATGTCAGGCACTCATCTTGGTACATGACCTGGATACGGATACACGCAGCTCACTTTCGTGGATACATCCAGGCTGTATGCATCCGCTTTCCGTAACCTTCGTTTCCTCTCCCTTTCTCGGCTGGAGATTCCAGTCATGCCCCTGGTCAGCTCTTACCCTGCCTTTTCCCACCGTTTGCACCTCCATCTTTCACCCCTTTGCTCTCCAGTCGGCCCAGGTACGGAGTACTCATTCGTCTGCTCGATCGTCCACCCCCTTCACCCCTACCCCCCCCCCCCCCGGCTGGCCTTGTACAAGCCCTTGCCTCTGCGGCTTTCAAGCTCCCAATCATTTCCCTCTTCCACCCCGACGGGTCGGCACTCCACGCCAGCTCTGTGTGGCCTTGGACCCCGCCGGACGCCGGGTAAGGGAGCCTGGCAAGCCACATCCCAATCAACTGTTCGCTCAAAGCTGCGGCCATTTCCCGGTCTCCCTTCACAAGTAGCGTGTATTCACCTTACCTACAAGCCGTGGAGCTATGCCATCTTGTCTCAAGTCCCGCAAGCCCATATTTCCCAGCTGCCTGTTCATAAACCCATGATTGTCGGCACCCATGTACCGGTTGACCACGCGGGGGGTTCAACGACTAGCATATGAGTGTGTGCGCGTGTGTGTGTATACAGGGGTGTGTGAGAAAAAAAAAGAAAGCAAGAAAAAAGCTCTCGAGAGAGTGTGAGAGAGAAAAAAAAAAAAAAAAAAGGGAAATAATAACCCAAAAAGATGACGCTAAGAGATCCAAGTTTATCACGACGTTCTGCGGCCGGTACCACACTCCCCACGTCCGGTCTGGTCTCTGGTCTGTGGTCTGGCATCAGACGAAGCAGAAGCACTCACACCCAAGTGGCACACCCCTCTTCTCCTCCTCGCCGCCGCCGCCGCCGCTCCTACTCCTCCTGCTGCTCGTCAGAGACAAGTACCAGGGCATGGAGAAAAAGAAAGGATACAGGAAACCGACGCGGTCCTGCCGTACCAAACCCAAACGGAATTGGGACGTGATGTTGTGTCGTTACTTCTTTGGATCATGTCCCTTTTCTCTCCATCTTCCCTTCCTTTTCTCTCCTCCCACCTCTCCCCATCCCAAGATGCAGCATGCCGTAGGGTACCAGCCCAATTGATCCCTTACCCGTCTGCATTCGTTGTGCAAACATTTCATTGCCTTCAGAAACAGCTTCTAGCTAATCTCGTCCTGCCACATCACAATCTTTTCTACTCCAATGGGATTATACCCATTTGTTTCACGGCCGACCTGATCCCGAGTATAAGAACCACAAAGTTTCGCTACTCTATAATCGATTGTCTTGAGAGATATCCACGATCCCAAATCGACTACTACAACATCCATCATCTGCTGCAGTCTGCAACAACCATCGCTTCGACGACCCCCTCGACCAGTATACCTCTATAAACCTACTCTTTGTTGCTTCGGCCAAACAATTGCACTGCATGTACTCCAGCAAGTCATACACGTCGACTGCCACCATGTCTGCTTCGTCATACAGTAGTCAAGCAGGCACCTGGCAAGAGCGACTTGAAGGTAGGAATTCGCCATGAAGACGTCGACCCTTATGTACAATGATGCTGACCAATTGCCCTGCAGACGCTTGCCGCGAAGCCAACATAATGCCACCCGTCTTCCAGATCGTTTCTGACCGCCGTGGTAAGCTACCTTGCCAGCAATCACCCTAGCCGGCCTGTTCTCCTTACTGATTGATCGTTCTTCAACTAGGCGGCCGCACCGCTTGGTCCAGTCGAGTAACTGTCCACGGCCGTACCCTCTCCGCACGGTTCTGGTACGACGGCAAGAACCTCAACAACGCGAAAGAAGACGCCGCCGAAATGGCTCTCAACTACCTTACCGGTTCGAATCCCAGCTCGCCAGCCAACAGCAGAGGCAGCTATTAAGGAAGACAACGAAACGAAAGACGGATACAGACGTGCAAAGATACCCGCAGCTTGCAGCGAAAACATCCATTCGAGCATCAGCGTCTAGCGTCACACTTTTTTGTCTCTTTTTATCTTTCAACGAACTTTTCTTGCTCTTACTTTCCTGGGCTTTTGTTTCGGATGTTCAACTGTACGAATACACACCTGGAGTTGAGATTGGGAGACATTGGCCAAATGCCACACGGCACAAGGGGACATCACGGAACATCGGCGTACGACTACATTTCTACCTACGGTCAATTGGGAGGCTCCGAAAAGGAAGATTGTGCTGAGTTGGTTGAGGAGAAATGGCGCAAAAGAAACATTTGTTTCTCACCACATCAATCCACAAGGGGGCGGTGGGAGGGGCACGCGGCGGCGTGTCTCGCTTCTCTCTGTACTCCTCACACGTGTGGAACAGGGACGGGAGCTGAGAGAAGAAATTCCAACACGAGACAGAACCTTGGCGAAACAGCGCCGGCAGAACAGTTGACGGGGTCACGAGGGACTCTTTCTCATTTAATTCCTTGTTGTTTTGGGCGGCGTTGCGAAGCCGGGCCCAGGTTGGTAATTGGGTTGCAATCTTGGACATTTTTTTTGTGCCGTTTATTTTGTTTTTCCTTACGGAGCGGCGTTAATGATGGAAAAGCAACCACCAGCGCAAGGGATGCTGCCGTGGCATAGCTAGGTAGAAAAGGGATATCCGTTGAACGGAGCTGGTTCCTCTCGCAAAGTTTCCAAAAGAGATGAGGACCAACATGACGAGACTTCCTTTTTCCTGACGAGGGCGTATCCACTTCTTCCCACACCACTCTGCATTCAATCCACGTGCGACGAGATCAATTCTCCGTTGTTATAGCCTGCGGTGATGACATGGGGATTCTAGCTCACGCAAGGACAAAAAAAAAAAAGCGACATCGGTGGCTTCATGATGGCAAAGCTGATTACTCTTCAAGACGATGGGCGCTGGATGGGCGCTGGAAGGGGGTGTCGATTGGCACGGGGAGGGCGAACGGACATCGTTTGTCCACCTCAATTTCTCTATGTGTCTACTCTCCCCCACGATGACATAGGTATCTTGGGTTTACTAGTTCTACTATCACCAATGCAGGAGGTCGTTGCGGTGTCGGCGGACAGTGGGCGCGCTGGCTGCTCCCCTCCCTCCCCTCTCCGCCCTCGCCCCCCCCTGACAAAAGATGAGCTAGGGAGTCTGCTAGCAACGGGACTGCGGCAGATCCCACGCCAACGCAAAGCTGTCTTGTCAACCTAAGTTGTGTTTGCCCACGGTTGGCCTATGTAAGGTAAAGTAGGAGAGAGAGAATCTCGAAGGGGGAACCTAGCCAGCCTAGCTTTCATGAACGGTGGGGGAGCTGAGCCCGCTGCCAGCTGGTGCTTTGCGCTAGGGAGCTTGTCATTGGAATGACAAAAGTTGTGACAACTGTTTTCTCTCTCTCGGTCTGGCCCCCCCATGAAAGATACGAATGCCTACCTAATCCACGAAGAGATACATAGAGATAACAACCCACCCGTTTTGCGCATCCGCGGGATGTGGTGAGAGGAGGGCAGACATATGTCGCGCGACGGGCAGAGAAAGTGAAAAGAGCCGCTAAATGCCGTGCTGCAGGAAATCTGCACGGAGGGGGGGAGTGAGTGATGGCAGCAGCGGCGGTGGTGGTTTATGCAGCGTGTGGCGTGTGGCAGGCAAGGCAGTTTGAAATCACGCATCCTCTTTTTTTTCCATTCGGGGTGATTGTGATTTGTTCCCAACCTATTCTGTCTACATGCAGCGAGGGGTAAAGGCAGGTGTTCGGAGATGGGGTTTAGGTGTCAAGGTGTGTGTAGGTGTGTGAGTGGCATGTTTCTCTCGCTCTTTTTAGGTATTCTGTTTGTCGAGGAAATTCGCGGCCTTTTCGACATGTGGGTGGCGTTTGTGACTTAGATAGGTAGGTCCCCTCAAGTTCCCCCATCCCGCCATGGGGGGCGGATTTGGCAAATGGCACATTGGAGCATTGGCAAAAGGACTGGGTGGGTGGTTGAGAACCATGGAACTTTGGTCCCTTCATGATGGGCAAAAAAAAGTTTGGGGGCGGGATTTTCTGTGTCACTGAGACATGAAAGAACCCACGCGGTGAAAGTGTGGGATGTCGACGAGACGTGGACGCCGTGGGCATCGGCCAAGGGATGGGGTGAGTGAATTGGGGTGTTTCTCTTTTTCCAAGACACTTGTTGCGGCTTCAGGTGGGATTTGAGATGGGGGGGGGAGGGGAAAAGGATTTGGATTTTTTTGTTGGTTTGGCGGCCGCAAGAAGAGACCTCGCTGATCATCCTGAAGGAGCTGTAAGCCGCTTCGAGGGAGAGTCTCGTGACCGGCGCTGCTTGCCGTGCCTGGCATTTGTGAAGGGAAAATGCCAATTGGCTTGCAGAGGAAGATGTTGAGTACATAGGTATCACACAGCGAATCTGATGAAGAGGTGTGGTGGTATTGGTGAAGAAGGTCTGCATATTCGGTGAGCGAGAGCGGGAGGTGGGTTGAGATTAGCTTAGGTAAGATGATGTGAGGTTCGTCTCGGTGGGCGGCACGGCCCCGACCGGCTTTGGGCTGGGATATAGCCTGTAGACGAGACGTACCTGCCTTACCTAAGCTGTGAGGATGGTGCCCGGAGACCGGAGCTATCCTTCTCCGGAAAGAGGTTCAAAGCCCAACTCTACTCTGAAGCTCGGGCCCCAGCTTGGAATGCAAAGGTGTAGGTAAGCAGTCGACGTTGCGAGAGTGGAGCGGCAACATCCGCGCGACTCAATAATTTTCGTGGATTGGCCGCGCCGGGTCGAAAATCGCCAGTCGAATTCAGGGTACCTTTCTCCAGCTTCCACGACTCCCGACGACTCGACGCACCTCAATCGGCGGTATACGAGACGACCTCGGTAATTTGTACACATTCAGAGCAGCCATGTCTCTGCGGCCGAGCCTACAGACCGCTTGCCGGGCGCTCGCGCTGCGATCCCGACCCCTGGCCCAACGACAGGAACCTCTGGTCTGGGCGGCGACGAAACGAGGATACTCTGACGAGCTGCGCAAGGGCGAACGGAGCCAGATTCCGGTATTGAAGAAGACTGAGAACGCGGCTTTCCCTCAGGGTCAGGAGGTCCCAGAGTCCGCGCCGGGACAACAGCAGGTATGGAGATTTTGATACCAGGAGGAAGAAGACTATATGGACGAATGAGGCGGGGAGAATGAGGAAATGCTGACGATTCGCTTTTGTAGCCAACAAACGAGGCTCTCGAAGCTGCCGCGGCACTGAGCGAGCTCGCAGAGGCGGCAAAGGGACACAGCGCCGGTCTCCAGGGCGGCCTGACGGAGGCCCAGGAGCAGATGCTGTACGCCGAGGGCGCCATCCCGCCTACACAATCCGACGGCAACGGCCAGCGCGATCTCGAAATCATAGCTAGCGGTGGGCTTCTCGCACAGGCTGGGGACGCCGCCGAGGTCGCCCCGTCACGGTCCTACAAGTTCCCGCTGCCTACGCTCCCTCTGCCGCCCCATAGCCATCTCAAGTCTCGGTACCACCCCGTGCTAGACCAGTTGACCAACTTGATGATGCGAGATGGCAAGAAGGCCCAGGCGCAAAGAGTACGTCAATCCCAACTCTGGAAACATACGACAAGATCTTGCGTGTCGAGGCAATTGCGAAAGAGAATTATGCTAACATTGCGTGCGCCTACGTAGAATATGGCCATGGTCCTCAACTTCCTGCGAACCTCCCCTCCCCCGATCATCAACCCCAAATACCCGCTCCTCCCCGGCGCCCCGCCGCCGGCGCACCTCCCGCTGAACCCCGTGCTATACCTCACACTGGCCGTGGACTCCGTGGCGCCCCTCATCAAGATCCGCCGCATCGCGGGCGGAGCCGGTGGTGGTCGACCCCTGGAGCTGCCCGCACCCCTAGCGGTCCGCCAGAGGCGGCGTGCGGCGTTCCAGTGGATCCTGGACGTGGTCAACAAGAAGCCGTCCAAGGGGTCCGGCCGGACGCAGTTTGCGCACCGCGTGGCGGACGAGCTGATTGCCGTAACCGAGGGGCGGTCGTCCGTGTGGGAGAAGCGGTTGGCGCTGCACAAGTTGGGTACGGCGACGCGTGCCAACTTGACTGCTAAGCCTGTCAAGCAGAATATGTAAAAGGGGGTTGAGGTGTGGGGAGCAGGTTTTGTACGAAGACGAAGAGGGGGAGGGAAAAACAAGATGCTGTTGAGAGAGAGATTTGTAGCAAAGCTGTATATTGTACTATATCATCCCGCCCAAATGTCAGTGCTCGAGAGGAGCCTTTCTGTCAAAACTAATTTGTCGCCATGAAGAGTGCGTTGGTGGTTCAAGTCTGAAGGGCATGATGTGCCAAAAAAGACGGATTTTGCTCCAACATTCTGCGAGAGCATCCGCATCACTGTGTCAGCGTTGCGCACATTGCCGACGGCATCGTCCCCGGCTCATAGCCCAGTCTCCAGACCCTCTACTGCACCATTCCTAAGTTGTGACGAGAATGCCACATCTCCCATTGAAACTCTCCCAGGAAGCCATGCTACCCTTGCAGAACAGACTGAGAATGGCTCCGGCGAGAATCCAGGCAAGCACAAGAGGCCTCTCGCCATCGTGGCCACCGCGTTGCGAAATGACGACCGGCATGGTCAAACGGCAGACGTAGACTGCAACACAGCCTCAATGTACGTGTAGATAGTGCACTACCATATCCCCAAAGGTGTAATACTTCAGTTTGCCGAAAGGATAAAAGGCGGGGTCTCATTGAGGCGATGAAGACGACAAGAGAAAAAGGCGTCTGTAACTCTCCGGGCCCGAAAAGATTCCTGTCCTCGATTTGGCCATCCGGCAAAGCCACGGTACCGTCATGCCGGCACCCGGAAAGGTTTCGAGATGGTCTTTCACGTGATGGACAGATGACGTCTTGTCTTGGTGTCTCTTCTCTCTTTTCTTCCCAGAAACCCTCGGGCGGTGCTCTGGTCATTCCCTACTGCCCGTACTGTACTGGCTGGCCTACCTTTCCGGGGCGGGCGGCTGAAAGAGTCTTGGGAGTGGTGTTCTAAGGTAGGCAATCGGCGCCGTCCACGGTGAGCAAATCACCTGCCAAGAAGACGGCCGGTCTTGGCGGCAGACGCCGGCGTCGTCATCATGGCACTGTCGGAAGCACTGTGCGGCGAAGCGTCGTGCGTCCTCCCCGCCGCCCGGTAGATGTGAGTGGAGGCTGAAGGATACCCTTATGGGATGATACGGAGAGCGAAGCGCAGGACGGGTTGGACGGGGGCGATGGCGGAGGCCGCGGGACATAAGTGTTTCCTACGGGGTGGTGTTTGTGGACGAAAAACCACCGAAAACAAATATTTGTAGTGGGGGCGGGCAGGGAATGCGTCATTCACTTTCAGGTCAGTTTTCCATCGTTTGATCTGGGTGCTACACAACTGAGTGTACAGTAACCCAAATCTTTGAGCAGACGGGCACAGAAGTCTTTCTTTTCAGAATAGTTACTTGCTGTCAATAGAGTGGTGTTTCATCTCGCTATAACCGCCAATCTTTTGACCATTGTCTAATTTAGATAAACCATATGATAAACCAGCTCTGAAACCAGGACTGTCGATCTCGGTCGAACATCAAGATATAAGTGAGTGTTTCTCAGTCTTCCTCAGATGTTTCCCCATCTTTTTTTCTTCGTTTTGGTTTTAAAGCACAGTAATCATTGGGTACGTACACCTACCTACCTGTTTGAGACGGTTGAGTGGGCACAGAGCACATGTACTCTTTGGATGGTTTGCATACTTGGGGATGAAGTGTCGTGCATCAAATCAGCAGACAAACGTCGGAAAAGGGAGGGCGCTGGGGCAGCGTAAGCAGAGTTGGAGGTGACATCCCATCTTTCGATTGAGTTTTCGCGGGGCAGCAAGCCCAATGGCTCTCGGACGATTCATCGGAACAAGAATTCACTGGGCACAGAAAGGGCACCACGACATGGCACCAGTCACTTTTGTATAAGTGAAGTGGGATGAGATGGGGTACCTCACCGGGTTTCCTGAGTGGGCAGGTACCAGTGGTACCAAGGCGGGTGATGAAGAAGCACCCACGGCACGCAAATGGAGAATGAGAAAGGCTGAGCAAGTAAGAAGCTGTCTCTCTCGGTCTCTCTGCAGCACTAGGGCGCTACGAAATGGGTGATCTTCTTCAGACTCTGGGGAAATGAGTTTGGGTACAAGAGAGCAGAGGAATACGGCCCAAATGGGGCTGGCTGGGCCGGATAAGGTGCCCATGGCTCCATTGCCAATCTCATCCCATGTTCAGAGACTCTCTGCCACAGCAATTGACTCCATGTCAAGTGGTCAACTCCTTTGGACAGAAGAGTCAAAGGACAGGCGACATGTTCATCAAGAACGTAATAAAAACGACGAATTTGGATCGGATGACTGCATTTCTCAGGCACTGTCTGCACCACCACTTTAAGCTCAGTGCATGTCAATCTATCGATCCGTACATAGTACTACAGACACAGTCACGGGCCAAGGTCACAAAGGCAATGAAAGGAAAGGCTACGCACTACAGACTAACACAGTAGGTATTCCATCACAAAAAACGAGGGAGGGCGCCGTCAATAGTCAACTGGTGTCAAAGACGTCGACGCTAAAAGACGGAGCACCTACCCCTCCTCGATCCCTTCCCACCATCCACGTTATCCACGTTCCCCCCCCCCCCCCTCCCCTTTGACCCCTTCTGATCCTCCACCGTCCCATTTCCACAACCATCTCTCTCTGAAGTCCCGTCTCTCAGAACCTAGAGGTGCCTCCGGTGCCTGCCACCCGCAAAACCCAATCCCCACCTTTTCTTCTCTTACCTTACCTTAGGTCTACGGAGTACTTTGTACTCGTTCGTTCCCAGCCCGCGCTTGTGTTGCCGCTGCCACTGCCACTGCCACCGGGGAACTTTGGGCTGGACTGGGACTACCGCAGTAAGGTAACCTTGGCTAAAGTAGTACGGTAGGTAAAGAAGAGACTAGGAACCACCTTACCTTTACTTTCCACCCTTTCTAAGGATACCTTACACAGTACCTTACCCTGCCATTCACTCCACTACCACCAATCGTGTGTCGTGCGCTACCTTACCCTCAGGTTCCTTCAACTCCTTGTTGTTTCTCTCCTACCTTACCTGACCGCACCGCACCCTTTTTTTTAACCCTTCTCTTCTCCTCCTCCCCCTACCACCACAACTAACTATTCCTCCTTCATCTGGTCTTGGCAGTTCGACTCGTGCTTCATAAGCTAATTTAGGCCTCCACCCACAGCGCACCTTCCTCACTTTTGGTCTGGTCCCCAACGGAGCCATGATCTAAGGAGCCTCCGCCGACCTCCATATCCCAACTGCCCCTACACAATGCTCTTTCTGCCATCCAACTTGCACCGCCAACGTCAACATCGCAAGATTATCCCCCGTTAGATTTACCACAACCACGTATATCCGACCCGAACCAAACCCCCGTATTCGATTTTACATCAACCAAATCATCACTATCCTCAAGCGAACGAGTCATCACCGCTCTTGTACCACAAAAGCGACGCTCGTAAAGTCCTGAACGAGGCTCCTTCTTCGCCAAGAGCGCAATCCGACTTTCGACCCCATTCAAGATGTCGCACCAACCCATGAGCATGGAGGCCATGCTCGACGAGGAGAGAAGAGATGTTCTGGCCTTGCTCGAGGGTACCGCTGCTAGATCCAACTGGAACACGGGCTCGCCCGTCTCTGCACGCTCGCCATCGCCCTACACAACGCCCCGCTCGCCCGTACGAAGTATGCTGGATATCGGCGCCGATGGAGGTTCGAAGAGCCCACGACTCGGAAACGCCGTACCGGTGCGCAGCATGCTGGACATCAGCGGTCCTCCGGCTCCCGTTCGGAGCATGCTCGATATCAACACCTCGGCTCCAAAGCAGGCTGCCAGTGCCGGCCCCAGTTCTCCAGTCGAATCTCGCGCGCCTCACCCGAGAACCTTTTCCGATTCACACTCCCAAAAGCCCAGCTTTGGCCCGCGCGCCCCAATCAATCGAATGGATCCCACACTGGACTACCAATTCTCTGATATTTCTACTAACAATATCGGAACTGCTATGCCGAAGCGCAACACACAGGGAAAGGCGCTGGGCGTGAAGAAGCCGGGCGGCGGTGCCATGGTCGACGTCATGCGCGGCAACGAGATCCCCGGCATTATCCTTCCCGGCGACAGAGCCCGCCACGGCTCTATTGCTAGCAATCCCGTCATGGGTGGGAGAAGCTCTAGCAGAGGTCAAGGCAGCAAATCCAAGTCTCCTCATGGCAGACTGAGCATGCGCTCCCGCTCGCCCAATGTCAGTGGTCGGCTCCAGCAGATCCCTGGAACTGCCATTCTTGATGATGGCCGGGTGGTGGACATCTCAACCGCCTACCGCAAGCTGTCGGATGCGAATTTGGCATTTTCAGGCGGAGGCCTGTCTGGGCTGGCCGGACGCAAAAAGTCAAGCGCAGACGATGCTGGACTTGGACGTCTTACCAAGGACTATCTCAGCCCTGATGGAGAGGAGCTGGAAGACAGCAGCGACGATGACGCGCACAGTTCTTCCGATGAAGAGAACGAGAGAGGACGTAAGATGTCGCCTCGAGATGAAGAGAGCAATGCCAAATCCGGCAGCTCAGCCGACAAAGGTGACCGCAAGACGCTCAGTCTACTTGCCGCGGCCGAGGAAGAGCGTAAGTAACTCATGCTCGTGGTGAATCCAGGTGCTAACAAAGTTGCAGGCCTGGCAGTCAGTTCCAAGCAACCTCAATACAAATACAAGTCATTGTTAGACGAACCTTCCATCACACTCACCAAGCCAGGCGGCGAGAAGTCGAAATCCAAAGCAGGCATCCGCCCGACCACGGCGTTCGACAACGAGCCAGGCTCGGGAATGGCGTCCGCTGTGAACTCGGACGATGAGGAGGAGCTCAACGACATCAAGCGCGCACAGAGACTTGCCTTCTCACGTACAGAAACCCTCAACAACCCCGAGTTTTCACGAACTCTACGCATCATCATGCGCGGCGAGTTTGATCAAATCCAGAAGTCCGCCGAAGAGGAACATCACAGGTTGAGAAAATACCTGGTGGCCACCGATCTCAGCGAGGAGTCGACACACGCCCTGGAATGGACGATCGGCACCGTTCTGCGAGACGGCGATACTCTCATCTGTATCTACTGCGTCGATGAAGAGACTGGTATCTACTCGACCGAGGGAATAATGGTCCCCGACGAGCGTGCCGCGCATCAGGAACAAGCAGCTGCTATTAACGCCATGTCCAGCGCCAAATCACCGCCGCCAAACATGACCAGCGCCCCGCCTTTCCCTCACCTTCCGCGAGCCTCGGCCTTGAACAATAGCGACTCTTCTTCGCCGGCACCGTCCAGTAGGGAGCGCGGCCGCGCCGAGGAGGAACGCCGTCGTGCGGTTAACGACATCCAGGAGAGGGTCGAGCGGCTGTTGCGAAGGACTCGACTTCAAGTGCGAGTGATTGTCGAGGTCATTCACTGCAAGAATCCAAAGCATCTCATTACCGAAGTGATTGATATTGTCAGCCCTACGTTGGTAATCCTGGGAAGCAGAGGCCGCAGTGCTCTCAAGGGGTTAGTTATCCACCCCATTCGACTCCACTGTTTGAAAACATGCTAACTATTGAATAGTGTGATTCTTGGCTCGTTCTCCAACTATCTTGTCACCAAGAGCTCTGTGCCTGTCATGGTGGCGCGAAAGCGCCTTCGCAACAAGAGCAAGTACAAGAGAGGCCCTCTCAAGCAGGTCAATGACCTTAACAACCCGGGAACCAAGAGCCTCGCCAACGCCAAGGTTGACTAGAAGGACCCCGCGCCGAGGCGTAGGCTGTCAGGACTGTGGAATCGCTTCAACGCGAGGCGAGCGTCGTGGGCTGAGGAGAGGGAGGAGGTAGAGCCGACGGAGCAGGTGGAGCAGGCGGATCGGCGCAAGAGCGCTTGATGAGCAACACAATTTCCTTTTCATCATGTTTCGTACAAGCCTTCCGCTTTGGACAGGCCTGGGACACGGATCCCGGGCACTTTGTGGGAGAAGGCTTGCCAATTGGGGATGGGACGAAGAAAGCAAACGTGGTTTAGGCTAGATACGAACCACGCGAGGCGTCTCACTTGTTTCTTATTTCCCTAGGGGATTTGACGATTAATCATGTCATAAAAAGCGGTCTAGCAGCAGACAGAACAACCACCAGGGTTAATTCATACTCCATTCTACAGCTTTGAGTCCATACATAGTCTGTGGTTAAGTCCTATGAAAAGACGTTGCTGTAGAAGAGCAACTAAGGGGGCGTTCAGCAATGAGAACCCCGGTGATATCCGGCCCGACCTGATTGTGCATGAACGACGATGGATCAGTGCAAGAAAGCGAGCAGATGAATTGTGCCAGTCCGAAATAGCTTGTCCGACATGGGCAAACGAACGTTCGTCATGGTCAAGAAGGAGTCACTCTCGAGTGGAATGGAGTCGTCGTCGTCGTCTGTAAAGAGGGGGGTCCCGCTCGGCGACGGTTGATTCGGTGACGGGACTGAAAGAGTGGGGCACTGGTGCGGGGTGATAAGATAGTGAAAGTGGCTGATTGGGGCCAGCTCAGTTGCGTTTTTTCTGGGTCTTCTCATTCAAACTGGCCAATCCCGTGTAAACCTGAGATTGCCTGCCCAGTCTCGATGGTACGTACGCAATTGTGCAATTGCGCGTACCCTGGAGGAACGGGGGGGTTTACCAGTAGGTTGAGTGTGGGGTTTTTGTTTGAGGTTCGTTCTGATAGAGCGTGGGCTAAGAATGCGAGAAGCCTAGTGTGCTGTGTGGTCACTGGTGTACTGCGTAGCTTCGCTCTGGGTAGGGGTTTTCGTGCCTTGATCTATCATGATATTGCTATGTACATCTTGTGTGTGGACATGCGCCGATAGGTACCTCTCAACTTCACGGCTTCGTACAATACCTACCTAGGTACCTAGTGTACCAGTTCTTAGGTAGGTTGGCCCCGCCCCTGGAGACGCGAGTCTTGGGTTCCCTTGCCCACACTACCCGCGTCTCGTTGGCGTCGCCGTCGAATCGGATGCTCCCGAGGCCTTGTCGGTGAGTCACTTTGATTGGATCGCGCAACTCTTTTGGAAACGTCAAGAGATGGGACTGGGAGAGAGGTTTGTTTGTTTACGTTCCAAAGTGGAAAGACAGCCTGAAAGTCAGTGGGAAAAGCAGGACCCCGCCTTCTCATTCTCGTGCTTGACATTGGGTGACGGGGTCCCGTGACTAGGGATGCAACCACTTAAACGTCCGAGGGGCAGACACGCTTGTTTCCTAAAACACGAACGACGCGGGTTGAGCTGGGGGGCGCATGGGTGCTTGGGACCAGGGGGAGGAAGTGTATCTGGAAAGGAAGGGAGATACGGGTATCCGTAGGGCGAAGGAAGAGAAGAAGGATGGCGTTGAGATGTGTTTCTGGCTGCTCGTCAAGTATTGATCGTATTGATCTACGGCTCTTGTGCAAGAGAAAGGACGGCAAACTGCGAGGGCACGGGAGAGCGCAATGCGAACAGAGCAGGAGGGTACGTACTCGCGCAGGTCAATGTTCGGTGTAGGGGCCCCTCTCCAGCCCCTCCCACCCAATCCAGGGCCTGATATCCGGCCGCTCCCTTGACAGGACTCGATCTGTGATTGGACGATGACCTCGAACCTGGCAAGTGGGGACCTGAGCTCCCCAACCTCTCGATTTCGACTCGTTCGAGAGACGACGCAAGGTGGGCATTGGGGGGTCTAGGAAGGTGCTGCTGGGGTTCTTGCTGCATTAGAAAAGATGAAGAGAGGAACGGGAAGGCACCGTAACCCCCCCTCCCCTCCCCTCCCATTCCCCTTCCCTCTCGAGGAATTGGATGCTGCTGCTGTTGTTGCTTGAGCTTCTCCATCTGCTCCATACCTACTTGCTGCATCTCTCCCGCTTCTTCTTACCTTTCCACAAACCTCCACTGCGGCCACTCTCAATCAGGTCACCTGCTACTTCTTTCTACCCACTTTCCGCCCAACCCTGACCTATCCCGTCTTGTCCTGTCTCTTGTCTCCTGTCTAGGAAAAGAGAGAGAGAGAGAGATACCGGTAGAGACAGGCGATCCTGCGAGGCGCTTGGCCTGTCACCGTTACCTTACCTACCTTACCTTACCTTAGATCCATACTCAAATTCAACCTTTCTTCATCCATACTCATACCTCTTTACTCTTATCGCACCCGCGCATATCATTCCCGATCGAGTTCAGTTTCACATTGGGCTGGCCTACCTTATAACTTACTTGCCCTGATCGGTTACATCAATCCGAGGCACTTCTTACATTCCCCTTGCTCTCAACTCTTTGCCTTATACATCCCACTTCCCCCCTCCTGCATTGCGCTCCCGCCATACGTCAAGTGAGCCAACAAGGTACTTCTCTGCGCCGTACTAGCCGTCGACCTGCAGAAGAAGTCCATCTCTGTCGCAACACCGAGGCGACCGCGGTGAAGGGTGTGCGCCCAACCTATTCTGACCCTCATGCTTTCCATGCCGTCGCTAGTCACCGTCAATAACAACGTTTCCCTGCTGAGCATTACAATCGCTCCAAGCACATACGTAGCAACGCTGACCTTGTCCTTTGTCTTCGTCTACCTATACATCGTTCAGATCTCGTGGAAGCCGACACTGCTACCAAACGTTAGCTACTTTAAGCGCACAAGTCGAACTACCAAAACCGCAGAAGCCGCAGTCGAGGCGCCTTCCCTCCCACCACCACCACCCACTTACAAGGCCTTACCCGCACCACCCGCCCCCGAGGCCAGCGGCGCACTCGTCCGTCGCAGCAACCGCCACTCTTCTCAACATTACCAGCACGAATATGATGATGGCTACGAAACATTCGACGACGTTCGATCCTCTCGATCATTTAGACGCCTCCTTGGGCGACTTCGAGCCGACGACCCCGCCACCGGGCAGGAGGGGTCCTCAGGGCGTGAACTTGTTCGGGCACCCGTCGCATCACTCGAGCTTCCGGTCAGACGACGCGGAGAGCGACCTGGGCCCGGACCCCGAAAACTCAGTCTCCGTCGGTGGTTACAGTCCTCCGGCTTGGCGCCGCCTCGGAAACGGGAGTCGCGACAGCGGCTTCTGGCGGCGGAGTGATGACCTGCTAGGCGCATTCTCTCCCCAGCTCCACGGACACCACCAAGGCTTTGGCGGATTCAAGTCGAGGGAGTCAAGCCCCGAGTACGATAGCGATGGCGACGAGGGCGAGTCGGTGCTGCGCAGAGCTATGCGCACAAGGTTGCCGACGGGGAGCATGAGTCCCGATAAGGCCCGGTCGCCCAGCCCCGAGCCCAAGATGGAGGATAGGACGATCAAGTTGGAGGATATTCCGTGGAAAGAAACAAGCCCTTCAGAGGGAACATTGAATCAAGACAATTGTATGGCCCCGTACCTGAAGCCCATTCCTCTTCATCATGTGTGCACGACTGCTTTGGGAGGGTATCAGGCTGACCTCGCCGATAGATATCAGATTCGCGTTGCGCGCAGAAGTACAGCAGCGTACGGAACCTATCGAAGCCCTTGTTCATTTCTTCCGCTCAAAATGGCGATTCTTGACTCACTCGTGGTCTTCCACAATCCTATCTATCCTCGTTGCCGTGCTCGCCATAACGGCGACGCGCAACCTTTTCCAGCCCGCTGCGCAGCAGCCGGTCCCCGACCTCGTCAAGGTCGCGGGCATCGCGCGGTCTTTCGAGCCGCTCATTTACTTTTCTGAGAATGGTGCATCTCAGGTTGGCGATCTGCAAGCGACCGGCGTCGCTGTCTGGGACCTTGGCGAGAGCGTGCGCTCCAGTAACATGACTTCTGCGCCCATCATTGTCAAGGAGCTGGATGACCTCAGTGAGAGCCTGAAGACTCTGGCTGTTGAGCTGACAAAGTTCTTTGCGAACGTTGATGGCGACATTGATGGGTAAGTTTCACCATGTGTTCTCACTTATGAAGCATTCCCTTCTAATATCGAGTACAGCATCCTCATAGTCATGGATTGGGCGCGCAGAGAACTCTCTCAGGTGCAACACCTCCCTTCATCGCCTTTCACTGCCGCCTTTGACAACATCCACAACCTCCTCTCTGAAGCTGGCGTTCTCGAAGACGGCTTCGGTAGCCCGACTCGCCTTGGATCTTTGTCGAGATACATTTTTGGCATGTCCAACCCGCAGCGCACGCGCCTCACGCTCCAGCGCACATTCAATGAGTTCCTCACCGTGCTCGAGGATGCCATCAACTCGGAGTTACAGCATTCTCTTGCCTTGTTTGCGCTCTTCGAGGCCATCGACCACCAATTCCTCAATCTCGCGCGCACAGTTGTCCGTGAGGCATCCGCTCAGGATGACCTGCACGCCGACTCGTTGTCGTCACTCTGGACGCGCATCCTAGGCGCCAACGCCGCCGAGGTGGCCAAATATGAGCGCAACCGTCTTCTGCTACAGAACGTGAGGGAGAAGACAGTGCGGAACAAGAGCATCTTAGTCGAGCACAACGGCAAGCTTATGGCCCTCAAGGCCAATCTCGAAAACCTGCGACGCAAGCTCGTCAGCCCGCTCGTCAGGTCTGTCAACTCGAGCACATTAACGCTCGAGGACCAGATACGCGGGCTGGAGGACGTCGGCGGCTACCTCGAGGGTGTCCGGACGCGGCAGAAGGGCAAGTTGATGGAGATGCTGTACGGGAGTGTCGGCAATAGTCGGCGGCTCATTGAGGAGCGGACGTATGGCCGTACAGCATGAGTTGACGAAACTGGGATTTAGAGAAAAAATCATTTGGGTCCTGGATTCATCGTCTCCTTGTTGGTCGTTTGCCCTTGTATACTGCATCATGGCGTATTCGGATACTTAGAGGAAACCTCACCCGGACGGCGTTTCTTGCTAAACTGGGGATAGACTTTTGCCGTCGAAGCGAGTGAAGGAGACAAATGATGTCCCTCGCGCATTTTCACATTGGAGTTGAGGATGGAGGAATATGGGGGATCGTCTACTGCATGGGTACTTATTCCCGGAGCACATACATTTGGTGTTCATAAGCTGACAGATGTCAGTTGGCGTACAGTGGCGACTCGTCTTCTCAGAGTGTGGGAGTAGCCTGTGCTTCACAACCGCCTTGCACGGGAGACACGGAGGGAGGAACTTTTTTCGGTGATGGACATGGATTATGGGAGAGGGCGTTTCGGGAACTAGTAACCTGTAGGACCAACCGCATGTAAAGACTTTGGGAAAGGGCGTATTTTGGGATTTGAGGGTTTCATTGAGGAGGTGTAGGTAGCGGAAATGCGAATTAACGCAAATATTTCATCTGATTATGTGCGTAGACAGACCGTGTGCTGTGTGACTCTGTGAGTGATATAAAGGGCGCAGCCGTGTCTTATTTGGGCCTATTCGGCGTATCCCGAATGCCTTTGGCGTTCTTGGAAGGTAAAGTATGCGCATTCCTACGATTTTCTGGTCGGGGGTCTGGTATCAGGGGTGTCGGCTGTGTCTACTCCTTCATCTATAGTGTGCTTTTACATCTCGAGCCTCTTAAAGTCCTACCTATCCAGTAGCCATTTCAAGTCCATATTGGCGGTGGTTTATTGTATAATGAATACCATAGAAGGTGTCGATGAGTATAAGTAGCAGGCTTGAAATGCTGTTTTATGTCTTCCGTGAGCGAGATATATCTTACTAGGTACCTAGCAGGTCAAGATCCTCGCTGCCGCTGCCAGCTCCCGCTTGCCGCAATCGTCGCGAACCACACGGCCCAGTCTTACGTGGCCTTCGTTTCCGAGACAGTCAGGTTGACGAAGGGATTGTTTAGTGTGCCTGAGTGGATTTTTATATAGGGTAGCTGGCTAGGCGTGTGGGAGGTGTGCTCTTGAGCCAGGGGATCTGTAGATGACGATGATCAGTAGCTGGCTTCGCCTCTTTTAGTAAGTTTAACGACCAGACGCGTAGTTCGTTCGCGCCCTTCGTTGATGAAAATCATCTCAGGGTCCGGATCAGTTTCGTTGGAGGGAAATTGGATGCTTATTTATTGGTAACGCTGTCGCTGCTCCGCGGTTTGTGATAATAGGTTGATAGACCTCAACCCTACTCATGCCTCTCCTCTAGTATTCTCGTATTGCGGGTTGAATACGGCGAGGGAGAAGGAAGGGGACTTGAAATATAAATTGCCGTTCTTCAGGTCTCTAGGAGGTGCCGATATTTGAGGGACTCTGGAAATGCGTGTCTGCCGAGGATACGTGACATACCGCAGAAATATCACGCTGCAAAGCGGCAGCCCATCCACCAAACTGCTCGACAGAAAGACCAATTTCTCACCAGGCGCCTGTTTGAAGCACTAAATTAGGTTCCACCTTCGTCTGTTCGCTCCCTTTCAAGTACTCGGACTGCAAGTAACACTCAGATCTTTGTCTCTCCTTATTTCTGGTACGTCGTTGGCAACGATATCGTCTTGGCCGATATGCTGATCATAGACAAGCTGTCCACATAGGGGGTAGTACAGAAAACCGTTGCAAACATTTCTTCGTACGTGGTCTAGAGGATATCGTGGAAACACAGTAAGAAGCCCCCCTTTTACCATATGATCCTAGCTTTTCCCACCATCTATAACCCAACTCCCCCATTCCCAATCCTCTCAAAAGCCCTCAATCTGCGTCCCGATCCCCTTCTCCTTAGCAAGCTGAATCATGTGCATCCCAACCGACAAATCCATCAGCCCCAACCCGACACTCTTATAAATCACCGTCCCGTCCTTGAGCCACCTCACCAGCGCGTCCTCCTTCTTGCGCTTGTCAGCTGACCTCTGGCTCGAGCTCCGGCGCAGCATGCTCGGCCCTTTGCTGCTGCCACTACCACTGCTACCAGACGTCTTTGTCGAGTCTTTGCTGATGGACGACCGCGGCTCCGATACAGACGCGCCGTCGGACCCGGAGAAGGCGGACTTGATGGACGGCGTGCCCGAGAAGTCGAGCTTTTCGAGCTCCGAGGCCGCGATGCTCGCTGCGTCGCTGTCGGCTGAGGCTGCGTCTTCTTCGTCCTGCATCCGGCGGAGCATAATCAGCTCTCCGAGTCTGTGAACACAATCAGCTTCTCAGTTCCCAACACCTCGAGACCTAAGGGCAAATGAACTTACTCAACAAGCTGCGTAGGCTGTAACCCAGCCGAGATAATCTCCCCGGCCTCCTTCAACGCCCCGTCCAGCGTGTCCACGACAATCACCCCGCCCTCGGGCGCATGCTTGTGAAAATGCCAATGGGGCTTCTCGTGCTTCGTAGCCTGCAACAGCAACCCCTCAGGCAGCTCCCTCATCGCGGGCGTGTAACTCCCAATCGCCGCAATCAGCCTCCCCTTCCTCCGCCCCTCGTGACTCGTCAGCACCTCGGCATCGAACAGCTCCTCCGTCGACGGCGTACAGCAGTACACCACATCCGCATCGCGAATCTGCTCCCTCAGCAGCCTCTTGAACTCGCCGTACCCGGGGGTCAGAATCCCAAACGTCGTCTCGGACCAGCCCTCGCGCTCCTTGATGTGCGGCGGCACGCGGTAGAACTGCTTCATGAAGTCGCGGGCGTCGTCGGAGAAGCGGCGGTTGATGACGTTGACGTGCTTGATGGTCGCGCCGCGGACCAGGAGGGCGAGGCGGACGTGCCAGTAGGCTTGGAGGCCTGTGCCGAAGACGGTGATCGTCTTGACGGTGGTGCGCCGGGCGAGGAGGCAGGTTGAGGAGAGGGCGGTGCGGAAGGCGGTTAGGGTCTTTGCGTGGAGGAAGCCGATGGGTTCGCCGGTGGGCGAGAGGAGGGTTACGGCGCCTGTTGGTTGGATGGAGGGTTTTAAGGGGTCTTGGGATACTTTGCTGGAGCTGAGTGTTACGACTATGGGAGTTTGTTAGTGATTTGAGAATTCTGGAGGGATGATGGGCGGGTGGGAGAGGTTGAGAGGCTTACCTTTGCAACCCATGCCTTGGGGACCGACGGAGGGCATGTACAATGTTGTCGCGCCCGTCTTGAGGTTCTCTGTTGAGACGCGCTCCGGTTGGTGATATGTGCCATCTTCAATGTTGTGCGTGTTGGTCGAGTACTCGTGGAGGGCGGTCGAGATGACCTTTCTGAACCCGTCAAACTCGTCGGCCGTCAGATCGGCCAGGATCGTTTTGATCTGGTCGTCTGTGAGGACCGTCAAGACCATGGCTTGTTGTAGGAAGTATATAAATGAATCTTGTTCTTCAGGCTTATTGTAGGGTGTTGGTCGTGAGATTTCGAGTCTTGCCCCTCATCAACTCGCGATGAGGTGAGATGTCGCTCGTGGGAGACAATTTGAACTTGTTCGAAGCGGGGTTCTTTATTCGTGTACTTCGTACACACTTTTGGCTGACTCGGGCTTATGGGGAGCTAACGCCGTGCTTATATCGGGATCTGGCAAAAAACTCCGGGGGACGGGCTTATAAACAGGAAGATTGTCGATTTCTCATCTACATTTTCCACCGGCTCATCCGCGCCAAGAATCTAACAAGGCTGCGCTGTTGGCGTGCCCCCTCGATGTGCGAATTCTGTAGTATGATGTAATTGTCGATACTAGATCTAGGCTCGTCTAGGTGGTGCTGACTGACACAAACCGTTCATCTCCACATGTGCGCCGGCCGCTGGCAGTGGGCACAGGTTTCCCCGTGCTGCTCGCTCTCGTAAGTCTCTGATGTATCATGTTCCCAAAGGAGAAGCCCGTGAAGTGAAGGGTATCAGAGAAGAAGTTACAGGCTTGGCGGCAGATTATACGAGGCAATTGAGGCGGATTGAGCTATCAATTTGCGCTTGGCACGCGAAAGCGAAGCGGGCTTAGCGGTTGGCTGGGCTAGTGTTCCGGGGTTCCGGGGTTACGGTGCGCCGGGCTTTCGGCCTCCAATGGAGGCGTAGGCTTCACCGGCCCCCGGGTCCGATGGGGACCCTGTCGACTCCGGATGTGCATGGGTGAGCCGGAGGTGTCAATGCCATGAGATTTTGTTTTGACGGGAGGCGGTGGCGGATACGGCCCTCCGGCAGCCTACAGAGATCGGCAAAGAAACAAATCCCCTCCCAAGTTCGTCCCAAGGGCTGACTGGCTGCCTGATGTCTGCCTGCTTAGCTTGAAATGTGATGTCAGAGGATTATACCCAAGCGGGCAGGAATTGTCAGACACGTAGATGCAAATAAGAATGCACATCCAAGAACAGAAAACAATTTGGCAGGAGTAACATTGCCTTCAAAATAGCATCTACAGGGTCACAGACAAAATGTCACGGTGCTCTTTCGTCTTCGTGACGGCCAAAAACGCCGACGTCAAACTCATCAACCGCTTCCTCCTCACCATCCGGGACTGGGAGTACGGCGAAGACGACACCTGGGACTGCTTCACCCTCGTCACCTCAAAGTCGGAACCCCTCCCGCTAGACGCAGAATCCACAAAGCCGCCACTGCAAGAGTTGCCTCCCAATGAATGGGAAGGCTGCTCCCTCGAAGAAGTCGAGGCCGCGGTCCTCGCGAGGGGCAAAGAAGAAGACTCGGCGTACGGCAAGCAGCAGGGCCCCAACAACTTGAGCCTCTTCCTCGTGCTCGACGACAAGAGCGTCGAGGACCGGACCGTGATCCTGTGCCAGCGGGCCATCGACTGGGACGCGGAGCCGCTGACGTACCCGGAAGGGTTCAACAAGTTCCGGACGCCGTGGACGTCGGCCTACCTGGATTGGTGCAACCTCGACATCTCGAATGTCGGGTGGTCCGAGATGTGTGACTGGGAGGACGCCGACGAGGGAAAGAATGAGAGGGACGGGGTGTGGTGGACGTATGGGAATCACGTCGAGGAGCTTACCTCTGAGGAGAATAGGAAGAAGCGTGATGCCGTGATTAAGGAGCTGGAGGGGCTTGGGCAGGCGTGATGGATGAATAGCTGGACTAGGGAATCATGAGTCGCCGTCGTGCTGTTTCCGCTTCTGACTGTGTGAGCACATGGTGTCGCCTGAGTATACAAATGGTTAGGAAGGCAGTCCCATTCTCGAGAGTTCAAAATGTAGCCATTCCAGGCACCTGGGTAATGAACGAATCAGAAGCCGGTATTGGTGATGTAAACCGCCCCAGCCGGAACCCGAGGGAGGCTTTGACAGAGTCCACGTAGGCTCACGTCGCCCCGTCTCTCTACCACTCCACGACGCGTGTACGACGTCCATCGTATTCGCAGCAATCTCATTGCGACTAAGGAGAGAATAACAGCTGCCTGAACAGCTCAAACTGGTATAAAGCGGATCAAAGGGGTAGTGGAGGTGGTGGCATCGGATAAATGGTAGAAGAAAACCATTGTTTGAGGCCCTGAGGGTTCAATACGCTTTGATTACCGTAACTTGCAGTCTGCAAAATCATCAAACTCTCGTCGTATTACGATCAACTATCGCAAAGAAAATACCTCAACCACAAGAATCGAATTCTAGGTGGTAGTAGAAAGCGTCACGATAAGTCGAAACAAGAAGTCGACCCAACCCGCCAACGTCGTCTTAAGCAAACCCCCATCCCCAAATATAACCAACCGACCAGAACCGAACAAAACAAAAACGGGGTTGCTACTCAAGAGGTACGGAGCACGGGTGTCGGATGAGCACACAGACAAACCCTTTGGAGTAGTGGTACCCGGTAGATCGGCCGTGCATTTTCAGGTCCCTCCTCCTCCTGTGCCCCCCGGGCCCGGAAAGTGTCAGGACGTTGTTTCATAAACCTCTTACACTCGATCCCATCTTTTTCTTCTCTCTGTCTCCCCCTTCTCTCCTGAAGCGACCAGTGACATTTCTTCCTCACTGGTTCCACCGCAGGGTCATAGCCTGGCGAGGGGCACCCTTCACTTTGCGCGCAACAGAAAGTGAGGAACAAGGCTGTTCGCCTGTTTCTGCTGGTCTTCTTTGAGGGTTGAACAGGAACAGCAGCACAGATTCAGAAAACCGGGCACGGGACACTAGAGAACACAAGACTGACATTTGCTGAAGATACAAGACGAAGAAAAGGGATAATAGTCTCAGTAGCAGCCAAACACGGCTCTCGAGTCTACTCATCTCGTGTTGCCTTGTAAACGAGAACCTTATCAAGAGTGGCAGGCTGCACGATCAAAAAACAGGCACCTCATCTTACCGTACATTCAACTGCAAGAGAACAGTATCCCTACGCAAAAAGGCCCCTGCTCTCGCTTTCAACCACCTCGCAGACAGTGAGAGCAAGATAGGGAAAGGGAAACCAATCACAATACCTGGCCCCCGTCTCGTCCCTGACCGTTGGGAATTTCGAATCCGTCGAATACTTCTCTTGTCTCAATCCAGCTGTTGAGAACCTGAGCATCTGTTCAAAGTGTGTGTGAGAGAGAGAGGTACCAAAAAAGACCCCTTCCCGCAGACAAGAAACAGAAAGAACCCTGTTTTCTCCCTCTGCTCGCCCGCGCGCCTGCGACCCCTGGAAACTTGGAAAGTTCCTCCCAGAAAGCGAGCGCCAAAAGATCTCACGCCCCAAGGTCCCAAGGTCCCAAGGAAGCCGCAGCACCACCAACCGGCACACCCAGCCAGGCCCCAACCCACACCGCAGCAGCTGTACACCAAATCTGACTGGTCCAAACGGGGGCGCCCCAGGGACCTGCCACCTACCAGCAACCACCTACTGCGTACCTTACTCCGTACCTACCTACCTCAGCCCGCTGGGCCAAGTCCAAGCCTCAAATTCGGCAAAAGAGGCTACGTACGACGCTTCCTCTTCTCTTGGCCGCGCCGCCCCGGGGAAAGCTGACAACAACACTTCACCTAACCTCACCTCACCTCACCCAACCACTCCACCTTCAAACCTCGAAAACCAACAATCCAGCAATCCAGAGAGCTCGATTCTCGCCAGACGACGGGTCTACATCCACATCAAAAGAAGTCAATCAATTCACCGATCCTACCACAATCCGATCTCCCTTTGCTCCCGTGCTATCGATCCCATCTCCGTGAGCTGGAATTCGGACCATCTCCACAATAGCTCAGAAAGTCCACGTACGCCAACCTAAAAAGAAAAACGTTACCACCGCAAACCACACCACACTACCGCCAAGATGACGCTCAAGGAGGAATTCGCGACCAGAAACTTCAGTAAGTTATTTTCTAAATGGTTTCGCGCGCCTGGCGCTGTCTTTCGCAAATTTGAACTTGATGCTAACCTGTCACCACAGGCATTTACGGCCAATGGTAAGAGCTCCCCTGCTCAGCCCATCATCCCTCGCTCCCTCGCGCAATGTTCCCCCTTCGATTGCCCGTCTGCGGGGACACGATCCGAGATGAATACTCCCCGTGGCAGGCTGCGATTGCAGAAAACCTCTCTAGGAGAGCTTGTTTCGGCGCAATACACTTTGCGAGGCATAATGGCTGACTCGAGAATCAATGCAGGCTGGGTGTCTTGTCGATGATCTTGTGCTTAGCACTGGGCATCGCCAACATCTTTACCATCCATCTCCTTCTCATCATCTTCTGCGCGCTCGCCCTGTAAGACCCCCTACGCTCCCTCCGCTCTATGCCGGAGCTCCGTTCTAACGTAAACCTCTAGGGCCTCTGCGCTGGTGATCCTCTTCATTGAGGTCCCTCTGTTGCTCCGAATCTGCCCTACCTCGGCCACGTTCGATGGCTTCATCCGCAAGATCTCGACCAACTACATGCGCGCCGGCGCCTACGCCGGCATGGCTGTCATTCAGTTCCTCAGCACCATCATTGTCACCAGCAGTCTGATCGCCGCTGGTGTGTTCCTGTCGCTGACGGCCATCTGCTACCTTCTCGCCGCCGTCAAGGGCCAGGCCTTTGTCGGCAGCAAGACGCTTGGTGGCCAGGGTGTTGCCCAGATGATTGTCTAGGAGAAGAATCAGCAATTAGAATGTCGGGGCAACGAGGTGCCCAGATCAGGAGCGCCGGACGAAGGAGCGCCGGCGCCTGTAACGACAGCTGAACAAGTATAGGCAACCTGAATGATATCCAGTGCCTGGAAGCACGAACAAAATGGGGGGACGAAAGGGTTGTGGAGTGTATACAATTGCGAGTATCGAGGCTCCGTGATAGGCCACTTGGCGCGTGAAGCGCAATGGGTTATGAGAGGTTGCAGAGGGCAACGCGGAGACTGGTGTGTTTTGATATGCAACGACCGGCATATTCGGAAAGGAAACTCGGCGTCCCGGGACAAGCTCAGGCTTTGCGTGTACGACTTCGGATTGCGCTTTTGGTTCTTAGAAGCTCCGGAGGTTATGATAGCTTTCTTCATTGCACTGGATTTTCTGTTTCGGAGCTTTCTTGAAACTTTTGATGGTTCGCTCTCGTGCGCATTGAGTAGAGTCGAGTCGTCCGACTGCCTTCATGCACGTGTACCGCTCCAGATTGGAGTACGGCAGAAGAGGATCGGCATCAAGCTTGCCAGCTCACAGCTAACAAGTGATGTTGCGCAAGCTTCCTAGCATTGGATTTGTTCAGTCGCCATAGCTTTGAACCACAGCTAGCTTGCGAAGCAAGTCAACGGTGACGATCGAAAGAAAATGGCACTAGTGGTGCCGGTGGCGGGGGGAGGGGGAAGCCAGCCGGGTAATAGCTCGCAGGCCTCGGAGCTAAGGTGAGCAGCAAAAGAGCTACTTCTCATGCAGAGGGACATCACGCACATCGTGAAGCGTGACCATGAAACCATGACCGCCGTTTGGGGGTTTGACCCAATTGGACGAGCTGGATAGTTCATGACGGAGGCTTGGAGCCGGAGGGGGGGCATGGCCGGAATCTGCCCCTCATGTTTCTAGTCGCGAACTGCCTAGTGTATGGGTGAATGTTCAAGTTTTTTTTTTACTTTTTTTTTTTTTTTTTTTTTTTCCTTTTCTGTTTCTGAACGTATCCTGTGAAACCCCGGATATTGACGTATGCCTCGTCATCTTTTTTTCTGCGCGGGGAGTCTAACATGGTGAACGGTTAGCTTTGTGGATACCTGCTGTGCTACCGAGTACAGACTCTCTCTGGCCTTCCATTTTTGGGGACGATGGCGTTCGGTTGATGGGAGATAGCAGCATCCATCCGTACGACGCCGAGAGATGAAATAGCTGGTGAATTTAGCAATAGAATTCGAGTAAGTTTGCCAAAAGTCGAGGGCCCTTATACTATCACCACCGCATCACTGGCAATGAACCTGTTCGCAAGTTCAATGAGGTAGAGACCAAGAAGTTAAGGACGGCAACGCACTCCATGGCGTCATCCAGCAGCAGCGCCGTGGGAAGACGGAGCTGCTAAAAAAGCCGTGGTCCAGCTCTAGGCGAAACGAACGGCACAGTGAAGATGCAAGAAGGTTGAACGGAGCTTCTGGCCCTGATTGACCGTGACGATGTGTTTCCCCGTTTTCCTCCCCACAAGGGTCCTGCGAGGATGAAGGAAGGGTTTGGCTTATCCAGAAGAACCTCAGTCGCGAAGCTGGCACAAGGAGTGGGATTTTCCCGGCCGGGCCAGCTCAACTTTTGTTTTTCCTCGAATCTTCGAAGAAACCTCGGGAATCACCTTTGCTTGGAGCTTGTTTTGAGACGATCGGTTTCCCGGTCCCGCCTCTCGCCCGGGGTGTTCCAGCAACTGTCATCATCCGAAGAAAGCCAGCCAGGTGCTGGAGCATTTTCCAGGGACACTCGTGGACCGATCGTCAAATAATGGGGCTCTTCCCGTCTCCAGTTGACGGTTAATAATGACAGTGCATTGCTGGATAACGGAGCCGTCTGCGGTGGTTCCAATTCTCTGTGACAGTCTGACGGAAGGACCTCCACTTGGGATGTCGTCAGTTGAAAGACATCCGTAATGCTGACGGAAAGGGGAACGTTCTGTCCGTCTTGGAAAAAAGAGCCAGGCTGAGCGCGAACGGTGGGAGGGAGCCAAGACCGTGACAGCGGCCGTCAGAGGCCGTCGGAGACAGCGTCCGACACAACTCAATGTTTAAGCGATTATAGGAGAGGCATTTGTTAATGGCCCGAGGACCAAGGCAATTGAGAAATGCCGCTCCGAGAAAATCCCTCGAGCATGCCCGCATGCGCTCCGGCGCCCGTCCAGATGCTTCCGAGTTGCCAGAGATGGAAGCCCGAGAGGCGGTGCCGTTTAGATCCAAGTGATGGTCATGGACAAGCGCCCGCAGCCACAGTCCGAGAAGCCGTAAAATCCAATTAAATGGATCATGTCTCTGGTTGTTGCGGTGAGAGATGAGTACGTATTTCAGAGAATAACCGTGTGGTGCAATACAGGGTAAGCTAGTATAGGAACCACAGACTGAACAGAGAGACAGTGAGAGAGTATTGCGAGGGATCACGATGCTCCAATGGCAGGGCTGTCCAAAACGGCTCCCTCTCTTGTGCGTGTGTGTTTGTGTGGGAAATGTTGTATCGAGATCCAAACGGACGAGGCACCGTCGTCTGGCCAGCTGCAGGCCGGTGCCGTTTCCATGCAGAGCTTGCAGCATCTCGTGGTCTGGGAGGTGGGGCTGGTCTTGGGAGACAATGACACTGGACTCTCGGGGTCGGGAAGAGGTCCAAGGCTTCTAGGGCGAGTCGAGGCGCACTGTAGACTTGTTGTGTTGGTAGCCAAAGACGCAATATGGTCCCGGTAAGGTCCAGGTATCTTGCTGGGCCTCTCTTCCCGGTTCACGCATCCGGTTCCTGGCAAAGGTACTTGACGAAATCGAGAAGGTACCTGCTCTCGGGTCTGGCCCGCCTGAGGCTGGACGCCTGGGGGGTCGGTGGCCATGGTCAGCGGGTGACTTTTCGAACTTTTCTCAGTGGACAGTTTCGATTGGGGCGCAGGCGGGCTCGACCTTGGACCAGACGACGCCCTGTGGAGATGCCGTCCACTATGGGCGAGGGCCACGGTGGGTATCCTGGGACCGGCTACCCTGCCCGCCGCTGGATGAGTCCAGGGTCGACTTGTCAAGAGGACGGGAAGCTGGCCATGTCTTTGTTGCCTCTGGACGTTTTAGCAGCCAGGGGAAGCAATGTTGTTGATTTTTGATGTGTGTGGTCCTAGGTCGTACAGAGAGTGATTCTGAAATTAGAACGTGGTGAAGAAGAATGCAAGGTGGCCGGATGTGCGTAAACGTTGCGCCAAGTCGTGACTGTTGGAAGACTGGAACGAAGGAACCCCCCGTGTCCCAGATGGACATTCCCAGGGCGCAGGTGACTCGGGACGAGATGGGTTTCGCGTTGCTGATTCTAGATTTCGACGCTGACGCGAGCGCACACAAATGGGAAGCAGAGCACGTTTGATCTGGTCGAGGCGCTGGCAGGTGACGGCCGAGGGAATCCACAGTCACAGTGCCCTTTTTTTTGTGTTTTCCCCTTTCCCCGTCTTTTGGTGCTATTTGTAGTTGAGTGCCTCGGAATCCTTGGAAGCGGGTTTGCGGACGGCCGGCGAATTTGGCGAGTCGTTGAATCTCAATCAGGTCTGTAGACTGGTTTGAAGGCAATTGGTGCTGTCCTGTGCTGGGATCTTCACACTCAATTGAGCCTCTGACGCCTCTCTCTCAGAGTGGCAGCGACAATAAGAATAGACGTGGATGTTGGTTGGAAAGGTACACTACTGGGTTCGATCGATCGATTGGGGGTGGGATGATGGAGAGTTTCCTGGTCATCTTTCTTCCCGCTGGCCCTGGAGCAGTCGGTTGAAGTGTTCCTGTCTGAAAGTAACAGCAAACAAAGCGAGTCGACAGAAAAGAACAACTCACCTCTTGCTCATATCAGCTAGCTGCTTCGTGGACGCGATGTTGCTTTGTCTGGTCCACGTTCGTATCATTGAGAGGAAGGTCGTCCCCTGACGTTGAAGACGAGAAAAGGTACCTTGCTGGATGGGAGGTATTGTAGGTATTCGTACATTCCGTACAAGTACACGACCTCGTGGGAAGGTAAGAAAAAGACTTTGACTTTGATTATTGCAACTTACTTACCTAGTAGACTACAATTCGAGGTGAGCACCTCAGTCTCCAGCGCATGCCGTATGATGCATTAGTGGGCAAATGGCGGGGTACTGTGGATTCCCCCAAAACAGATCATTCAGCACCGTGCCAATGCTGTGGGGAGACTTACTGTATGACAGCAAGCCCTCAAACCTGCAGCTTTCAATGCAAAGAGTGCCACCAAAGTGCGCATCGCCGGCACAGCGTCAACTTGACGGCCAGGTACTCGAGGTACTCGTGTACTGCGTACATGTTCTTCTGCTTGTTCTCGCTGCACCGGCATCGAGCATCCCTGCTTTGGTGCCATGGAATACGTCGCTCGTGACTGGCTGAGAGAGGGCAGCAGCACCGTCACCGAACCAGCTGGTTTCGTCAAGCCAGAATATAAAAGCTCGAGGGTCAAGGTGACTTTTCTCCTGCTTGCTTCACCCCCCTGGATTTGCTCGTCATATCATCTGTTCAATGCGTGTACTCAGCATACAAAGCAACTCTCTCACCATCTTCCACTTGCTCTTCACCTCGCGAGCGTTACAATAACACCAATTCCACACCGCATCACGAAATAGCCCAGCTCTTGGAGGTCTCACTCCCACCACCTCAATTCGCCTTATCTCTTATCTCTCACCTTTAGCTGTAAGTGGACTCCGTCCTGCCAGACCGCACTCGTCATTGTTGGTTTCCCACCGGATTTCCCTCCCTTCCTCTCCCGCACCATACGGCAATCAACAACCCTTCCCCCGGTTTGCTGAGCTTGGTTTACTGCTACTACTCCGAACCGGTATCCCTACTCCTCCGCCCACACAACCCTCCTCTTCCTCCTCCAAGTGGTCATCCAATACTTTGCTGCACATTGTCAGCACACCATCACCAAAACCATAACCATCGCCCTGCTTGATGCAGGTGTTGGGGAAGGACAGGGCAGGCAGGCCCACCTTGCGCTTTTTCAGCCGGGGCGGACTCAGCTATCACCATCTTTCGGTGTGTGAGAGTCTCCTGTAATGGAGCTCTCTGGAGGCTTTTACCTGCTTGTGGTGCAAAAGCCTCCCTCGTGTACCTTACCTTACTCGTGATATGACACCGTCTTATCATCGGGAAATCACGTACCTTATCAACAAAGATTGAGCGTCAAAACTCAAACCCGCTGTTCCCAGCAAGTCTGCATTCTTCCGGTCGTCCATCCGGTGCTTGTCTTGTCTTGTCTTGTCTTCTCTCCCCGCCCCTGCCCGGCTTGTTTTGCCTGTCAAATTCACCCTATTCCACTTTCTCCAGTCTTGTTATCTCGCCTTCAGCTGCCACCCACACTAGAAAACAAGGCGGCTACAGAATACACACCAACCGCCCGAACAAGGGGGAAGGGAGCACGTTCTGCTCTTTGCTTTGACACACCGCCTCAAATCCATGTACTAATTGCAGCTTCTGCGCTCTCCAGGCTCCCTATCACTTGTTCCGCCATCTTAGTCGCGGCCACACCAAAAGCTCGTCCACCCCCGACTACTACACCCAGCAGCACCCCCAATCATCTTCAACTCGGCTGCGAGTCGTTCTATTTCTCTTTTCTACGTATTCGAACAAACCACACAGTCAAAATGTCTACCGCATCAGTACAACAGCCGGTCATCCCTCCCCGACCTTCTAGGAGTCAGGATAAGGAGGAGAACACCAACACTTCGTCTCTCCCCAAGATTCCTCCTCGTCCCATTAAGCGTTTCGACCGCTCCGTCTCCCCGAATCCCGATCGATATGCGCCCTCTCCGCTGAACGAGAGCCCTTTTTCAAAGAGCCCCAAGGCTACTCGTTCCTCGCCGAGCAACGGCTTCCTCTCTTCGCACGACCCTATTCATCACCGCCCCGGTAGCGTGTCTATGCCTTCCGTTGGTGAGGAGGGTAACGAATACGATGCCATCAACGATGGGTTTGTCAAGCCGCCTCCCAAGGCACCTTCATCTCCTGAGCACACCCGCTTCGCTGCGGAAGATCTGAAGCTTCACGCTCCCAAGCCCACTGTTCCGGCTCAGAGTGCCAAGCAGAGAGTTATGGCAGTGACCCGCACCGATTCGGATAAGGCTGCCTCCTTTGGCATTGGCAAGCCCAGCAGTGACGAGACCAGACCCAGCAGTCTCAGGAAGAAGGCCAGCTCGAGTGCCCTGTCTCAAAAGTCAGAAAGTGCCTACGGCGACGAGGAGCATGGCATCCCCGAGATTGGCCAGCGGGTTCCCATGAACCCCCACTTGGGTGATGTCCAGGCCCCGTCTCCCGCTCCTGGTTCTGGCGCTGCCCCCGAGAGCCTGAGGTCGGGAACTCCGCGAAACCACTCCCGCAAGCACAGCTCGCGTGGTTTCAACGAGCTCCCTCCTGGTAGCTACGGTCTTCATGGCCACAGCACGGCTTTGCCTACCGACAAGTTTGAGAAGGCCTGGTACGACAAGCACCCAGATTTCCTGAAGAAGGATTGCAAGCCTTCACTCCACGACCGTCAGAACGACTACGCCATGAGCAGCACGGATCTGAACAAGATTGTCAAGGAGACCCACAGCCGTGGTTCTGGCATGGGTAAGTCGTGCAAACATAACTCTACGAGTATAGAGGCAGTCACTAATTTGAAAAGGAACCTCCGCTTCGTATGTTGGCACCCCCAGCGAGGAAGTTGGATACCAGGCTTCTGCAGAGTACACCTCTCGCATCTCCTCCCCTGAACTTCAGCGCATCAAGTCTCCTCAAAGTCCTTCGAAGGATTCTCATCCTCAGGTCTCCGTGTCTTCTCCGGACAATGCCGCCGGAAGCGATGACGGTATCGTCCATGTCGACGAATCTCACAACCGCCGCAGGAGCTTCGTGTCGCACGATCCTGGACACGAGAACAAGTACAACGCACCTATTCTGGCCGAAGACGAGGCTGGAGGAGACGTCCACCCATACGACCTCCAGCCCGCTGTTGAGCCCCCACCAGAGCGCTCCGGCAGTGCCTTTGAGATGGAGAAGCCGAACCGTCCCACAAGTCGACCCACTAGTATTTACAACAACAACCAGTCACAAACCGATCTGGTACACACCCCACTTGAGGATGTTGAAGAGTACGAGCCACTCTTCGACGAGGAGCGCCCGGAGGCCAAGAAGTCCGAGGCCGAGGCAGCCAGCTCGAAGCCTCGTCACAAGTTCCCAAGCAAGGACGTCTGGGAGGACGCCCCCGATAGCGTCAACTACACCGCCGAAGTTTCGACACCGGAGCCCACAGAATCAGAACGACCTTCCTCCAGACGCCGTTCCGAACTTCCCACAGAAAACCCCGCTCTGGAGTTTGCCCGCAGACAAGAAGAACTTGCAGAGCAGGAAGGCCGTGGGGTGGATGCGAAGCAGTTGAAGCCAGTGCCCGCCGCCGTCCAGAAGGCCAAGGAAGAGGCTCGGCCAGTCATGTCGAACCGATTTCCCAGTCGCGACGTCTGGGAGGATACGCCCGAAAGCGCCATGCACGAGGCTATCGTGGACACACCTGAGCCAAGGGATGAGTCCCCGGTAGAAAAGCCGTTTGTGCCAGCACGCCCGCAGAAGAAGGGTTCACAATCGAGCGCTACCGCAGAACCACCTTCCATTCCTGAGCGGCCAAGAAAACAGAACTCGACAAGTGAGGATAAGGCTAAGCCGGCTGTCTCGGAAAAGTCAAAACCTCAAATTCCTGCTCGCCCTACCAAGACCCTTCCTTCCGGCGTCGACTCCAAGGAGCAAGACTCTACCCCCAAGCAGAAGCCAGCTATTCCTGGCAAACCTGCCGGAGGCAAGATTGCAGCGCTCCAGGCCGGTTTCCTGTCTGACCTTAACAAGCGCCTTCAGTTGGGACCCACAGCTCCGAAGAAGGAAGAACCCCCCGCGGCGGATGTTGCTGAGGAGAAGGAGAAGGCGCCCCTCGCTGATGCTAGGAAAGGTCGTGCTCGTGGTCCCCAGCGTAGGGCTCCGGCGGCCAAGAGCCCAGCTCCCGCAGCCGCTGAGGCCAAATCCGGACCTACACTCTCATTCTCTCCTCTCAGAATCTGCTGGAGCATTGGCGATAGCGGTGTTCTAGAGGTCGACGACGGTTCCAAAGAAGAATCCATCAAGGAGCCGGTTTCCGAGGTCGCCAGTGAGGCTGCAGAGACCAAGGAGATCAAGCCTGAAGTCTCGGCCAAGACGGAAGCACCCGAGGTGCCCGCCACTACGGAACCTGCTGCAGAGACTGCGGAAGTGGCCGAGGCTGAGGTTCCCAAGGCTGTGGAAGCTGAAGATGGGGCTGAGGCGCCGAAGGAGGTTGTCAAGACCCTGGCGGCCAATACTGCTGGCGAGCCTGTGGTCGAGGCCACTCTCGAGAAGGGTGCCGACATCGAGCCTGTTGATATGAAGCAAACCGGAGGCGAAGCGGCATAAAATGTTGCAGAGTGGCCGGTATGAGAGTGAGTGATTGGTGTGTTATAACGAAAAAAAAAACAGCACTAGACCGGCATTCTGTTGGCGTAGAGTTTTTTTTTTTTGGTTTGATGGTTTTCGGGTCATCCAACTATACTTTTACGTTCCCTAACTTTGCCGTATGGCTTTGCAGCGTTTTGTTGAATAGGTAGCAATTTGATACTGCGTTTGTTGTCTCTTTCCGATGGAAGGACAGCCTCGCCTTACGCGTCGGCTTGTGGATGATCACATACATAGCCTGGTGCGTGATTTTGTCAAGTGTTTTCCCAAGGTAATAATGTAAGACTAAGCGCAGCTCCTGATATGAAGTACAGCATGGCCCGCACATGGGATGAGGCACTGCCTTGCGCACCTCTAAGTGTCCCGTGTGGAAAATAGGCCATGTTGTAGAGGATGAGTAGGTTTGTACGAGATGTTGTGACGATGTGGTTTGCATGCTTGTGGTTGTAGGCTATTGGGGGGAGTGCTGACACTGAGAGATCTTTGCCTCGTTGCTGAACCTGCGAGATCTGAACTAAACTAATACGTATGCATGTCTAGCATAGAAATAGAGAATAATTCAACTCGATTGTCCCTTCACATTATATTGTTTTCCTAATGCCGGAGCATTGTTTCCGACACTACTTGTGCCTGACGAGATCGTTGCGCTTGATGGAAAGTATAAACAATTTCCCTCCACATGGAGTTGGTGTTTTATGAACAACTACAATATACATCCAGCCGATGGCTCTTCAGCTCAGGCCGAGCACAGGCTCACATCTGCGTTGATTCGTGACTGGTGTATTTTAAAGGTGTTCTCGGGAATGGATAACTCGCCTTGGGAATATACCAGCCTTGCGTACTTATGATCGACGATATAAGCGAGTCGGGGAGGTCACCACTAGGAAAGCTTGACCTTTATGTTTTCCAAATACCTCGCTTCATTAGTGCTCCCTGAGAATCAGCCAGCGATCCGAGGAAGTTGCGTCATTGATGTTAAACCACCATCACCAGCATTGTTCTACTCTACATGCTCAAACCGTAAAATCAAGCGCTCGCCTACGGGCCGCGCCGTGTATGTGTCGTCCTGCTCGATACCCGTATCATCAACCACGTGCGTCGTGAAATTCGTCCAGATTGCCGCGGCTATGAGTTTCATCTCTGGAGAGCAGTGAAACAAGTCAGTAAAAGTAGAACTCTCTGGCACCAAAAACAAGTTTGACCAGACATGATGGGTAGGCTCACCATTCATTGCAAAATTCGAACCGACGCACATCCTCCCCCCGCTCCCGAAAGCCCAGAAATACCGCAACATCTCCCTCCGCTGCGCCTCGCTCGTGTTCGACGCGAGCCAGCGGGTGTGGTCCCAGACTTCCGGGTCCGGGAAGACGTCGGCGTTGCGGTGGAGGGTGTACCCCAGCGCCGCGACGCGGACGCCGCCCGGGACCTCGAAGTCGCCGAGCCGGCAGGGCGGGTGCGAGTGTGGGGTCTGGCGAGGTTCCGGGCCGGGGATCGGGGCGTGGAGGCGGAGGGTCTCCATTATTACGGCGTGGAGGATGGGGAGGGCGTCGACGTGTTTTGGGTCGGGGAGGGAGGCGGGTAAAGAAGCTGCGTTTGTTTCTGTTGCGTTGGTTTGCATTTTGAGGTCTGGTGAGAGGGTGAGGAGTTCTTGGCGGAGGGAGGTTTGGAGGTCTGGGGATCGGGAGAGGTGCCAGGCGAGGTAGGTGAGTGCTATCCCCGCCGTCTCCTGGCCTGCTAGGACCTGGTCTAGGATTTCCGAGGCGACTGACTCGTTTTTCTGGAGGATTGTCGTCGGGTAGAGGATGGAGTCTTGCCCGTTTACGCGGCGCTCTTTTTCGATGCCGGCTTCCATTGCGCAGAGGACGACCGGTTCATCCGCCACGTCTCTTTTGTCTTCTTGACCTTTTTCTTTCTCTGCAGTAGCAGTACCCCCTTCTTTCTGATTACCAAGGACGTACTCCCTCGCCCCCTCGCAGAGCCGCCAGTTCCAAGCCCAAATCTCGGCGTTGGCGTCGTCCACCCACGACGGGTACAGCTTCCACAGCCCCATCCCCAGCCGGGTAACGAGCGCGTTCAGCCGCGGTGTCTCCTGCGGCCAGAAGCCGTGGCTCGCACGCGCGAGGTAGAGCTGGAGCCAGTGGTCCCTGTAGGCCTTTTGGCGGAGAAAATCTGTGCTGTTGCGGAGGCCAAAGGTGTAGGCTGTGATGAAGTCCATTGTGGAGGCGAGGAAGGTGGAGAAGACGTCGATGCCGGCGCCGGGGGAGGGTCCGGGGTTGCTGGTGCCGCTACTGCCGATGTCGATATTGGTGCTGGTGCTCTTGGTATGTCTGGGTGATGAGGCGGAGAGTAAGGGGAGGAGACGGCCGAAGAGGATGGCGCGGGCTTGGGCTTTTGCTGGCTCCGAGGCGTGGATGAAGGACTTGGCGTAGGCGTTTGAGACCATGCGTTTGCGGAGGGAGTGAGGTTTTGAGGCGAGTGTCGAGAACATGTTTGGAACGCTATGGAAATAGTTTAGCAAGAGAAGGCCCTCTCTTGTGATTGAGATATCCCATAATGGCTGGTGACTAGACTCACCCGTAGTTGTTAAAGATGGAGTACCACTGGTCCTTCTCGAAGCCGCCCTGGTACACCGTCTTGAGGGCATCGTAGCCGTCGACGCTGAGCTCGTTGGGCCCGATGCGCACGACGGGACCGAGCTTGAGGTGCGCTTTGTGGAGAGTGCGGTTTTGGCGGTTGGATTTCCGCGTGTATAAGATCCAGAGGGGGGAGATGTGACATGACCAGTGTGGAGCCGGGATCTTGGACAGGGGAGAGAGGAAGAGTGGTTGTAGGATTAGGGTGTAGAGTAGCCATGCTGCTGCGCTTGCAATTGCGACGGATACCAAGTTGAAGCCCATGTTGGTAAGTGAAGCTTGCTGGTATGTTATTATTCATCTACTCAAAGGATGAGTTGATTAGCTCTGTGACTCGGCGATCTAGCTCCGGGATTTTCGTGTAAGTCAACAAGTTAGATTCCTTCGTCTATTAAGACGAGGTGTTGAGGTTGGTCAAGCCCGAATATAAAATAAATAGTGACAGTCACTCGAAAATCCGGCAACTGGGCCTCGAGTGACAAGTACGCCCTATGCCCGACTCATAGCCAGTCTAGAGGAAGTCAAAGTGGTTGTTATCGTCGAGCTTATCACTCCCCTCGCCAGTGTTATCTTGGAGTTGCTCTGAGTTGTCATTGACCTGCACTAACAGCGGGGTCAACTGCATTTGTCACTTGGTGTCTCATAAACTCGGACCAGGCCCAAGGTACGTACATGCATCCAATACCTGGGTACTTACCCATAGGGTGTGAGCAAACTGGCGATCTGCCTTAAAAACACGCCCTGAGTTTACGGTCGCCGTAGCCGCTTTGCATGCAACTACCGGGGCCTCTGTGGTGTCATAGACAAAACCAACCAATCCTAACTGGGCCTGACTCCAGGCTGCCACTGCACGGTGCCTGGTCATTGTGACTCTTTTGTACTTTATATGTGGAACTGGCTGACAACTTCAACGTCAACCAATTTCTTACAACTCTTTCAATAGCTTTCGGTTGTTGCCGTCCCCGCGATTTGATGAAAGACTTTTGATATATTTATACAAGAAGAATACATGGTCTGGAACTGGGTTTCTTGTACAAGTTGCTTCACGGAATTACCCCCACAACCTTAGCTAGAAGACTTTGTCAACTCCCTTGTCACTTTTCACATCCATCACATACACATCTCACTCGTCAGTACGGATATCTCAACACCAAGCCCCCTTCTCTCCGAGACTATCCCCCTCTCATCATATCTCAATTGGCATCCCTCTTACACTCCATGTCACTCAGATACCAAGCATCAAACCAAATAAACAGAGTCCTCAGAAGAGACTCTTAAAACCAAAGAAGAAATGTTTGACCAACTCCCAGACGACATCGTCTTGGAGATCGTCTCCCATCTCAGAACCGCACGCGACGTAGCCCGCCTGGCATCGTCGTGTAAGCACTTGCACTCACTCCTCAACGAGGACGGCTGGCGCACCTTCGTCAGAACCTGCTTTCCCCTGCACTCCCTGCCACTAGGCCAGACTCCGCCGAAATGGGACGAGCTGGCAAACACACTCACCCGCCAGGCCCGCGCATGGGACATGAAGGCCTTCCAGACCACCGCCTACACGGACGACCGCCGCCAGGACGGGAACTACTTCACGGGCTTCACCAACGCCGGCCGTCCCTTCTACCCCGTCATCGATGCTCGCCTCGTCTTTGACAAGAGCTGGGAGCTTGCCACGTGGGGCGCCGGCGAGGATGTCGTCGGCCGCTTCAGGCCTCACAACAGTCGTGGCGAGTCCGACGCTTGGTTCCGTATGGAGGGCAAGACGAACGGCTACGAAGCGGGCGTGGGTGATGTCACCGCCATCCACCTGGTCGAGCCCAATGGGAAGCTGGGCATCCTCGTCGGCAGGGCGAATGGGGATTTGCAGCTCGTCTCGGCGGCCCCTGGTAGCGCCGGCAAGACTCTCTCGAGCTTTAAGATTCCCACGCCCACCGGAGGTCTCGAGGCTACTACGTGGACGTCCATCGGGTCCATTGATACCCTGCCGAACCAGACGTCAGTGATCGCGGGCAACCGCGCCACCGTCAGTCTCTTCTCTTTGGGCGCAGACGAGACCACCGCCGCCGCCGCCCTTCCGCTTGACTCGCAGACCTTTAACGTCCCAGGCCAGGGCGACAGGAAGCAGTTCGTTCACTCCGCAAAGGCCCTCAATAACGACACCATCGTCTGCGCCCTCTCCAACGACACGGACCCGATCCGCTACCTCACCGTCACCCCCTCAGGCTTCACCCCCAACCTCGCCTCCAAAAACCACTCCCTCCTCGCCTCCCGCGGCATCGACACGGAAAAGAAACAGACTGTCCGCACCATCCAGCCCGTGAACCCGGGCCCCGCAGGCGCAGGCCACACGAACCTCCTCCTCAGCGCCTGGGACGACGGCACCATCCGCCTCCTCGACATCCGCACCCCGTCCCCTTACGACGTCCTCTACCGCGACATGTACCAGCCCTTCGAGACGCACTCGTCCCTGCTGACCTACGGCTCGGACCACTTCGTCGCGGGCAGCAACGAGCTCGAGGCCCTCAAAGTATTCGACTTCCGGTGGTCCAAATCCTACCACCACTCCGCCGCCCTGCCGTGCTGGTCCGGCACGCCGTTCCCGGATCCTCTGAGGGGCACTAGCAGCCGCTCCCTGAGCATGCGCGGCGTCGGGTGCGATCACCCGCGCGGGAGGGCCTGCGTCTGGCACGAGTACTCTAGGAGGGATTACTACCGTCCCAACTACCGCTTCCACGTCATGCCCTTCCGGGACGCGGCCCGGTCGTCGACGAGCCGTGTTTTCTCTCTGGCGAAGGCGTCGGACGCGTCGGACTCGTTTTACGTCGGTCTCGCGGGCGCCGTGGCCGAGTTTGCTACAACCGTCCCGGGGGAGGCGGAGCAAGACGAGGTCGCGGCGTCCGTGGCGGGGGCGGCGCAGAAGAGGGGCTGGAGGGCGCGGGCGTCGCATTTCAGCTTTGCTGAGACGGACGACGGGTTGCTGACGCCGGGGATGTCGATGAGTACCTTCATGCCGAGGCTCGCGCAGCGGTTCGGGGACGAGGTTGGCGCGCCGCAGTTCCGGGAGTGGTGGAGTAAGACGCCCCCCAAGACGGCGGCGTGGCATCGGTGGGATCCGAGCTTTTGGCGGCCGACGCATTTTACGTTCTGAGGGTTGGGGAAAATAGAAAGATAGATTTCGGGGGAGTTTTGATAGTCGAGGACAAGTGATTAGTAAGGGGATACGGAGAAGGGAAAAGTTAGGGGGAAAGGATTAGCCATGGTCGAAAGGAAAATACCCGCATAATCTTGATATGACCGGGCCGTACATAGGACTCGGGCAGAGTTTAGAATACAGTTAAATTTACATAGATATACAATGATTACCAAGAATCAATCGCTTCATGGTATTGACCGTAATAACTTTGCCATTGCTAAAACATGTGTTCTTTTATTTAAAACGCATCTCCAGTTACCACTCCGCATCGCCGCCTTACCGCATCTCCCATCTCCTCTGTCCTCCTCTCCCATCGACCACCGTGCGGAAGGGGACCTGCATTATTGCAAACAATGAAAGCATTAGTGGAAGAAGGGGAAAAAGAAAAACGTAATTCGTGTAGAAAAACGGATATAAATGCAAAAGCTCAGCCCCCCTCATGGGGGGCCTACGAAAATCGCCAGGCTCACTCTTTACCTACTATTCCTCAGTGGTATCGATGCTAGCGATTTTTCACGAGACTCGAACTCGTGACCCATGGGAGCGGGGCCATTCAAACGAGGACATTCCCCGCCACGCCATGGGCCTTGGTGACAATTCGACGTCTTTGGATCGATTGTATACCTCTCCTTCCTCTGGCAAAGTCGCGGCCCGAGGAAACCTTCAGAAATGATACGGGCCGGAGTACATTGATATCATACAGGTATATACAAGCATGACCTTGCAATAAACACTCGACGATCTTGACCGCAAATAATGTGCCATTACACGTAACAGAAGTACACATCACCAACGGCTATTCCGCTCAGTGCCCTGCCCCGCGTTACCCCTTCTTTCACGTTCGAGCATCGCATCAAACTCGGCCTGGGCCTTATCCTTCTCCGCATTTCTCTCCTTTTCAGCGGCGTCATACGCATAGTAATCCGCACCCTTAGCCTCGTCCTGTTGGCTCTGGTTGTCATTCCCAGAAGCTCGCGGAGGCTGTCTTGAGGCTTGTCGTAGACGATCCCACGCTGAGCCGGTGCTGGGGTAAGATGATGACTGGGCTCTCGCGGCGGGCGAAAGAGGTGATGCATCGTCATAGTCCAAGTCGTCTGAGGATCTGCTGCTGCTCCGTTGGGGAGACGAGCTCTGCTGGCCCGAGCCCCATCCTGATCGGCCCTCGGAAGATGGCGGATCTCTCGAGTAGCTTGTCGGAGAAGAGTAGTTGGATTCCGAGGGTAGACTGTACCCTCCCGTAGAGCTCGAAGCAGAGAGTGTCTCGTAGTCCCTGTTCTGCGCTGACCCGTCGTCCCCAGCGCTGCCTTCGCCCCTCCTCTCGAGGATTGCATCAATGTGGGCCAGTATCTTGCGATACTCATCAATCCTTTTCTGTATAAGCGGGGTTGTTTCCCTGATCTTTTCATCCGACTGGGGCAACGCAGCCAGCGACTTTTCGAGTTGGCTGATGGCTTCCGCAGTCCGCTGGCGCTGGCGCTTCAAGGCGGTGACTGGCATTTTATCGGCCGTCATCTGGACTAGCCTCTCCGGCTTCATGTCCTTGCGGAACTGGTTGAGGCGTTCATCGCGAGCGGCGGATGCCATGGCTACTGAGGTGGCATATGAGGCGACAAAAGGGGCGATGCCGAGACTAGTAAGGAGGAAGTAGGCTGTGAACCTCGTATTGTGCCATGCGCGGTTCGCGAGACGACCCTGGAGAAGCGGCCTAGAGGCACTTGGAAAGGCATCGGGAGTGAATTTGATGAATTTGGGTTGCCAAAAAGGGAAGCGGTAGGTACCACGGGTTTGCCAAGTCAAGAAACCGGCCAACGCAACGGTGACGGGAACAGTCCATGCCGCGGTTGCGGCTTCTTTGTAGGCTAGTTGGCTGAGGACGTTGACCTCATCCTGAGTGGGTTGGCGGCCCATGCCTGCTGCAGCGGTGTCGAGCATTACTTTCACATTGTTGGAGTAGTTATCGGGATTGCGGAAGAGTAGACGCTGCAGGAGTGTGAGCTGCGGCGGTGGAATCTGATATTCCGGGGACCCGGCGATGTCTAGGTCGAATCCATTGTCGTCGCTGGAGTTGGGGAACGCCATCTCATTGGCTTCACAGCCAGGTCTCAATTGACCCGACAGATATGAGGCGAAGCTATGGAAGGCCGGAGAGAGGCGAGCGACTGAGTTGGCGTCAAATCGATTGCTGAGGTTCGTGGTGGTATGGTATGGTCAACCTTCTAGAGGTGGCTCACCTGTTGGTGTTCTTGAGAGTCCTGACGTAGTCGGCCAGAGCTCTCAGGTGGGCAGTTGGAGCTCTAGTGGATCCACACCTGCGTCGGCAGAGTGGAGACAACACCCCGAACCTCCCGGGCTATCGGCAGAGAGTTTCTCCATGACGACTTCGGGACCCCGGGGCACGCGCTGCATCGCCATTCCGTGTCACCGGTGTATCGCCAAATTTGGTGATTGGGCATACCCCTTCTCGCCTGATACTCTGTATCAAACGGAACGAAGAAGAACATCAATACAGTCGATGCATGCAGTATCTACCTAGCAAGAGATAATGAACCTTCAGGATAAAACGGAGAGAAGGTGGCCAGGCCGCCTCTGCACTGAATTCGCTGTGGTTGTGTAAAGGAATGTACCATATGTAGTTGGTAGCCTACCTAAGTATTCTACAGTCCAGTTGTACCACGGGGATGAACGGTAAGCTTGAGTAAGTACTAATCTGGACGTTAGCCAGGGTACTACTGAAGTCAAGGCAATTACAACTGTAAAATTTCAGGTACGAATACACGGACAGGGACGTTGCCTTCCACTCCACACAATATGCGAATGCAAGACATCCCACAGTGAGTTCAATTGCGCTTGCCCAAGGTGCAAAGTCGATATGGGCGGAGATGGACTTGTTCGTTGCAGGGGCGATAACCCTGCGCGTCCACCGTCAGGTCCCCGAATGCCCCACATATTGCCGGGAACGTGCATCGACGCGTATTAAACAAACGTGGAGCTAGAACGCGTCCCGAGCGCGTCGAGGGACAACCACTCTAGCACTTCCTCGAGGGGCCCCAACTACCTCTTCACACCCTTGCACTGACATGATTGGAACTAGCGAAGACGTTCACGATCTCTTGTTTTTGGCACTCGAGAAGCCAAACCCGCCGATATGCCTCTCAAGAAGTCATACTCGGAACATGTTGGTCTCCCATCAAAGGTCAATAGGAAAGCATACCCCTCCATACGATATTTGCTGACTTTGTTATAGAACCGCTCGTGGCAGCGTTCGAAGAGCAATCCAGTGAATGCCCAAACATCTCGACCTTTGGCACCCGTCTCCGACAAAACGAAAAGCAAGCTGAATCAGTTCCAATTCCAGACTGGAGTCAAGGCAGAGACTACCGAGCAAGAAAATGGCACCGCAACGGAAGATTGGGTTCGCAAATCCCGAGACGATATCGCCATCACCCCATCGACGAAGCTGAGCTGGCACGACCTGATGGCGTCGAACGCTCCCAAGGAAGAGAAAACACAAACGTCTCCGACCGAACGAATCCTGTGGAACAATGAGAGGGACAAGAACGACTTGAACTATGCTGCTGCCCTTTCGCCAATGATGCATAGAAAAGGCCGTAAACGGGCCAGGAGCTCGTCGCCCATATCATCCCCAGCACAAAACGAAAAGCCTACCACGCCTGCTGTCAATGTGAAGAAGCTCAGTGAGGCACTGAAATCGCCACATGCAGACCCGACCTTGGAACTCTGGGACCGATTCTCCCTTAGCAGCAACGGAAATGTTACGCCACTCGGTCTTACCAACCCCACGCTCGCCAACCTCATGTTCTCTTCTTCACCACGGAACGTCAAGACGGCACCTGCACAGGCAGGTGACAGCAGCCTACGAAGGGCAATCAGTTGCGGCCTCAACTGGCCAAAGAGGAGAAGGGTTGAACGCTCGGATGCGCCCTCGTTCACTAGTACATTGACACGGGAGACGACCGATAGTTCAAAGAACTCACTCGTAACAGCTCTGCTGGACACTGTTACGGGAAGCATGCAAGAAGATAGCCCACCAGAGGATTTCGATCCGTTCATCGACCAGGACATGGAGTCACCGTCTCTTAAGAAGAGAAAGACCAACGCATCGAGGCCGCCATCGCTCTCACCGTCGAGGAAAACAACCCGAGCCCCAAACGTACAGCCTACTGGAAATACTTCCGATATCGGTGTCGCTCAGGATCTAGGGCTTCAACAGCAAACGAAAGCGGCTTCGGCGGAGTCTGACTACGGAGATGTTGACTTCGACGACTTTGACGAGTTTGATGATGACACCTTCCTTGAGCTTGAGGCAAGCATCAGTCTATCAAACTCCAAACAAGAAGCGAGGCCAAGCACTCCCACTCCCGCACCTGTTTCTGTGCAACCCACCAAGCAGAGCAGTACTGGCTTGGAGGATGAGTTCGGTGACTTGGATGATGATATTTTCGAGGCTGCCGAGGACATTCTGGAAAGCGCAGTAGCGACAGCATCCCAATTGCCAGCATCTGTAAAATCACACCTTGGCTCAGCAAGCGTACCTGTCTCTAGACAAGACGACTTGGACGATGCCTTTGGAGACGACTTTGGAGGAGACTTCGACTTCGATGCGGCAGAGCTCGCTGCGACTCAATCGGTCCAGCAGCCACAAGCCTCGCCGGCGGAAGCTGTACGTCCCAATCAACAACTACCACGGTAGCAAACGCTAAGATGAAGGTAGACAAACCAAAAGCCCAAAGCTATCCAGCGATATCTGGTGACCAATGTCCTAGAAAACGAATACACTGACGAGCGCGGGCTTTCTCGATTAGAGAAGGTAGGTTAATCAAGTTGATCAAACAACAATCGCTGACCTGTGGCCAGATTCTCATCATTCAAGCGGAAGGTAGCAAGGCCATGAAAACGATCCACCTTCGAGGTGATTGGTTCGAGACGCCGGCACACGCAAAGGCATATGTGCATGTTATCGGAACATTCTCAGCCAGTGGCCAATGCATCATTGATGATTCGCACAATATCTTGATCCTACACCCTGATCAGTTGGTATCGGCAACCGTCGTGGCTGATTCATTCAGCTGCATGCGCCGAGCAGTACTACAAGACCGCGTCAAAGCGACTAGCGAGGCTACTGCTCCCTTGGTGTACGGAACGATGTTGCATGAAATCTTTCAGGAGGCGCTGATGGCGAATCAATGGGATCTTCGGTACCTCAGTGGTGTCATTGACAGAGTCATGGAGAAGCACATCGAGGACCTGTATAAGATCAAAGTCAGCACCAGCATTGCCAGGGAACATCTCCAGTCGAAGATGACGGAGTTGAGCTGCTGGGCCACGGCCTTCGTAGCCTCTCAGCCGAATGTATGTCATACCTTCCTCTCTCTCTCGTGATAGTCACTAATATTAGCAAAAGCTCGATGCTGTTGTCCTCGACCGCAATGGCAAAAAGGCCAACATGTGCGTCAGTAAACTGCTCGATGTCGAGGAACATGTTTGGTCGCCCATGTACGGACTGAAGGGCAATATCGATGCTACCGTCCAAGTCACATTGAAGGACGGCAAGGATATCAAAACGCTGACAGTCCCATTCGAAGTCAAAACGGGCAAACATGCCAACAGCAATCACATGGCGCAGACTGCGCTCTATAACCTGTTGCTTTCCGATCGTTACGACTTGAACATTGTTTATGGCATTCTCTACTACATGGAAACATCACAAACAATGCGCATTCCCACCATCCGACACGAGCTACGCCATATGATTATGCAGCGAAATCAACTAGCTTGTCACATTCGAGAGCGGAGTGTTCAGCTGCCTCCTATGAAGAGGAGCAAGAACATGTGTGGAAAGTGCTATGCGAAGACGTCTTGCTTCATTTACCACAAGCTCGCCGACGACGGCGATGGAGAGACGAGCGGCATGGACAAGCAATTCGACGAGGTTGTCAAGCACCTTACTCCAAAGCACCAAAAGTTCTTCCTCAAATGGGAGAATTTGTTGACGAAAGAGGAGAAAGAGACACAGAAGTTGAAAAGAGAACTCTGGACGATGGTTAGCAAGGACCGAGAGAAAGTGGGAAGATGCCATTCCGACGTCATCATTGAAGAGGGCTCAACGTCTGAGGACTTGGGCACCTCCAAGATCAACCGGTTCAACTACACGTTCGTGAAGCGAATTGCGACTCCAGGCCATTCTTTCCTGGAGTCACAGTTGAATGTTGGAGAACCTATAGTTGTTTCCGACGAACAGGGCCACTTTGCTCTCGCCTTGGGCTACGTTACTTCTGTTCGAAAACAGAGAATCAGCGTAGCAGTTGACCGACGCCTACACAACGCCCGCATCAAACAGCCTGGCTTTGACGAAAACGACAACCAGGTTTTTGCTAGCATTATGGAGGTCGCCCCTGAGGGCTGCACTGCGGATCAATCCCAGGGCAAGATCAAGGAAGCGCCAATCCGCTATCGTCTTGATAAGGACGAGTTCAGCAATGGCATGGCCACAGTCCGGAACAACCTTGTACAGACCATGGCGGAAGGCGTCTTCGGGTCTCGAGAGATCCGCCGCGCTGTGGTGGATTTGGTACCCCCGAGGTTCAAAGCAGCACCTACGCAATACGTTGTGGCCGATCGGGAATCTCTGAATGTCGACCAGCATCGAGCGATCGAGAAGGTGATGAGTGCACAAGACTATGCGCTAGTTCTTGGCATGCCTGGCACGGGGAAGACGACCACCATTGCACACATCATTCGGGCCTTGGTCTCTCAGGGCAAAAGCGTCCTTCTTACTTCTTACACACACACTGCTGTCGACAACATTCTCCTGAAGCTAAAGAACGACCAAACCCCGGTACTCAGACTTGGCGCTCCAGCCAAGGTTCACCCGGAAGTCCAGCAATTTGCCATCCTGGCTGGTCAGCCTATGAACTCTTTTGAGCAGATCAAGGAGGCGTGGCACGACACGCCCATCGTTGCCACCACTTGTCTCGGTGTTGGCCATGCTCTTTTCAACGAACGCACTTTCGACTACTGCATTGTTGATGAGGCCTCACAAATCACGCTGCCTATTTGCCTTGGACCGATCAGGATGGCGAAGACGTTTGTACTTGTTGGTGATCACAATCAGCTTCCTCCTCTAGTCCAAAATGAAGAGGCCCGAGAAGGCGGGCTTGATGTGAGCTTGTTCAAGCTTCTCTCCGACACCCATCCGGATTCGGTGGTCAACTTGGAGCACCAATACCGTATGTGCGAGGACATCATGACTCTCAGCAACACTTTGATCTACAAAGGGAGACTGCGATGTGGTACTGAGGAACTTCGGTTCAAGAAACTTGATGTGCCCAACATGGATGCGCTAAAGAGCCTTCACTACGATTCGGCATCGATGCTCAGACCAGGGACTCCGAAGTCTGTATGCACTTCCATCAACCAAAACTGCTGCTGGCTCCGAGACTTGCTGGACAGCGAGGCTCGAGTCAGGTTTGTCAACACTGATACCATTCAGCCCCTTACGAGAGAAGAGGCAAAGGGCAATCGGATTGTCAACCCGGCTGAAGCACGTATCGTAGTTCAACTCGTCGAGGGCCTGCTTACAGTAGGTGTACCCGATGGGGAGATTGGAGTGATGACGCACTACCGCTCTCAACTATCTCTGCTTAAGCATGGCCTTCGCGGACATGTGGGCGTGGAAATGCACACCGCCGATCGATTTCAAGGACGAGACAAGGATGTCGTAATTCTCTCCTTGGTTCGGAGTAACGAGAGCTGCAGCATCGGTGAACTCTTGAAGGATTGGCGACGTATCAACGTTGCATTCACTCGCGCCAAAACCAAGCTGCTCGTAGTCGGAAGCAAGAGTACCTTGAAGGGTAGCGGAAAGGACGAGATGCTCAGCAAGTTCATCGGCCTCATGGAAGAGAAGGATTGGATATATGACCTGCCGCCGGACGCATTGGATAGCCACTATTTTGACGATACGGCGACGCAGTTAACAGCCAGTGGTGTGTCTCCGATGAAGGTGAAGAAGAACACCAGTCCGAGAAAGGGCGTCAGTCCAAGAAAGGCCCCAAAGCTAGCTATGGGGAAAGAAAACCTTGGAACGGGGCCTAAGCGGGCGAGAATTGGAGATAAGGTACTTATGAAGGATAAAGTCATTCTCAGGGATATACTTAACGATATGACGAACGGTGCTTATTGAGGATATCGCACGGTTTGGAGTATCGGCAATTGGTTCAGGATTATGAGGTGTTAGGCGTTAGTTGGACTATTAAAGACGGAAATTCAGGACGTCGAAGGGTTCACAAAGGAGAGAATCATAGGTCAACTCAATAATGGCATTTCACTTAAATACCAAATCATATGACGAGACTCTTCAAATTATTGTTCTTTAGTAAATCGCATAAGAGCAGTCCACCAATTAGATGGTCGCTGAGATGTTCCAATAATTCGGAAACTTGATCTCGACGGAGAGGTTCTGACGAAACTCGAGATCAGAGCAACAGAAGCTACGGAACCCATTCACGCCATCCAATGCTTCCGTCAGTGTTCAGGACCATCCCGTCGAATGACGAAAGAGGCAAGCTACTTGCCGGGGTTCAGCTGCTCGAAGCGGCAGCGGATCGGGTGGAGTCGGCAGCGAGCACGTGATCTTAGATGACTAACGATCCCGACATGGGTCCGAGAATCCAACTCCAATCCAACAACCTCACCCGTGAGTGCCAAACGACTCAACAGCCGAAGTACCGCGCGCCCGCGAACGCAAGCCCCATCCGCCCCTCACCCATCACCGAAAAGACGTCAATTGAGACGTCCTTACCTTCCACTCGCTCCTCTCTCGAAAAAGGAAACTACCTTTCTTCCCGACCCGACGATGACGGCGATACGACCGACCGCGGCCATCCGCGCCGCCCGCGCCATCAAGACCTCTGCGGCCGCCGCCCCGACCACGAGGGCTTTCTCCGTGACGGCCCGTCGCGCTGGTGGCGGTTCCGACTTTGATCCCCCTTCCGGCTGGCTCTGGGGCGTCAAACCCGGTGAGAAGTACGAGAAGGAGGGCTGGGAGACGCCTTTCTACACCCTGTTCTGCGGAGGCATCATCGCCACTGGCGTGGTCCTTGCTTTCAAGCCTGATACTTCGTGAGTAGCCATTCTTTCCGCCGCATAGATCCCGTCGATATGGAATGCATCGAATGGTACTTGAAAGGCTCAGGGTGCTTTCAATGTCGGTTGTACCGGGATGAGGCAATTTAGATATGAGAATTGATTGATCTGCGGCTAACATTACCCGCCCTCACTACAGACTCGATACCTGGGCTCTCGAGGAGGCCAGGCGGAGATTAGAAAAGGAGGGCATCCTGCCGGACCCCGAGAAGTGAAAAGGAAAAAAAAAGCCAATTCCTGCGACCACTTGCCATGAACAAACCACTGAATCAACTTTTTTCTTTACCTGGAGCTTGGTTTTTTTTGAGAGACATATCACCTTAGAAAGGAACGGAACGGAAGACACAAAGAAAACCGAGCCGCGAGGATGGAAGATGATGTTCTAGAGAAAGGATGGAGCGGAGAAACAGGGAGAGAAAGAAATATCTCCACAGAAGGGGGAAGCAAGCTCGCTGTCGATTAAATCTCACGGCAACGGTGTCTCTTTCTATTCCCCTGGGGAAAAGTGTATATGACCTGCCCTTGAACTAGCTTTCCTTTTTTTTCACCGCCTTTTTTTTACTCTAACTCCGTGAGGGCCTTTCGATCTTCGTGAGCCTTCTGCAATGACTAGATTTGCTATTGATGACGCATGGCATAGGGCTACGGAGCTTCGTGACGATAGCTTGGAAATCAGCATTTGATATTGTTGAGTATGTATCGTGAGAAAGACAACTAATGGCGCCAATGGAGCTTTAGCAAGTGAATCTTGAGGAAAGCTACTAATGTGACCCGTCTGGTAAGCCACTTGTTCTTATCGAACCTTGGCCGTAGTTTCAACACGGACTCATGTACACCGAGGAACACATCATGTCCATCATAGGAGGGGGGTGGTGGGTTATTGCCGATGCCCTACTCATTCACTATCAGAATTGAACTACAGCCTTTTCTTAACAATCATATTGAACGCTTTCCGTTTGGATATCTACAAGTCTACATGCCGTTCTGACAACCAAATTTATGCAGCAACATCCGGAGCAATGTAGCTCCACTCGTGCTCCTCGTCACCGTACTGTCTCGCCTCCATCCAGCCCTTGATTCTCAGGGTGATCTCGCCAGACTCCTCGGCCTCGGTGAGACCGCAGTTGATGGACTTGCCCTTCCAGGCAATGGTGCGGATGGGGCTAACAATGGCAGCGGTACCGGCACCAAAGGCCTCAATGAGGCGGCCCTCCTCGGCCGCCTCGTCGAGCTCCTTCATGGTGTACTTGCGCTCCGAGACCATCCAGCCCTCGGGCACGAGTCTCTCGCGGGCGAGGGAGAGGACGGAATCACGCGTGACACCCTCGAGGATGGTGCCGTCGAGAGGGGCGGTGACGAGCTCCTTCTGGCCCGTCTCCTTGTTCTTGATGGCGGCGAACATGTTCATGGTGCCGACCTCGGTGACGTACTCCTCCTCGCCAAAGAGCCACAGGTTCTGCTGGTGACCGCGGCTGGCGGCCTCGAGCTGGGGCACGATGCAAGGGGCGTAGTTGGCGCCGAGCTTCTTGTCGCCGACGCCGCCGGGCCAGGCGCGGACGGCGTAGTCGGTGGCCTCGAGGGAGACGGCCTTGAAGCCGGTGGGGTAGTAGGGGCCGACGGGGGAGGCGATGACGTAGAGCAGGGCGGAGCCGGGGGGGCCGACGCCGAGGGTCTTTTGGGTGCCGATCATGGTCGGGCGGAGGTAGAGGGAGTAGCCGCGCTCGTCGGGGATGTAGTGCTTGTCGAGGTTGACGAATTTGGAGATGAGCTCGATGAGGGAGGTGGGCTCGAAGGTGGGCAGGGCGATGCGGGCGGCGGACTTGTTGAGGCGGGCCATGTTCTTGTCGGGGCGGAAGAGCCTGACCTGGCCGGACTTGTCCTTGTAGGCCTTCATTCCCTCGAAGCACTCAAAGGCGTAGTGGAAGACGCAGGTCGCGGGGTCGAGGGAGAGGTTCTGGTAGGGGACGATCTTGGGATCGAGCCAGCCCTGTTCTTGGTTCCACTCGATGGTGAGCATGTGGTCTACGGTGAACGGTTAGTAATTGCAACATCGAGTGATGGGGAGTTGAGAGAGAGGAGGCAGTTGACTGACCAGTGAACTTGCGGCCGAAGACGAGCTCCTCGGGGTTGCCCAGCGTTCCGGGAGTCTTTGTCTTCTCGATGGTGAGTTTTGAGGCATCGAGGCCCAGAGGCTTGGCCGCGGAGGCGGCGGCGGGCTTGACGCTGTAGAGTCTTGCTGATTGCCATGCGGTGGCTAATCTGGGAGAGCTGCGGGGGACTCTGAGAGCGCCGGCGGCGCGGGGGAAGAACTGTCGCATCATGGCGATCGGTCTGTTTGGTGTTTTGGGTTGGGTATAAAGCAGAAAGTGAAGAAGAAAAAAAGGAGATTGTGGATTTTCTCAAAACCTTAAAACACAGGTACGAAGATGCTCAGATAAATACTCAAAGATGGAAGAGCGAGTGTGACTCTTTTTCAAAAGGAAACCGAGATACCAAATCCTCAATTGCGGTCAACGGTGAACCAATTGACCAATCCAATGCTTGATAAAGGACAGACAAGTGTAGTAGGGCGAAGGGCGCAATTTGAGAATGGCGTGTAGGGTGCGGCAAGAGTCAGGATCTCGGAGCGTTATCGGACTTCTAAGCCGTTGCTTTCCATGCGCCGCCAGATCCAGAGATCCAAAATTGTTCGTTCAGGGTCCCGGCTCCGGAAGCGTCCCGCTATCTGAGGTGCAGCAGGTGCAGCAAGTGCATGGCAGCATGGTCAGCACGCAGTATGTAGTACGTACCTTTCAGGTACTGATTTCAAGATGGTGGGGATGATGTAAAGGAGCCAAGCTGTCCCAAATGGAAGACCTTCTCCGTAGCTTAGGTCAGCCATCCAATTGGTTCACTGTCTTCCATGCTTCCCCCCCTAAGCTGCGATCAGAAGGTGGGCGCGCCCCCAAAAGCTCAGTGCAGGTAAAGGTGTGCCCAACTTATTTGAAGCCGAGCCTTACCTTACTTTAGACGCAGGGGTGGGCACTGGCAACTGTGGGATCATCGCTAAAAAGCATGGATGGTCATTTTGATTGGGCTTGAGACGCTCTTGCCTATCAGCAACGTGGAAGTCAACGCGGCTGAATGAGAACATCATCTTTGGGCCAACTTGTCAATCATATGTCACTGCGCCCTGCATCTGCTGTCTTTTATTGAAATCAAGTCCACACAATCTCCCGGCGCATCTCCGGAAGCTTCCTCGACTAAGCCTCATCGGAGGTCCCTCTCGACATCTACAAAGTGTCCCCTCCACGGTACCCTGCACCACCTACATCGCTCGTGGACAAAGACTACGTTCCTCCTTCTGAGTGCGGGCGCGATTGACTTGACGAACGTCCCGACTTGGCGCGAACCCCATATCTGCCTCCAAACCGTCATGACGATCGAGTTCCCTCAAGTTCCGTTCCCTCCGCCTTGACGACGACATAGACGACCCACGTTATAAGACATACCACCACCATGTTCTCCTCGGCACTCAAGTCGATATCATCGACCAACATCACCGCGAACTACTCCATCTCCTCGACCCAGACCTCGTCCGCCGGCCCATGGAAGATTTACGACTGCAAGAAGAAGTCCACGGGGAAACCATACAGCGTATTTGTGTTTGACAAGAAGGGACTCGACAACCATGGCAGCAGTCTCGGCAGATCGAGCGCGTCCGCTTTCAAGCGAGCCACCGAGGAAGTTATCGAGCGTCTGAAGAAAGAAGCCTCCAGCTTGGCGAAGCTAAGACACCCGAGCGTTCTCGAGCTCGTCGAGCCAGTGGAAGAAACAAGAGGTGGTGGACTACAATTCGTCACGGAAGCTGTCACGGGCTCTCTGGCGGCTTTGCTGCAAGAGAAGGACGATCAGGAACGGAGTGGTGGGGTTGGCGGTCGGTCCAGTCGCTATGTCACTGAGGATTCGGATGGTGTGCGCCGGCGGCGCGAGTTGGAGATTGACGAGCTCGAGATCCAGAAGGGCCTCTTGCAGATCAGCAAAGCTCTGGAGTTCTTGCACGAAAACGCTGGGTTGGTGCATGGAAACTTGACACCAGACGCCATTATCGTGAACGCTAAGGTCAGTCCAGCGGATCAGTATTGATAGCTTTGTGCTGTTGCTAACTCGAAACAGTCCGACTGGAAAATCAGTGGTCTCGCCTTCTGCGCGCCGTCAGAAGGGTCCAACAAGCCGACCTCCTTTCAACCCATCAGCCTGTCAGAGGTGCTCAACCCAGATCCTCGACTGCCTCGATTTGTGCAGCTGAACCTCGACTACACCTCTCCTGACTTTGTCATTGACAACAACTTCACCCACTTTGCCGACATGTTCTCATTAGGTCTCCTAGCCGTGGCCCTTTACAACTCACCACATCAGTCTCCCATTGAAGCTCACGGCAGCTTATCAACATACAAGAGAACATTCGCCTCGTCATCCACAGTGCCATCTGCCACCAACCAATTTTTATCATCACGGCCTTTACCCAAAGAATTAGTTCAACATGTGTTGCCGCGCCTGATAACACGACGACCTGCCCAGCGTCTTACAGCAAAGGAGTTTCAAGAAAGTGAATACTTTAACAACGTGCTCGTTTCGACAATCAGGTTTTTGGACGCTTTCCCAGCAAAGACGCCAAACGAGAAGGCTCAGTTCATGAGGGGACTAGTCAAGGTTATGCCTTCATTCCCCAAGACTGTAATGGAGAAGAAGTTATTACCAGCGTTGCTTGAAGAGATGAAAGACAAGGATCTTATAGCGTTGATTCTTCAAAATGTCTTCACCATCGTTGATTTACTGCCCTCCGCGAGGAGGGTCTTTGCCGAAAAAGTACGGCCAGCATTGAAAGCAACATTTGCCCCACCCCCGAAGAAGGACCAGGCCCCTGAGAGGGACCCGACGAAGGATGCTGGATTGATGGTTGTGCTCGAACACATGTCTACAATCTGCAACAACTGCAATGGCAAGGAATTCACTGATGGTAACAACATTCACAACAACATGAAAGTATCTAGCGGGACATACTGACAGCTATTTAGATATCTTGCCCGTCGTTTACGCAGCCATCGAAGCACCAACACCGGCCGTTGTTGACGCGGCCTTGAGAGGTCTACCATCTATTCTACCAGTTCTCGACTTTAGCACCATCAAGAATGAGCTATTCCCAGTCATTGCGGCCGTGTTTAGCAAAACGAGCAGTTTGGCCATCAAGGTGCGCGGTTGCCAAGCATTCGTCGTCCTGTGTGGCGGAACATCAGACGCCGAAGACGATGGACTCGATGCTTTCGGTACTTCAAAGAAGAAATCAACTTCGTCCTCCAGCATGCTGGATAAGTACACGATGCAGGAGAAGATTATCCCGCTGATCAAGGCTATCAAAACGAAAGAGCCTGCGGTCATGATGGCAGCTCACGGCGTTCTCCGGGTTGTGGGAGAAGCAGCTGACGCCGAGTTTGTGGCGATTGACATCCTCCCCATTCTGTGGCATATGAGTCTCGGACCTTTGCTCAATCTCAAACAGTTCCAGAACTTCATGGACCTTATTAAGAAGTTATCCAAAAGAGTGGAAGACGAACAGACTAGGAAGTTGCAAGAGCTCTCTGGTACCAACGGTAGCACTGCCGGAGCTAATGAAGACTTCATGGCCTTCGGCGGCGTCAGTGGGACCGCTTTTGATGCCTCCAATGGAGCGACGGAAGACGATTTTGAGAGCCTCGTCAAGGGCAAAACGACACGAACGTCAACTTCGGATGCATTCTCTAGCTGGGAAGAGACACCCGCTGCGGCAGCCAGAGTTACCTCGCCCACGCCCGGGAGTAGGTCAGCAACTCCAGCCTTTGCGTGGTCAACTCCGAGTCCTACTCAGACAGCACCACCTCCAGCGCCTAAGCCTCAACCTAGTTTCCGGACGGTGACGCCTGACATGGGTTCTTTCCAAACCATGACTCCAACATCGACTCAATTCTCTAAACCTTTGCAGCCAACTTCGCCAATGTCGCAGCCAGCGGCACAGCCCAGTTCATCCATCAACTGGTCCACAGCATCGGCAGCAACTTCTAACCCGTGGTCATCGTCGTCGACATCGACGCCGGCCTTCTCGGCCGGTAACTCCATGTCGCCACCTCCGAGCTCCGCTTTTGGAGGAATGAGCACGCCCATGTCCAACATGTCGCTCGGTGGGCAGAGACCAGGCATGTCACAGTCATCTTCGTTTTCCCTGCCGCCACCGCCAGCCGGTAATTCGACGGGTGGCTTTTCCGGATCTTCCGGGTTTAGCCTACCGCCGCCTCCCAGTCACACGCCGCCTGTGCAATCAGGCTTGAGCGCTTTCAGCAAACCTGCAGCTAGCACCGGCATGGGCATGGGCATGATGAGTCAACAACCGATGAATGGTATGAACAGCATGGGCTCACGGCCTGGTATGGGTATGAGCATGGCGTCTAGCGGCAGCATGAACAGTATGATGAACAGTAACATGGATATGAACGGCATGGCTGGCCTTCAGCAACAGCAGCAGCAACAACAGCAGAAGCCCCAGCAGAAGAGCGGGTTGGATAAGTACGAGAGTCTGATTTAGGGGGGATTCTCTGGAAATAGCACAGCTTTGGTTGCAGTCAAGGCATCCCAGAGTTGTTTACATGATACACACATGAGTTGATACTTTGTAGAGTTGCGCAATTCAGGGCGTTGAGGGACCGTGCCGGACTGTTCTTCATCGGTCGAAGAGAAAATGCCATATGATTCCAAGTTGATCTGTAACTGTGCCATTTAAGAGCAACACAGTGAGTCGCTATTACCTACTGATGCTGCTAAGATGAGTCGGAGATGAGGAAACTGTCACGACTCAAGGGGTTACGGATTGCGCGATAGCAAAAACCGAAGCAAAAACGGAATTAGTGTTTGTGGGCCGAGAGTCCCGCAAAGTCAACACTTTTGCGAGTTGCGTGGACTGAACAGGTTTATTGGTGTGGCACATGACGAACGAAAGGGTCAGGTAAATTTTGCCGGTGTGAAGTGTGCCAAGAACGGAGCGCTGATGCGATGAAGCCTTGTCGACTCTTTCAACCATGGTACATAGCCCAGAGTCGTCGCTCGCTCCGGTCGGAGAAGATGGATTTCATTACAAGTGATAACTCGGGCATAGTTATGGCGCTTTGTTTGAATGAATGGCGTGGTCTGGGAAAGGAACGGATATGTTTCATGAATGGGGAGAGGAAAGGCTTGTCCATGATGCGATGATTTGCGGAGTGACACCTACGGTCCCCGCCCGGAGGCGTTCAGTTACGCAAATCCTTGTTCAAGAGTCGCCGACCACTTTCTTAACGGTTCGCCATGCTTTACTGTTTCTGCGTCCTTTTCTGGAGTTGAGCCCGTCTCGATCAACCAGACATGAAAACTCATCTTATTGGAACGACATATCGATGGAAACCGAGAAAAAAAATAGATGGTCATTAGAGACTCAAGGATACGGGCGTAAAGTATCTAGCCTGTGAGGGAGTACCATCACGTTCCCGTTGATGTCTATCTGTAGATCATCATGGCACTCCATCACTTCAGACAAGTGTAACACATTCAGGTTTACCGCCGTGCCGCCCAAGTTTTGTCTTATGATTGAAATAAAGGAAACTGGACTTACCTCCTCCACCGTCTGACAGAAAGCAATGAGAAGGAGGCGCCCAGCACGACTGGCAAGCCTGGGCTGGCATTGGGTTGGATTTGGTTAATTAGTGTTTGTTCTGGGTAACGCAACCAGCCGGGTGTGTGGTGGTGGGCGACCGAACGAACCGCGCCGGTCAGTCACATGCAGGACGGAGCCCTCCTCCCCTCAAAGGCAGCAAATCTTCGAGTGAGGTGAAAGGGAGGGCATTAAAATTGGCGCAGGCTCTAAACACTCGTTTACCGGCCGTTTAGAGAAAGATGTCTACTGCTGCGGCATATGATTGTCGTTGCATATTTAGGGATGGGGGTGGTGGTTGGTGGGCTGAGCCACGGTTCTCCTTGAATGTAGTGGTATCGGATGATTGCCTTTGAGTTATGTTGGTAAAGTCGTGTTGGTGATCACTCATGGGAATGAGGGTTCTATCAAACGACAGAGATTGTTTCTTTCACAAGGGACTGGTATTGTTCAGAAAACCGGGCGGTGAAGCATCTGGCTTGAACTATTTGATGTTCGCTCGGTTGAGTTGATTCCCATTGTGATGGAGTTCGGCAAGGTTAGATAAGGGGGTGAGTACATTTCTTGACGCCAAGGGGGTTAATCATCCTGGGAGCGTCACTCGCTCGGATCAAACAAGTCAAGCCAAGGTCACGGCAAAGTCAGAGACTGCATGAGACGGAACAACGCCATAGAAACTCCAAGATACGTCTTTTTGACGAGAGCAGCCTCCCAGAGTTGATGCGATGATTAACGAATTGAAAATTCGATTGTAAGGTGATGCAATTTTACGATTTCTTCCATGAAGATGATGACAGCGATTATCGCCGATGGGCCTCAATGAAGGTACTATTCGGAAGTGTGGCGGGTACAGTTAGGTACGGTGAGCATGACGGATCCATCTGATTGGAGGGCTGCCACTCGTGTACGTGTGAGTGTGTGGTGTGTCTTGGACCCAGTCACCAGTCTACCACCACCACCCCGGTCAGACATTAGGCGCAGGTAATCAAGGTAATCATTATATCACAACAAGGAACAAGAGCGAAGGGACGTTCGCCGCAACGGGGGAGGGAAGGGAGGGGAAACCCGAGATGGCATCAAGCGTGACAGATCCGGTAGAGAATCTTTTCACCGTCGATGCTGATAAGCGGAAGACCACTAGAGGATGGCCGAGTTTCATTTGGAGCCAGGTTCCGAAACTCTCTGATGTGAGGACGGGTACGCGGTTGAGAACGGAGGAGGATGAGCGATGGATGGATGTGTGTTTGGTTACTAGATTTGGTTGGACGGATTTGTACTGTACACGCACACCCACACACTCCTTCTTTCTTTCGTCTCCCTCCGTCTGTCTCCCTATCCCTACGCTCTAACTCAGATAACACGGTTTGAGTGCTTTCATCCAACGAGCGATTCGGAGTGGTTCAGGTGGCTTTCCTGTCTACCTGTGCCTGGCTGAACATTGTGTTCAGGTTCTCCTCACATTGCTTGCCCTTATGCTCGCCGCTAGAGACAGATGCCTTGGCCCAGTTCACGTATCTAACTTAACCTTACCCCGACTGACATGCTTTGACAGCGCGCTGATAGTTTATTACGTCTCATCCATCAATCAATGATTCAATTCCATCCCGCTGATGGAAATGTAGAGAACTTGGGGGGCAATACACTGGGATAAGACCGATCGGATTACAGAGCAAGCATGGTTAGGTAGTTAGCATGGCATTATTGGATTTGTATTCGCGTGCGTCTACATCCGCCTCAGCTGAGTATTGCTAAACTACGCTTCCATGCTTTCATGTACCTTAGTCTACTAAGACGGATCCCCCCGGTCAACCTTTTTGCCTTTTTGATTGCCCTTCCCGTTTTTACCTGGCTTGGTTTTCTGGTGCTGTACTGCGTAGGTCGTCGTACTCGTTCGTTCGATCATTCGTCGTATCTGTACTTTCTTGTCCTTTTAATTACTTTTGCTATGTAACTCGGCCGGTCGGTCGCTCACTCAGTCACTCACTCTCGGTGCCACGTTCCAACCAGAATACCTTTTACCCACTGATTTGCCTACTCGATCGTCTCTACGGGGGCCCAGATCTCGTTCGCCCGCTTCCGTGATTTCCCTTTTTCTCTCTCTCCCTCCGGAACTCATATCCCCTTCTCTGTGCAGTCGACCACGCACACACACAAATGCTATTACTTGCTAGCCTATTTTTTTCTCATTAGCCCAGCTTCCTTCCCTTTCGATTGCTTACCTCCTCTCCCTCTTGCTCTTGCCATCTCTATGGCCTGCCTGGTACCTGACCTTACCTTACCCTCTTTTCTCACCAGAAGTAGTCATTGAGGTACTCTACACCTGAACCGACGACGACGTTAGCTCGCTTTTTTCACTCAACTTCCTTCCCACATCCCCCTTCCACTTTTTCCCTCTCCCCCTTCCCATCCTATCCGGAGACCGGGGACCTAATTTGAACAAGTCCGTCCATCAATTCTAGGCCGTCGCTTCCGTTCAGTCTCGGTCGGCTTGTTTCTCGCCAACCCATCGCAACTCTGCAACTCAGTTTCTCTCTCTCCCAGTCTCCCTACCGTCAGACGCGACTCAAAGGGAAATCAACTTCTGGTCCACCCACCACTTGTTCCATCATCCACTTGACTTTGGTGTTAACTCTTACCGTCTACCCAACTCGCCTCGCCGTTTGTTGGTTTCTTCGCAGCCTCCCGCTGTTCACGCAGAATTCCAACTGATCCATCTGCTGCTTACCTGCCTGCCTGCTCGATCAACAAAGACCAGGGCTCAGTGTCATATTCGTCACGCCACCCTAGGGAGATAACCGACAAGTTTCGAGCGAAAAAAGGCGGAACTCGGCCACCGCACTCAACTTCACTCACAGCCAAGGCATCCTTTTTTAACCCTCCTTCTCACACCCTTGAGGGCCCGACCGTCTGCAACTTTGTCAAATCTTCTTACCCATCCACAGACACACTCGGCTTTTTACTTTCTCTCTTCTCTTTGCACAATCCCATCAAATTGTCAATCGGTCTACCTGGACTCCAACAAGACAGTCTGGTAAGAGTGTAACAGAGAGAAGAAGAGGTCCAAGTGTCGTTTCTCTCTCACGCATTTCTGCAGCCAACTCTTGCCGCTCTTCATTTCCCCTTCTCCCAGCCCATACCAGCCCAGTCTTTGTCCAGGCTATCATCCCGCCTTGTCTCACAAATAAACCTGTCGGGTGGTCGGCAGTCTTGCACCCCATCCATACAAGCAGACACGTACTCCCAGCTAAGTGAGCCTGCTTTACTCTGCTTGGTTTCCGTCAACTTTCAAACTTCATCTCATCACCCCTTTATCCACGAAGAGAGGTTTCATCAACAACGACATCGTCCCCTCACTCCTTCCCATCTTGCCGCACAGAGCAGTTGTCAACAAGACGAAGCCCAAGATGAAGACTCAACGGGCGGCGACAAAAGCCGTCACGGTCAAGAAGCGCAATAACAACAAACACAAGAACGCCGCGTACAAGGTGGACAAGTTTGAGGTACCCGAGAACCCAACTCTTGAGGACATCAAGCACGCCGTCGGTCTTCAGGAACTGGAAGAACGCGTCAGAGACGCCAAAGAATCTGCATGGGAAACCGACTCTCTCCTGGAGGATGCCATCGCTGAGATGGGCGATGCAAAACTTTCCTCAGATGGTAGGTCTATCTCAGTCATTCATTCACTCACTCACACACTACCCATGCAGGCGAGCATGACAACTCCTTGCTGCCTATGCTTTGGGGATTACGTGTTCCTCTTATTACTCACTCACCCTCGATCGCTTCTATTACCTGATTGCTAACTCGTGCCTAAAAGATCCGGACAGCTGCACGCCTGACGAGGCCATGGGCCTGCGCCACCAATTAAGAGCGCTTGGTCCCGCAGAATTCTGTAGAAGAACCGTGGACGCCGGACGCTACACGGCCAAGAAGCTACTGTCGGCCTTTGGCCTCAAGCCTCCCGCCTTCCTCGAGGGTGCCGAAGATGAGGCCTACTTCAGTCTCTTGTCGCTGGCCATCAGCCGAGAGCTATCTAAACGCGCAAAGCTGTTTCGCTTCAACACGGTGGACGACGCCGTGGACCTGCTACAGCGGAGCAAGAACATCATCGTTCTCACTGGTGCGGGCATCTCTACCTCGCTCGGCATTCCCGATTTCCGCTCAAAGGGTGGTCTCTATTCTCAACTTGAGCATCTGGGACTCAACGACCCGCAGGAGGTGTTTGACATTTCCGTCTTTAAGCATGACCCGACCATCTTCTACACCGTTGCCAAGGACATTCTGCCGTCGACCAACCGTTTTACACCGACTCATGCCTTCATCTCCATGCTTGAGAAGAAGGGCAAGCTGCTCACCAACTACACACAGAACATTGACAACCTTGAGGCCAAGGCCGGCATCTCTCAGGACAAGCTCATCCAGTGCCACGGTTCTTTCGCAACCGCGACTTGTGTTCAGTGCCGCTTCAAGTGCGACGGCGAAGAGATCTTCGACGACGTTAAAGCTGGCAAGATCCCGCGTTGCCCCCGCTGCATCCAGAACCTTCGTCCCAATGGCAGCAGTAAGCGCAAGCGCTCGGCGGGCACCGAGAGAAAGCGCCGCAGGTTCAGCTCCGACGACTCGACGTCAGACGGCGAGTACGACATCCCCAGCGTGGGCGTTATGAAGCCCGACATCACCTTCTTCGGCGAGGCGCTGCCTGATGAGTTCAGCAGGCGTCTAACAGAGCACGACCGCGACAAGGTGGACCTCGTCATCGTTATCGGTACGAGTCTGAAGGTGACGCCGGTGTCTGAGATAGTATCCTGGCTACCGGCCAACATCCCCCAGATCTACATCTCGCGCCAGGCCGTCAACCACATCAACTTTGATATTGACCTGCTGGGCGACTGCGACGTCGTCGTCTCGGAGCTGTGCCGCCGCGCCGGTTGGCCGCTCGAGCACGAGATGGTGCCCCAGGACCAGGTCGTCAAGGTGAACCCAGACGGCGGGTGCGTGAGCAGACACGTCTTTGAGGTCGCCAACCCCAAGCAGCCGCCGCCGCCTATGCACCAAATCTCCAAGCCCGAGACTGAGTCCGAGACGGCGGAACCGACCAAGGGACCCAGAAAGCCTCGAAGGTCGAGAGACGCTGTCTGAGACTGGAACTTCTTCTCGCAAGTTGTCAACCACCTCACCCTCGCTCTTTTGCTCGCTTTTCTTCTTTCTGTCCGCTCATTGTCTCTACCTACAGATACCCCCTCGTGCCCTTCTCGCTTTCTCAGACAATTGTATTTGAGAGCGCTTCACGCGGCACCCGTCAATGGTTTAGAAGGGGGAATAATGTCCATACACGGTACCTGATTCGACGAAACGATACAAAGCCCCCAAAACACAAGACGGAACGGCACTATTGCCGGTAGCAGCAATGCAAGCGTCAACGAAACAGCCTGGTACCACAACCTACACTCACTGCCCCCGGTCAAGTCTCGGGGCTTTGTGGCTGCGGGCCATCGCCACGTCGCCCGCTTCTCGGTTTTGGCCAGACACAGCGCGTCAGGCATAAATGGTTTTTTTCCTCTTACTCCACAGCACAACACAGGGCAGCACCGCACCACTTCGGTCAGCGAATCCGTAGTTGCGCTCTGCACAAGCCCTCTCACCCTAACTAATCTCGACCTTCTGGAGTCTCTTCATACGGCAGCCAAAACGGTCATCGCGTTGTTCCCTTTACGGAGGGATACACCAACTCATAACCTCAACCCTCAAAACGAGGTTTTTTCTTTTTCTTTCCTGATACCACAGATTGCGATGTTTTGAGCCTTTTTTTTTTCACTTTCACTTTGCTTTGTTATTTTGTCGGCTTTTAATTCGAAAACGGAGGTGGAACAGGGCTGACGGAGGAAAGGAAGAACGTGGCGGAAACGGCGTTTGAGGCTCTCGCGAAAGGAAAACTTATGCACGGGTCTGGTTTGCCTTGTGTCTTTTATTTGTTTTGTTTTGTCAGAATACCTAGAGAGAGAGGGGGCCCTAGAGAGGCCTTTTTTCCCTTTTGTTTTACACGCGCACCCGCGCAAATGTCCGATTTTCTCTAGAGACAGAAATTCAGACAGAAAGATTCCGTTTTTTGATAGTTGATCAATGGATTGCAATCATCAAGATGTCAACGACAATAAGGAGTTCAACATGTGTGCACTTTGGTGATGGTCTCTGAACAAGCTATATCGTAAGGTACATAGATGTAACTGCAAGTAAGATTCGCATAATTGCCCAAAGGAGGCAACGCGGGTTGAACCTCGCTCGAGTAAGGCAGCAGTGGTGACTCAAGCATTCTGTCACCTACCCGTCTTACATGCGCCAAAGTGCATCGACCCCCGCGAACCATGCTTCAAAAGTCGAGTGGCAACTCAAGGCTGTCCAAGCAGCCTGCTCACCGGTGTGACCTACCCAGCAAGGCAACCGAACAGCGCGACTTACTATACGAACGACTGACTGAGAATAGCCCGATGCTTGGCACGAAGGACGGGGGCGGGAATGAGGTTTGTTTGCTTGCATTACCTTTTACGTGTATCTGCCTAGCAGGCTACCATGCATCAACCATTCTTCTCATTGAGCCTCACTCGCGTGTTATACCTTACCTTACCTCACCTACCAACCCCCTTTCAAGTCTCGATGGTGGCGGTAAAGCCCCTTACCCTGCGTTGTATTCATCACAGAATATCTAGGTAGACTTGTATAGGGCCAGATTCGGGTTGTAAGCGCTGAGCTCTAGCAAGAATTTGCAAAAATACGCCCAAAACCAAACGCGACACCAGGACGCAAGAGGACATACATCACAAATGAAACGCGTCGAATATCACCAGAAGAGATACATCAAGCAGCAAAACTGCCTAGGAAAGCCAGCTCGACGTCGTCGGGATCACCAACATCCTCAAGTAGGATTAATTTGGCCATGTTACAGGGCTGAACTGAACGAGTGCCACTGACAACCAGAACTATTGCCATACCCAAGCTACTATCACTTGTTCTCTCTTGTCTGTGACTTATGCTGTAAATACTTCAACGGTATCCTAGCACCCGTGGTGGTTCAGGCGTAGGAGACCTGGCCGACACATTCAATGCAGCTAGCTGCCCGACTGCACAGTCATATTGATCCCACTTTTTTTTTTTCTTTACTTCGCTGCATGGCGGCGAACTAACCTCGTCATCAACTATGTTTGGTCTCTTTGTATTCGAACAGTCTCGGTGTTCATATCATTATGCATACCTACCGGGATCGGCGACACCGCCACAAAAAGTGTTTCCAACACCCGCCCGCTCGCCAAACCGCTCTTCACCGGCAGTAATCTGCTGGATAGAGGAGGGGGATTGGGGCTTCCTTTGGTGGTAAATATTGTTGGTTTCTCATGGAGGCATGAAGTTAAGACAGTCAGGTATCGAGATCTCTGCGCGGGGGTGACTAAGTCGCCTTCCAATCTTTCGAATGACTGGCCAAATCTGGTGATGGGACCTCGATCGATCACTGTCGTGGATCGTGGTTTCTCATGAATCCAGTCAAAGTAGGACGGCTTCAGCCGTTATCCGCTCAGCTACTGCCTCTATCGCTCATTATCTACAAGCATTGCCTAGCTGTTCCGTCTTGGTTACTATCCTGAGAACTTCTGAATATCAAGAATTCACCTTTCACTTCACATGTCTCTTTGGGTTGCGAATCGAGAAATTCATCTAGCCAGGTCGTTAAGAATATTTTTTACTGATTATGAGTCTCCTCTTGATATGTTCAGGCTTTCGTCCCTGGTTATCCTGCTCGGTCTGCATACGGTCATCGGTCTAATAATAATGTGAAAGCAAAAAAGGGAGGGCTCCAACGCCTCCTCAAACGGGATGACCGGTTGTCGCAAAACCCCGCGCATGAGAACCCAATACTCGTACAAATACATTGCGCGCTTTGAAATTTTTCTTTTCGCTCACAAACTCCACGTGACCATATGTAAGTGATGTCGCCAGTACCGGGCAACAGTTAATGTACTCCTCATTGCTTGGCCGTCTTCTCATCTCCGGCCTTCTCATTTGTAGTGGTTTCCTCCCGGGGTTCTTCTCTGATCGAGTTCTCTCGAGATACCCCTCTCCTAACATTATTGTCAGAGTCGTCGCTATCCCGACGTCTCCGTTCGGCAGGCTGCCAGTTGGCAGCAATGCCAGCAGCCACAATGCCGGCCATGACGGTGGGGGCACCGAGGGCCGAGTTGGAGCGGCTGCGCGAGCTGCGAGAGCGCTTGCGCGACTCGGGTGTTGCGGCGAGTGAGCCGAAGCTGTCCTCTCGTGTGGGTGTAGAGGGTGACTTGATAGAGTTGCTGCGCGAGTGCGACGGGCTGCGCGAGCGAGCAAAGGTTTCGCGGGGGTGCTGTACAGCGAACTTGAGGTTGTTCAAGCGTCCACCCTTCATGCGCTTGATGAATGCCAATTCATCACGGACGTCGGACAATGGCTCCGGATACATCTCAAACTGCTCCTCATCTGAGACCGTGAGACCCGGAACGGAGTCCTTGGCACGGCGTTTGAGGTAATCGGGGATCAAACGCTCAATGAGAGCGTCGGGGATGAGACGGATGACCACGCCGAAAGGAATGGAGATCAATCCAAGGATAATGGCCATAGCCCACTGGGTTCCGGTTTGTCCCTCGCCGGCGATCTGGAACGCGGCTCCGCCAAAGAAAACAATGAGGATCTGTCCGCCGATCATAATGGCGCTAATGCCAACGAAAAACATGTTCTTTGTCAAGCCCTCGAAGATGTTGAAGTTGTTGTCCAAACGACGGTTGCTATCGAGCTGTTAGTTCCTCGAGTTCGAGATGACGAAGAGAATTGACACTTACTTCCACTGGTTGAAGATCTGCATCCACACGAAGGTGTTGAAAACCAACGTGGCGATCTGATCATCAGGAATGTGCTCCGGACCAGGAACAACAGTCTCCTTTCCGTAGAAAAGCATGAAGGTGATGGCGAGTTGGTAGACGGCCTGTCCGAGAATCATCTTCCACATCGTAGTTGTGATGATAGAGGCATTGCGTCTTTCAGGCTTTCTGTCAAGAACGCTGTCTTGGGGAGGATCAGTGGCGAGGGCAAGGGCTGCGAGCGTGTCCATGATCAAGTTGACCCAAAGCAATTGCACAGCAGTAAGGACTGAAGTGCTGCTCACAGCAGTGACAAACGTGAGAATGACGGCGGTAACGTTCACCGTAAGCTGAAACTGGAGGAATCGTTTGACGGCATCGTTGACAGCACGACCCCACTTCAGAGCCTTAACGATAGAGTTGAAGTTGTCGTCCATAAGAATGATTGACGAAGCTTCCTTGGCAACCTCGGTACCCGCAATTCCCATGGAAAAGCCGACGTCGGCTGTCTTGAGTGCAGGGGCGTCGTTGGTTCCGTCACCGGTTACAGCGACAATGTCTCCCTTTGCCTTGAGACGCTTCACCAGGATTCGCTTGTCCTCAGGACTCGAGCGGGCGAGAACGCAGAGACGCGGGATAATGGCCTCTTGCTCAGACTTGGTGAGGTTGCGGAACTCAGGACCCTCCATGACAAGCCCATTAGGTTGCAGAATACCACATTCCTTAGCAATAGCTTCAGCCGTAAGCTTGTTGTCTCCAGTGACCATGCGAACCATAACGCCCGCCTTCTGGCACAGCTTAACAGCCTCCGGAACTCCCTCGCGCAAGGGATCCTGAATACCAACCATACCGATAAAGGCCATCGTTCGGAACATGAAATCAAAGTCGACCTCGCCTCCATCAACGCGACGGGCATTGCGAGGGGGCCACTGCTCGAAGTCCCTGTAGGCAATGCCAATGGTTCGGAGTGATCGGGAGGCGTAGGTGTTGATTAGGGTGTTGACCGTCTGGAAGTTGGCCTCGGTCATTTGCACAAGGGTAGCATCCTGAGACGGGTCGCGGAAAATCTGGTTGCACTTTCCGAGAACAATCTCGGAGGCGCCCTTAACGTAGACTCGGGCACCTCCTCCGGGAAGCTGAACGACGATTCCCATACACTTGCGACCAGAGTCGAAGGGAATGAGTTGAAGAATCTTTGCGTTCTCGCGTTCCTCAGCAACAGGACCCATGCCGAAGTAATCACGGGCCAAGAGAAGCAGCGCGGTCTCCGTCTTCGATCCAACGTATGTCTTCTCGCCGTCAACCTCACCTTCAAACGCCGTAGAGTTGAGTGAGATCGAGTTGACGAGGATTTCTTTGACCGGTGTACTGAGCATCTTGGCGAACTCCGCAACCGAAATATCAGCGGACGCATCGAGAGCAGAATCATCGCCATCATTGGATCCGTCAGGACGCAATCCGCCAAATCGGTGGGTAGTACCAATAGTGCCAGCAACGACTTGCATCTTGTTTTGTGTGAGGGTGCCGGTCTTGTCGGAGCAAATGGTGTTGGCATTTCCCATGACCTCACAAGCCTTGAGGTGCCTGACGAGATTTTGATCCTTCAGCATGCGTCTCGTAGCGAACGAGAGGGCGAGCGTGACGGCCAGGGGAAGTCCTTCGGGTACAGCGACAACGATAATAGTAACAACGGTAATGACGATGTTGATAAAATCCTGTCCCTTTTGAGCTGGAGTGACGGAAGCCGGTTGCTTGGGGAGCTTGACGAGGAATTCGATGAACAGGACGATGAAGAGCAATAGACCTGCAGCGCCTCCGAGCTTGGCGATGTATTCGGCAATGATGTTGAGCTTCGACTGTAGGGGTGTAACCTCTGGGTCCTCGTCCAAAGCCATGAGAGTCTTGCCGAATGATGAGTGTATACCGGTAGAAGTAACCATAAAAGTGCCCACGCCTTCCATAATTCTGGCGCCAGATTGGATGAAAGGATCCAATTTCTTCGGGTCATCGCCGTTTTGAATAGCTGTGAAGACTTCCTCGCCATTTCGCTTCTTGATGATGTCCGATTCTCCCGTGGCTTGAGACTCGTCACACTTGACATTAAAGCCTTCAATCAAGATTCCGTCGACGGGGATCAGATCACCCGGCTCAAGGTGAATCACATCTCCAGCCAAAATATCGTGTACTGACAGCTCGATGGTCTTTCCCGAGCGGACGACCTTGACGTTGCGATCCTTCTTCCTCTTGTTCAACTTGGCGAATTGCC